AATACTATTTTGGAAAAAAATATAAATGTGAGAATAAAATAGATTAAGGTCGTATATTTAGAATCAAAATAAAAGTCAACAAAACCTTAAAACCAGAGATAATATGTTGTAATACCGCACAAAAAATACATGGCAGAGTTCACGGCTATAGGTGGCCAGGGTTGGCCATTGTTAAGCTCTTGTGGATTCCACGCAAGACACACATATTCGTCAAAAGCATTGGGCTAGTTTACAAAATGAGCTAACGAAGCATTAAAGAGCAGAAACAGAGAATGGTGTTTGAGATTCCTTCTTACGTCAATAATCACGAATCAGCCAACAAAACGTATAGGGACACAGTAGTGATTTATTATTGTATTTGTTTTTGATATCGCGCGGTCGTTGTGTCCCATTCTGCCTCGCTAATTACTAACCAGTCACGTAGCTTTTCATTCGTAACGCTTCTCCATATACGGTCACCAGCTTTTTCTCGAAGCTTGTTAATTTAATTTGAACACCAAAATTCTAAAATAATTATACTCATCCGATCCTTAATATAAGACCTATTTCACTAATTTAATTAGATTAACAAAGTTAGGTAAGTTAGTTAATTATAAAAAAGTGACACATTTTTCTTAAAACACCATAATCATCTTTTTTAATACCCCTCTCCCTCTTTTACTTGATTATGGTTGATAGAGTATCCATAGGGGTAATTCAGAGAAAATTGATAAATATGATAAATAGGTCTTATATTTATGATCAAAACCAACTCAAAAATTGAGTCCTATATTAAAGACCGGAGTAGTATCATCAAAAAAATCCCAATCGTTTTCACACCCCCCCCCTCCCTATATATATTAGACATATGTTAGAGCTTTTACAAATTAAATTCGAGTAACGGGCCAAAATTAGAATGACATAATCAGCGTCGTTTTCGATCACTGGCTAGGTTGAAAGTGATGGAGAATAAGAACAACAACGTGTAGAAATTCAGTTTCTGCTTAGGCATGATGAACTTTTGATTCGTGTAGAAGTTACCAGGCATTGTTTTTTTTTTTAATGGAGTGATGAGTAACTCAATGATTACCCATCTAATCATAAATATAAGATTCATTTTATAATATAATCTACACTATAAAATGAGCCTTACAAGGAGGAGTACCATACACATATATATGCACAGCACGCCCGTGTCCTATGTTATTTTCCGTCTAAAACCTTCAAAGACCAAGCAGGTAACATTTGCTATATATGGTTCGCCACTTGAATGAATAAAATATGCACAAGATCTTCATGTTTACCCCAAATATATACATACACATATATATAATATCAATTTCATTTAATATAATATAAAATATCACAAAAATATAAAAAAAAGATTGAAAATAAAAGTTGACTCACCTGCACTCATCTTATAATACAGAAATTAAATATTATCAGACAAAAATAATAAATTAAGTATTTTTTTAACAAAATAATGTAAATGGATATATCCGATTGTGTTGACAGTATTTCTACGTATCCTTCCCACCCTTCCCCTATATATCTACATAAAAAAAAAAAAATCTAAAAACATATATAGGACAGTATATATTCAATAATCAGCGAGAACGATCTAACGAATAGTAATAGGCTTGTTTTAGTTGGACGTCCGAGACCGTCAGCAATAATAGTTTGTGACTTTTATTCTCTGTAAGTTGGCATTAAAAAAAAAAGACTTTTATTCTCTGTATGAAAGTGTTTGGAGATTACGAGAATCTTCTGCCTTTTGCAAATACAAGTATCTACTAATGACTGGGCATTAGTATTAAACAATTAAATGTGCACTGCTACTGTTGCCAATATTGTGGGGAATGGAATCTTCGTAACTGGACCTTGCCTTCATTATTGAGCTATTGTGGCTTACGTGCAAAATTGACACCACCGGGCACTTGGTTGGCATAGATATTTGAATTATTTTAACAATTTTATGCAATCTATAGTAAATTAAGTTGGAAAAACTTATAATATCGCCCAAATTGATGAAATCTGTGTGTTAGTATTTTGTATAATTTTTTTTTGTAAAAATTTTAATATCACCCAAGTTTTTTTTTGTATAATTTGAATAATTTTAATAATACTCTCAGATACAGTGTTGTTGGCTGGTACTTGATACTCCTCCGATCCTTAATATAGGACCCAATTCTTGAGTTGGTTTTGGTCCTAAATATAAGACCCATTTATCATATTTATCAATTTTCTCTAAATTACCCCTATGGATGCTCCCTCAACCATAATTAAGTAGAGAGGGAGTGGGGATATTAAGAAAGATGATCATGGTGTTTTAGGAAAAATGTATCATTTTTCTTATAATTAACTAACTTACCTAACTTCCTTAATCTATCAAATTGGTTAAATGGGTCTTATATTAAGGACAGGAGGAGTAATTAATATGATGCATTCGGTTTTAAAATCTAAATAATTAAAATATGTTGATCTAATGGTAAAAAAAAAAAAGCAGGAAAAAAAAATTCCAAACCGCTAGCACTCACCCGACCCGGGCTGGCTCGTGCACGTTTTAGGCGGGCGATTTTGACTCGGATAAAACATGCCTCTTCATGATTCCATGCGGCGAACTCGATGTGATGCCCAACTCAACATACATGTTTTATAATAAAAAAAAACCGGGGGAAAATCCTTTAAAAATTGTATTGGTGAAAAAAAAATCGAATAAATTTTCAAAAAAAATCCAAAAAATATTATTAAATTTCAAAATTTCAAATCAGGAATTATTAAAAATGTTTTGTCATTTGCTTTTTGAATGTAGTCATTTTTTTACGAGTATATTAGTTAATACTAATTTAGAATTTTGAAATTCAACAACAACTTTTTTAATATTTTTTTAAATTTTTATATGGGAAAATATCATCACTTTACAAATTTTGTGTGCAGAATAATTCAGAGCATTAGTGATCTGACTTAATTTTTCCCCAATTTTTTCTATAGATTTCCATAAATATAAGGAAATTGAAAAAATCAATTAAACGGATCAAAATAAGTTGATTTTAGAAATATAAATTATATTAAACGCCAAATTTGTTTTTAAAAATGAAGACCTATACAAAAATATTTTCCTGAATTAACTCTGGACCTTGACAGCTCAGCCACTGTTTAGAGCAGTTTCTCACTGTGGTGCTTTGAACTTTCTTTGTCCTAAATCATAGTTACTTAGATGAAATTTATTTATCTATTTTTTAATATAAAACTAGGAGCATCTTTCATCATCGATAGAAACTAATTATCTTTTTCTATAGTGTAAAAGTAAAAATCATCCAGAAATGAAACAGAATACTAATTCTGTACGTTTTATGTCTGAAAAATAATTTGAAAAAAATATAAAAAATTACACTTTGATAAGTAGTAGTTATTACCGGTAGTGATAAGTAGTAAGTAGTAGAGAAGAAGAAAAGAAAATTTCTCCAATTTTTCAAAACAAAAAAAATAAAAAACACAAAAACAACAACAAACAAACATATAAAAGTTATTTTGGTTTTTCAGTTTTTAAAAATATATTATTATTATTTTTTAAAACAATCAACTAAAAACAAATTACCAAACAAGTGTTTTTGTTTTTCTATTTTTAAAAAAAAGATTATTTTTAAAACAAAAATCAAACAAACCCTAATTCTCTACGTTTTATGTTTTCATCGTCCGTATTATCAATGGGAAAATCATCACTTAATTGTCTGTTATTCAATTCCATCCTCGTCCTTTTTGGTCCAATAACTTCCCCTCTGGTTTTATAGTAAATATACACTTATTGAATAATTTTCCGCAATTTTTTTTTACAACTTCCGAATGCAATAATACCAATAATAATTAATTAAATGACTAGCACTACTTTTAAATTTTTTCCGTGGTTAAATACTTTTAAATTTTAACAAACACAAGTAGTCACAACCTTTTAATTAGTTTGGAAAATTGTAAAAGGTTTACCAATGTGTGTGCAAAATTTGCAAAGTATTGTGTATGAAAATTTGTCCAATTATTTTCACCAATAAAACTTATACTACCTCCAGTCTTAATTATAGCACCTCGTTTATAATTTGCAAACGAAGTCTTATAAATAGGACCGGAGGTAGTAATAATTTTTTTAGCACCAAAAACTTCATATTCAACATTAGCTATGATATGTTTTTCTTTTCTTTATATAAAGAAGAGCGAAATTATTCTGGCAAAAGAAGAGCAGAAATTATTGAAAATTTCAAAGGGACTCGTGAAAATTGCTCTAACAACTTTCAGCCTTTAACCTGATTGTATTATTAATTAACAACTCCATTCGGTGTATTTTAAGGCCGAAGCCAAAGGGCACAAGGCATTTCCTTGATCAAGCCCTATTTTCCAGTTCTCCAGTTTCTGCCCCGTCATGTGGGCGTCTCTTGTGTTACCTCTCTCCCCTTGATGGCCTCGTCCCTCCATTCTCTTTCTCCCTTCTTTCTTGTCGTCTCTTCTCACGCTCCTTCTGTTCATTCTCAACCTCACCTTCACTTGCCTCCATCGGTAGCACCAGATAGGTTTAGCCTCGCCTAACTTCTTAATTGTTCATTTGTAACCTTCCTCTTCTGTTACTGTTTCGTTTTTCTTGCTTGTTTCTCTGTTTCTGCGCTTGGCGTTTTCCTTCTCTTGTCTTCCCCCCCTCATGTATGACTTCTCCTATGACCGTTTCCCCCTTCCCTTTCGCGGCCTTGCTTCATGTTCCTGATGGGCACTCCATTGCCTTAGAGCTTCGTTGTCTTCTTTCTCCATTCCGCTTCCTTCAACCCTGTGCATCTTTATGTGTTAATCTATGATCCACGATCGACCCATGATTAAGTTTCGTTGATTTTCTGCTCGGTTGTCATATGGGTAAGCATCTTTTCGGAGGTTTCATGTTTATTCAGCCGCCGGTTGAGAAATTGATCGGGATTTACTTTTACATTCGTGTAGAGGCATTGGTTCTTGAATTTTGGTTTACTCCCGAATTGTAAGTTGTTTCTTTAGTCTGTCATTTCCCCCCGTTGAGAAGATTTTTCCTGTGATTTAGTCATTTGCTTGTTAGACTCTTGACGGGGCAAAGAATAAGCTTTCCTCTTGCTTCAAGCATCAGATTGAGTGAAACGGCGAATGGTACTGATCAATCTTTGATGAAAGGCCAAGTGTCTGTTAAACGAGTGTATACATGTGTGCTTCTGTCTTCAGAGTTCTTTAATCCCCATATTTCACGCTAGTGATTGCTACTGTGCTGATACTTTCCTGAATACAGATTATTGACTATCCAGGAAAACGAGGCAAAGTGGCTCAGAAATGATATTGATATGACTATAACAATGACCAGGACTAGTAAGAAAACATTGCCTGTCTGGAGCACTGGAAGTAGCTTTAAGGCGAGCAAGAAGAAGAAAGCTATGGAGAACAGGGGAGGTGGTTCCTCAGCTGATGAACCTCAGGATGCAGATTATGATATCCCGTCTCTGAGCGACGAGCTAGAGACCCTGATCTTGGCCAGGCTTCCAAGATCTGAGCATTGGAAACTATGCTTTCTGAACAAGAGGCTTCAAGCCCTTGTGAAGAGTGGTGAAATCATCAAAATCAGGAGAGAAATAGGGTTCAAAGAGCCCAGTGTGTTCATGTTAGCAAGTGGAGAGACCAATTGGTGGGTCTTCGATGAACATTTCGAATCTTGCAGGATGCTCCCCTTTACCCCATCGGACTACAATTTCACACACGGAGATAAGGAGTCATTCTTTGCAGGCTCCCACTTGTTTGTTTCAGGCAGGGAGTTCGATGGAGCTGCTGTTTGGAAGTACGAGGTGGAAACAAACCAATGGTTGAAGGCTCCCTCCATGATCAATCCTAGGTGTCTGTTTGCATCGGCCACCTCTGGTAACTATGCTTTCGTCGCAGGTGGTCAAGACACCACAACTTATTCTCAAGTCCTGGACTCTGCTGAGAAATACAATTCAAAGAGCAAGTCTTGGGAATCTCTGCCTAGGATGAATCGGAAGAGAAAGTCCTGCTCGGGTTGTTACATGGACAAAAAATTCTATGTAATTGGGGGACAAGATGAGCAACAAAACGTCCTGACTTGTGGGGAATTCTTTGACGAGGAAACCAACACTTGGAACTCAATTCCCGACATGTTGAAAGACATTCCTGTGTCGGTTTGCCGGTCCCCACCACTTGTTGCTGTCGCCAATAATCAGCTTTACGCGCTCGACGCCTCCTCCAACGAGCTCAAAACGTATCTGAAGCGAACCAACTCATGGAAGAAGTTAGGAACAGTTCCAGTGATGGCAAGTGCTCAAGGAGGTTGGGGCGTGGCCTTCAAGTCTCTGGGGAATGAGCTGCTCGTAATCGGTGCGACTGCTATGTGTTCTTCTGGGCGTGGCTTGACGATCTACACTTGTTGCCCTGATCCTTCCGCTGAGGAGCTCCAGTGGCGGCGAATTGAATCTGGCAACGCCAAGCTTAGTCCCTTCATTCACAATTGTGCTGTGAGGGTAGCTTGAGGTCTGATTATTATTAAGGAATAAGCAGAGTGGCTTTGGAATCTCCCAATAAGATTTGCAGGACTTTCAGGACTTGTCTCCACGACTCGTTCGATCTTTGTTGCTGATGTGACTTGATGCATCTATATGCCGTCGGTTCGATGTTAGGGAGCTTGTTGATGTAAACTTTTTCGTTTAATGTTTTGACTCTGCAGATTTTCAGCTTCAAATGCTGCTGGATTTTATTTTTCTTTTCTATTTTGCTTCGGCTGGTCCTTTCTCTGGTGGAGATTTCTCTCAGAATTTCTCCACAGAAAAGCACCGAGCCAGTTATCATAGTCACCACCCACCACTAACGTGGCTTTCAGCCTTTCTGTGGGTTTGCCACCTAACCTAATCATTGTTCACTCCCACAAATTAGGTTCGTTTTCTCCTGCGCAAAATCTTAAAAATCAATTCAGAATTTCGTTATTGAAGCCTCCTGGACCCCAAACGACGCCGTAATCCTACTTTATTCACTCCTTTCCGCCGCATTAGAAACTCGAGATTGTGGAGAGCTGCCAAGGCTCTGATCATGTGCCCATTAAATCTTCACTGCCAATTAATTCAGCAACATCAAGCCATATGTGATCTACTAACCTGAATTCATCAATTTTCATTTTCTGACAAAAAAGGGCTTATGAATTCCCATTCAAGGCCCATCGAATTTGGGATTTACTGGTCACAGCACGTTGCTCTCACCTGTCATGTTACGAGTTGGAAACGGCCCATTCCAGACCCGAATTCTTAATAGACGTTTATCAGGTTCTTTTTTCTTTTTGGGAGCAAAGTTAGTCAAAGTTATTTCAAATTATTGGAAAGTGACGATAAAAGTTGAATTTGAATCAAAGTTCTAATTTATTTTCAGATTTTACCTTCTGTACCCAAAAAAAATTGCATTCGAGTCAGCGTTATGTACATCTATGAGAGTGATTAATTTATTTACGCTTTAACAAAATACATAAATACCAAATTAAAAAAGAAAAGAAAATGCATACGTACCTTCAAAATGATTTTTTAAAATCCTAAATAGTCTAGAAATATGTATCATTCCTTTTGTTTTAAATGTAACATTCAACAAATGTGACTCGCATTTCTGTCGCCAGGAAAATAAAAAAAAAAAGGCGACTCGCATTTCAAACCACTGCGGGGGAGATTTAGGTGAATTTGCGCCGTGTCCGGCTGGTCGCGGCCTGTTTGGTCGTTTAATATGTGCGCGCGTGGATAACATTTCGAACCGAGGCAGCAGAAAAAAAGGAAAGAAAATGGCGGGAGAGGGGCAGCTCAAGCAAAGCACATCTCCAGGCCGCCATTCTGCTACTGCTTCTCCTTCTATTTCTCTTCCAGGGAAGAACGATGATCCCAAACAAAAATGCTGGAGGAAGCAAGCGGACGAGAATCTCAAGAGGCTTCACTCTCTTCTCTTCGGGGCCGATCTTGCCCTTCAGAGAGATGATTTTGAGTCGGCGTACATCCTCGGGCTTCGCCTCATCGGCTTTCTTGACTCTCACTGCCACTCCGATGTCGATGAAGCCTATATACGTCCAATTCGCCGTGAAGTCCTGGGGAAAATCGACACCGCTCGTCGATCCCTCATTCCAGACTCCGATCGGTATATTTATTTTTTTCCTGTCTTCATCTCCAGTAAACTTCGCCTCTGTTGAGCTTATGAAATTCGATGTTTTCTAGTTTAGTTACTCATAACCGGTCAATACGGTGCTTTCGCACGTCACAGAGGTCTTAAGAGGTTAATTTGATATGTTTTTGTTTTGTGAGAGCCTAACGATTGATTGTGGGGTGCTGATAATGTTAAAGTGCATACGGTTATGATTTATTTGCTGGTTCATCGTGTCATATCATTTTCCGAACCTAATGTGATCACTGCTTTCTGTGTACGGAGTGAACTAGGAAATAGGACTATTTTAAATTTTCTTTGGAGCTGATGCCTTGAACGGATACTTCAGCAATTTCCTGTCAATTCTTCTGATTAGAATATAGCTCATGTCAAGTTGTGTTCTGATGCTAATTGTGTCATTCCCTCAGCCAAGCGTTTGAACAAGCAAAAAAGCCTCCAGGGTGTATTTTTGGCAAAACGGGAGATATTGACATTGGGAAAATTAAGAAGTCGAAGTACTTCCAAGCTCTTCTCAAGGAGTCCAAAGAAAAGGTGGAGAATCGATCGGTTATACTGAATATATGCTGATAAACGGTCTCCATCTATTTTTAGGCACAGTATTTAAAATCTCTCTCTCTCTCTCTCGGCTTTTTTCTTCCTAATTCCTTCTCTTTTCTGTTGACCTGCAGGTTGCGGATGCTCTGTTTCTGTGTCAATTTCTTGTGTTCTTTATTTTAATATAACTTTTATGCATGGCAATCTTCCAGATAGCTGCTTTAATGATTTTCTCAATGAGCAACACTCCTGTTTTTAGGGTGATCATCTGGAGAAGCAAGACAAAGCATTCAGAAAATGCCAAAAGAATTCTTGCAAACGAAGCTAACATCAATGTACGGGAGAAGTACATTGAGGTCTAATAGTAGTTCCAAATTGAGTTGGAAACATAACAGATCTGAGGACTGCATGATTGTTGAAAAGCCGCTGTCACATGGTGGCCACAGTAAGGCTCATCCTGTCTCTTCTTTCTTGAAAACTGAAGGCGAAGAAAGAACTTCCGGAATCCTGGGAACAAAGCGTGTGCACTCGGAAACTGATAGCCCCCAAGTTAGTAACGTGAAGTCGCCTTCAAGCAATGAGGAACCTAAGTCTGATGCCTGTGGCAGTGGGTTTGTTACTGCCAGAGCTAAATTGGTATCATTTACTATATTGTCCACACTCTGTGTGTGTGTGTGAGTGTTGAGTGCAGGAGTTACTATTTTATGAGTGCAAGCATACCCATTCTAGACAATTGTTTAAAGTTCGTACATATTTTACAACGCTTTTCACTCTTCTGCTATGTCTTTTCTCGTGGAAACTAATTTTAGTTTTAGATGCACATTTTTCTTTGCCAAATGGGATTTTCTTGCTCAAAGTCCAATGCCTTCATGTTCAATAACTATTAAGAACCGTGCTAAAAGTAGTAAAAGTGAGCAAACTCAAGCATCGAATTTCCAATAGTTTTTGGTCTGAGTTTGTATGTCATATTCTCCTCCGAGTTAATATCACCACGTGTAGTAATATAACATTATTTTATACCCGCAGGAAATGGAAACAAGGCAGAAGCGAGAAGGGATTGGCTCACCCACTGCATCTGTCTCCCAATATGATAACAATTCTTTGAATCGGGTATATAGTGGGAGATCATATGGTGTTTCTCGACGTGGCCTACGTGGAAATTTTGTACCTCCTATTAAATCCAATGGAACTGGCGATGGAAATATGACATCACGGATTTCTGGAAAGTGTGATGATACTTTGGATGACTCAACAAAGAGATGGTCAGTGGCGCAACCTTCAATCTGATCTGTTCATGTTCTAACTTCTCAGTCTGCTTTTCCTTGTAAATTCATCTTCTCAGGGTCAATTCTTTTTTTTTTTTTTTTGTGGTTTTTGCATCTTTGTTGATTGCTAAGTGTTGTTTTGATCTTACCAGAGTATATCACCAAAATAAATTTGCAACACATTTCAAAAGATTCTCATCTAATGGTGGTCAGATTATTCTTATCCTTGCTTTACCTTACTGGGCCCTAGTGTTCTGTAGGTCTCGTTATCTTACTGACTTGAACAAGGTTGAATACTCAGGTCCCAAAATTAAAAAAAAAAAAAAAAGGTTGAATACGCCCTTTTCTTTTTATTGCAGATATCAAGACTGTTTTTGGTTGTTCTGGATTCTCCCACAATGTTTTTTTCTCCCTTCTCCAATAGTTGTTAGTCTGATGAATTATGATTGTTTATTGATCATGTGATGTACAGTTCTATGCGTTCACTTCCTAATCGGTTTCACAACATGCTTTTAGTTTGGAAGGGCTATGTGGTCCTGACGGAGAGCTTCCTGAGAAATTGAGGAATATAGAGCCTCGCCTTATCGAACATGTTAGCAATGAGATTATGGATAGAGATCCTAATGTCCGGTGGAATGACATTGGTAATACAGATAACTGTTGGACCTTCTTTTATGTTCACTATTTTGGGAATTTGCTTTTGACCGGGACTAATTATACTCTTCTTATTCGCTAATGACATGTAGCGGGATTGGAGCATGCCAAGAAATGTGTCACTGAGATGGTCATATGGCCTCTGCTACGTCCTGATATATTTAAGGGATGCCGCTCTCCTGGGAGAGGATTACTTTTATTTGGTCCACCAGTAAGTACATAATTTTGTAATATGTGCAAACTGTGCACTCATTGATCTCCACTCTTTCTACAACCTTGAATGCTAGGGAACTGGTAAAACAATGATAGGAAAAGCCATAGCAGGGGAGGCAAAGGCAACCTTCTTTTACATATCGGCGAGTTCATTGACAAGCAAGTGGGTATGTGTAAACTTTTACTGTCTGTTTTGAACATATTTCTTCGAATGTATAAGCCTTTTGCATTCTAGAATGTGTTTTTAGTTCCCAAAAGCGTTTTTTTGTTGAAACAAGCCTTTTGCAACGCCCATAACTTAGATGCATGTCTGCAATCTTTGTTAAGGTATGTTGCCAATATCGCAAAAGATTTTGATTTGTTTCTTACAACTTTAAGTGCTTCACCCTCCCCCATTGAATACTAGTGCAATAGACTCTTCATGAACAGAGTCCATCAGGTTAGTTATATCCTTGAGATCACGCCCTTAATATCTAACATACGTATTGGTCATTATTATAGATTGGAGAAGGTGAAAAACTAGTGAGAGCCCTCTTTGGAGTTGCCAGTTGTCGCCAGCCGGCTGTTATATTTGTCGATGAAATAGATTCTCTCCTATCTCAGGTACCCATGTCGTGGCTGTTTGAGGCTAACGTTCAGGGAGATGACATTGACAGGCTCACTGTCCTAGATTTCTTGTGACAATGTTCACTTGAAGTTTAGCATTATCATCTATATATTGTAGAATTTCATGGCGAGTGATGGTGCTGAGGTGGAAAATGCGTTGGGCTTCTAAGCTGCCACATGGATATTTAATTATTAATTTTTACAGCTATACCGTATGTTGCCCTTTCTCCTGCCCTTTCTCCTCTCCATTTATTCTGCCGATAAATTTGTTTGTTGCAGCGTAAGTCAGAGGGTGAACATGAATCAAGCAGAAGGCTAAAGACACAATTTCTCATTGAAATGGAAGGTTTTGATAGCGGTAACGAGCAGGTTCTTCTTATAGGTAATTGTTGAATCATTGGGTTTAATTTCTTCATTCGTTTTATATATTGCAGACAACAGGAGATTTAACTAGCTGGCTCTTCGGTAATATATTATGCATGGAAAAATTTAGAGATCTGTGTATTCCACTATTTCTTTCTACAATAAGAAGAAGCTGATTTCATATCTGGAAGTTGCAACGTGTTCTCGGCTTCTAACTTCATCATTTAATCTTCGACACAGAAAGGGAGTTCCAAAGTCTTAACTATGCGGAAACACAAATATGTAGACATAATTGGTTTCCTTACATGCGATACAAACTGTCAACTATCACATTGGTAAGGTGCTTTAGTATTTCAATAAATTGACGAGGGAGTGACACGAACATGAACCTCTGACACATCACGCCAGTAATGATAGAACCGTGTCTATATATAATTAAACTTATGACCATGCTTCTGGAAGTGCATGGAATATCTAGAGAAATATGAAGGGGTTGAACTTACGTGCTAATGTAAATAACACTAATTTACCTACAGACGCTTTTTAACTTTTCAAGTTTCAAGGGCAGCTCAGTTCTTTCTTCCCTTCAATTTGATGCCAGTGTGCCTCAATCGCATGTTTACCTGTGGTCTTGATTTTTTCTCCCTTGCGTTAGATATGTTGCCATCCTATTTGTTAAAATAGATTGGGCTTGTACTTTTATAGGGGCCACCAACCGTCCCCAGGAGCTTGATGAAGCAGCACGAAGGCGTCTTACCAAAAGACTTTATATTCCCCTGCCATCCTCAGGTGCTAATTATTTTGATTATCGTACTTTGTTCAAAGGCATTTAGCATTATGCGGCTAACTTATGTATTCCCCTGCCATCCTCAGGTGCTAATTATTATGGTTATCGCATTTTGTTTAAACGCATTTAGCACTATGTGGCTAACTTATTTGTATTGGCCATGACTATTGAAGAGGCAAGAGCCTGGATTGTACGTAACCTCCTAGAGAAGGACGGACTATTCAAGCTGTCAAAGGAAGAGATTGATACCATATGCAACAAAACGGAAGGTATTCCAAGTAACTTATAGTTAGTTGTGCGTGGTACTGCCTGTTAATTTAAATAACCTCCCTTTTCTTCTTAATAATTTCTTTAAACATTTTTTCGTAAACTTTCTTTCTTAGGTTATTCGGGATCAGACATGAAAAATTTAGTGAAGGATGCTTCAATGGGTCCCCTAAGAGAGGCTTTAAAGAAGGGCATTGAAATTACTAAGTTGAACAAGGAAGATATGCGGCCAGTAGCTCTTCAGGTTCACAGCTAAGCAAAATCAAGTTGTTTTTTTTTTTAAAAAAAAAAGTCGGCTTGATTAATTCGAAACCTTTTATTTGCATTGGTGTGCAGGACTTTATGGATGCCCTAAAAGAGGTGAGGCGATCTGTTTCCTCAAATGAGCTCGGCGCTTACGAAAAATGGAACGAACAATTTGGAAGCCTATCATCGGAGAAGCTCGAGTCATCTGGATGAACGCAGCGCAAATATTATTTACATACCCATTACAAACGGTAGCAACATTAACGTCAAGGAGACCTACTCTTCCCCTGATACCTGATACATGTGGTAGCGGTACGTATCGTGACGTGTACTTTTTGCAGTGGATAATTAGGGTCTTGTTCAACTCATCAAAACGCACGGGCATCTTTTCTTTTTGCCAAAAACGCATGGGGATCTGAATACATAGGCTTTGTGTAAGCTAAGCTGCCTATTGGAAAAGACTCGCAAATGCCGCTGGGTGTTCGTTCCGTACAATCATTATGCGATATTTAAATGAGCTCACGTTGTACGCGGAGTAGACCATTGCATGTGAAATAAATAATCAATTGGAATGGGCATATGCGGTAATCTGACCATATTTTATAAATAACAATAATAATGCATTTGCTCATCGCATGTTTTGCAGGGATTGATAACTTGACGGTGATCATGAGCATGTTCAATTATTTGGATTCCGCTGGTAAACGTGCGCCAAACTTCTTTCTATGACCATCATGAGTTCACAATCGTTTTGTGCACCGAAAAAACAAATTGAAAAAGGAGAAACAATGGCATGCTAATTGGGCTCTTCAAATTCATTAACAATTTGCCGCCAACAAAAGTTTATTAACTGAGAAGTTTTATAATTCTGCGCCTGTCTAAGCGAGGTTATTCTCTCTCTTGTAAACAAGCACCTTTAAACCGCCAGCCATGTGTGCCGTAAGAAATGGCACGAATATAGGCTTATCTTGGCCGACAGGTCTGATCTTGAATCTCCCAAGGATTGAAGCCACCACATACTTCATCTGAATGAAAGCCATTTCTTTCCCAAGACACGTTCTGGGACCAGCCTGAAACGTTGGACACTTGAACGCCGAAACCTTACTCCATTTCTTGTTCTTGTCTGTTTCAACAAACCAGCGATCCGGCCTAAACTCGAACCAGTCCTTTCCCCACAGTGCTTCCATCCTTCCCATCCCATAAGGAAAATACGTTACCCGATCTCCTGCTCCGACCCTAGTTCCGTCTGGCAGCAAATCATCTTCTATTGCATGCTTTGAATCCCAGGCCACAGGAGGGTACAACCTCATCGACTCACAAAGACAAGCCTTTAGAAAGTCAAGATTCCTTAAACATTCATAATCCAATGCTTCTTCTCCCGCCTTCACTTCTGTCTCTTTCAAAATCTGATGCTCCGTCGTAGGATGATGAGAGATCAACCAGAAGAACCATGTCAAAGCTGCCGCTGTCGTGTCCCTCCCTGCCAGTATAAAGCTTATCACCATGTCTCTAATCACCTCTTCTTCTTGACCTGCATTTACAAGCCGTGATAGGAGATCGTCACCGCGAGCCTTCATCGTCTTCTTCTTCCTCTCACGTATCATTTCCGTCACATGACCCTGAACTTCTTCCACAGCCTCTCTGAGCCTCCGTTCAGATCCAACCCCAAGCCATCTCTTCATCTTCCAGATCAAAAACAAAGGCGCTGCCCCACGTCTCGCAGATATCTCTGATGCTGCGTCGAAAGCTCTTGCCAGAGGCGAAATGGGCGAAGAAGGATCCAAGCACCACATGTTGGTCCCTATTGTGAATTTACAGATCACATTGAACGAGAATCTCCCAAGCAAATCTTGCAAATCCACCACTTGGTTTCTCTTGGACAAGGTCTCAAGCACTGGTATGAGCCTCTCGTTTACTTCTTCTTCCAACGTGTGCTTAACAAAATCCTCCAGGGACCTAGAGCTGAACTCATGGCTGACTAATTTACGTCGAGTCTGCCACAGCTCGCCGTCCACGTTGAAGATTCCATGGCCGAGAAAATCGCCAAGGATGTCAGTGAAGGGCTTGCCTTTTGGGAAGTTATTGAAGTTGGTTTTGAGGATGTACTCTACGTTTTGTGGGTTTGCTGTGACAATGGTGGTTGGTGCACCGAGACGACGGAGGACGATGGTGTAAGTGGGTGAGTAGGAAAGGAGGTGAGTGTACCAATCAAGGAGGCGATTGCGGTTCTTGTAAAATGGTACGAGGCATCCGATGAAAGGATAGGTTGGTGGTCTGTGGTGGCCAGAGAGAGCTCGAAGACGCCGGAGCTCCCTTAACGTTATGTAGAAAAGGATGAACAAGAAGATGAATGTGACTCCCATATTATTAGCATGCACGATGAGGCTGATATGGAGAATGGCCCCGAAGAATTGCCCTTGTGCTCAGTTGACCCTATTGTACTTTAAATAATGGGCATAACGCTTCTGTCCACCAGAGTTTTTCTGAAAAATTAATCGCATAATCTTTATTTTTTTCTGAATTTTTAATCACTTGCTTTGGTTTTTTATTTTCATTCATGTAATGTTGATTTACAGCCAAATCATCGCCTACCAGCCACCTCACCAATCACTAACACCATCTGCCTCTAAAATCAATGGCAGGAATCAACACCTATAACCGAGGAAAATTAATTTTTTTTTCTTTCTTTTAATATATAGTTCCACAGATGTCCATATTTAGTATTAGCACCTTGAAAAAAATTACTTCCAATAAAAAGATATTTGTACCTAGGGAAAAAAATATACATCCTTACATTTTAAGATGGAACCCTTTATCTTAATTAACATGCAAAAGTTAAATTAAAATATTACAAACGAATTAAAATTAATGTCTTAAAATTTAGGGAAATTAATATGGAAAGTGCGAAAAATATAGAATATGATAGGAAACATGAAGATACGACAATTACATGATTGTTTTGATACTAAATTAAATTGATAGTAATATTTTAATTTTTTTTAAATATTTCGTAATAAGGCGTAATATGTCAAAAGTTATTAGACTGGGATTAGTTTATAATTTAAGCTATTACGTGCAGTTTTTTTTTTTTTAATGAAGAGAATCTGCAGATAGATTTTCTGCTAACGTGTTTACCTATTTCTCACTGGCAAAATGAGGCCAAAAAAAACAAAAAAGAAAAGAAAAGAAACGCCTACCATTCGATGTGAACAGATGTGAACGCAATAATCTAATGGCCATTCGATGAAACAAAGAGTTGGTAATTTACCAAGTGACAAATTGAGATGATGGGATACGGGCTCCTCCTTAGAGGCTGACTCTAACTTTCAGCCTCAGAGGTCTTTCTTCTTATTCTTTTTCTTTTGTTTTTGGTGAACAAGGTCTTTCTTTTAAGCATATGTCCATTACGCTTCATTCACGTGCCGGAGCCGGGCGATTTAGATTCGTTTTCATAATGAAATGCGAGTGCCTCTTTCTGTGAGCTTTCCAAGCTTCGGTTTTCACTTTTCTTTTTAAGCGAGAGTCAGCGTTAACAAAGGACACCTACCCCATAAATAAATATCATGATAAGCTTCAATATTTAATATAAAAACATACCTTATTAAATGTGTTCCAAATATGAATGCACTTTAAATATATATTTTCAACTAATTTTTCAAAACAACTTATGCAACATGACATGAAAAGGGACTCAGTGGTCAATTGCTGACCCCCTTATTCAATATAAACGAATCACCAGACCATTGATTGGTCGTGTTTCGTGTGAAGAAATGGCCACCACTTCACAATTTATCACGTTCAAGATCAGTCGACAAACCAGAGGCTCATTCCCATAGGTGAAGGCCCACATTATGATTGGCTGGCCCACTACTTCAGTGCAAGAGATTCTTCTTTTCACATTGGCCAGGTCAGAAGAATATACTTTTCCTTCCATAAACAAGCACTATCTCACTAAAATAAAAGATACGGGCTAGTGTAGATGCTTCCATGGGAAAGCGATATAGATTATTAGCTTAACGCAATGGAACCACTGGAAATTGACTGGATGCAGCTAACCAACAACCTTCGATTCAGCGATTGTTTACAGTAAAGAGCTTTTATTATCAACAGGACACCGTCAAAGTTTAGTGTTTCCGCATGGATGGCACTGGCGTTAAACACGATTCAGAGTTCCACATCAAGGGTGGGAGGATCAAAGAGGGTGGTGAAACCTGCGAGAGACTCAAGTTTTCGGTCCATGGCAACAAACTAGCCATACAATTTTACAAGTTTGAGTGCCCCACTCGAACTTGCACGCGATGCCATGACGTGTTTAATATGCCTCTCAAGTTCCAAATGTCTTCAACCTTTTCAGGTTGGACATTTGCAGATGAATCTACCTGCAAATCAGACAAAGGTATTGAAATAAAGCTGTATGAGAGATTTGCGACTCTAATTGAATGTTGATCTTTCTTATCCATTGTGGAAAGCAACCTTCTTGGAATTGGTAAAGTGATTTTAAGTAAAAGGATCCATTTGAGAAAAGGTAATTATGCCTTTGTACCTTGTGCGAGAGAAAGTGCAGTAGTTACAAAAGATAAGGATGTAAAAGATAATGTTTTGACAGGCTAAGGTATTAAATACTTCAATGACTCAAGCTACCATCACACTTCCTAAGAAGGCATACTGTTGCCATCATAACTGATTTGCTGCAACAGAATTCCCAAGTGCTTTCCTCAGATAAAGTGGAATTATGATGAGTATTATTAGCAGGAAAAATTAACATACCGCTTTTGCAACTATCTCTGTGCTGTGAGGGATATCAACTGTGATCTCAAACAGCACCCACGCCCATTTGTCACTGTTGGCGGCATCGTCTGCTATGTATGGAGTGCCGGTCTTCTGATATCTTGAGGCTTCCAGCCAAGTTTTGCCTCCATCAACAGACACATCTACCCTCTCAATGCCTCTACCACCTCCTGACACTGCATACCCACTTACCTTTACCTGCACAATAATATATGCAGGATTTGGATTTTAATCATTGACTGAATATTGTGATGTTTTATGTGTGCAGGCAAACAAAAGAATTGTGTATTCCACGAAAAAAGTGCCTTGGACATGAAAATAAAAGTGGTCAAACTCAGAGGAGAGGAAAGGAAAGGAAAGGAGGAGGAACAAGTGCAGAGCATCACATTCTAAAAGTTGAAAGAGGATGAATACATATGGTAAATTCATTTCCGCAAAGAGAGAAAGATTGCCTTCATTGCTTTCTAAGAAAAAAGAACTTGGAAATATCAACTGAATTTCTTTTCACGAAAAACATAAAAATATCAGTTCTCAAATTACATTTGGCAATGTCCATATGTTGCAAGGCAAATGCAAGAATATATAATATATGTGCAGGAAAAACATGTTCAGATTTCCAAATCTATATCGTACCAAAAAAAAAAAAATCAGTATAAGGAATTAAATCCTTAAGTAATTTATCTGGGCAATTTATGGTCAACAGAAACACATTAAATCCGTAACTGCATGAACAAACCTTCCCCGGCCTTATGGTGCTCACATCTTCAAGAGAACATATGACACACTGCCCACAAGGAATAAAGAAGCATTAGTTACAGAATTTTGCTCACGAAATGCAGATATGAAGCAACTACTTCAACCATGCCTATTCCATTTTGCATGATATTTTTGCATGACAAAAATGCAGATAAGTCATAACACCTGAACTGGAAAATCCATCTGGGGCCTCCTGGTTGACCAAATGATGTTATCCCAATTCACGGATGGTGGAAACATTTTGTAGTCCTTTTGCATAAAGAAACCCTGCCACATGATAATGTGAAGTTGTAGGACACTCTGAAAAATTACATTTTTGTGAATCCGGAATAATCTTGCAGCACGTAATATCAAACCTGGCATTCTTCAGCTATGATATTGATCGAATCCAGCCACTTAACAGACCGAGCTCCAATAACACCAGGAACAACCACACGTAATGGATACCCATGATCCCTGCTAAGAGGCTAAAGCAGGGCAAAGGGGACCAGAAAAAAGTGTGAACTGATTATTCCTATAGAACGTGCTTCATCTCAAAGTTCACTCAACCATAGGATCAGATTTTCTTATTGATCATTCCTCATTGTACTCACGCAATGCACTATTTAACGGATACAATATGAATAACCAATTCCAAGCTGCACAAAAATAGGTATCTACTCTGAACTTAAAAGCAAAAGAAACCAACAAAAGATAGATGATTGTGCTTGATATTGTTTCAAACAAGCATTCACTATATTTGTTTTACACATTTTGTGGACTAAAACTACTCATAATCATAGCTCCATATGTGAAAATATGAAGAGCATGGTGTAACTTTTAACGCTCTATATGTGAGAAAGTGGGGAGCATGGTGTAACTTTTAACGCTCCATGTGTGGAAAAATGAGGAGCATGGTGTGACCCTTAATATTGTTAGCTAAACAAACCAAAACTGGGACTCTAAAAAACCTAGCAAGCTTAAGTGTTATCAGCGAATAGCAGACAACTTACTTCTCCATTCATTTCATAAGCAAGAAGAACATCTGCTTCAGGATTTGTGGCCTGATTCAGTGGGATTGATGCCTTGTATGGGCCCCCATTTTCCTCCTACAGTATTTTTTTTTTACAAAAAAAAAACATTTACAGAAAGAACAAAACGCATAGATGCATCAAAGGACCAGAAAGAATGTATGATCTCCGAAATCAATTAACAAGCAGGAGGAATTACCTTACACTTGTCGACACTCACAAATTCAACATGTCTTCCACCTAACTGAGTGGTGCTTGTCAACTTTGGGATTCCAACAAGTTCAAGAACATCAGCCAATTTGGCACCACCCCAGACAGCTGAAAGAAAATAATGGCACGAAAGAATTATAAAATAAGACGCACATGGAACACCTCAAACACCAGTAAATCAAAGGAAAGAAAAACCAGACATATCAGAATCATTTTTAAAAAAGTGCATGTGTGCATGCTTCCACGCAGGTTTTAGGATCAAGCAACAGAAGCTTCAACAAGCAGTATTATCTAATCATAAGAAATAACTTGAAATAAGAATCGTTCTGAAAGTGAATTTGCATAGGATCAAAATTCACTTCTAAAAGTGAATTTGCATGGTATGTAGCCAGAAATCGGAGGCTAACTTATGAATAGGGTGCATAAATAATACTTCATGGATATCGTCTCTTTATTATACCGTAAAGTAATCATACTTGCAGGTGTTGGATGTTAAAATAATTGAATGACATCAGTTACACACAAGGTACTAACCATTTCCAATAGCAGACACACCCCAGCCAACTCCCTTAACGGTTTTGGTCTTGCTCATAGCAGTCCTCCTATTACCTGCACACTGGAAAGCACAGAAAGGAAATAAATGCATTTGCAAGACGTACCCAACAGCATACCAGGACATTATGTGATCTTCTGCTAGAAGTTTAGCAAAGGTATACCAACAATTAATGCAGCCTGAAATTTTAACTAGCCTACCTGTAATGTGGCAGTGACATTATGCTTTGGAAGCATCCTGTCATTAAATAACAAGGTCAGTTCTTAGTTTGACGCATATTCAATTGGAAATAAATTTAGCAAATAAATTGGAGCTATCCAGTACCATGGTAAAGAGACAATCATTACATCATTTGATTGAGACGAATCAAAATTTGGAATTCTGGATCAGCACTAACCTGATATCTTTCATGAAAAGCCATTTGGAATTCTCTATCAGACCAGATATTGAAATGAAGTATCTGCTCCGCCAGAATGGTCATAATATTAAGTCTAATTCCTTTATAGTGGAAAGCCTTGAAAAATAAAGAGGAAGAACAGTCAGGAAGGATCAGACCTTTCTATGTCATCAACTATTGGTATCGGACCATGACTTCTCTTGTAAAAGAAATCTGAAGGAGTCAAATACGAGGAAATCAAGGCAGAACGTGGTGGCTCAGCATTAAATGGTTCCTGGAGAATACGGCAAATTGGATTTGAGAAGAAGATAATAGAAAAATATATATGCATAGATTATTTTTATTTCCTGTTTTTTTTTTTGGCCAGCTAAACTATGTATGTTGTTAATCAGTCAAATGGGAAAGTATCTAGCTCAAGACAGAATTGTTATACTTCCATATGAGCCTCCGTTTAGTTCCAATGAAATTTTCTATAAACTGTTCAGTTCATGGTTGCAGAAATCACAGAACTACAGAAACTGAACTGAAGATGCATTATATATTATTAAATAGTGCTGCTAATTTTATCCTACAGTTCGTTGTCTTGTCATTGTTTTTCTCACCTCTTATTTCTAAACAAGGATGTTCTGTTGCTTCTTTTGTAAGCGAAAAAATGACCCCAGTCCTAATTTTATAATCAAAATCTCTTCGGAGAACTATGAATAGCATATTACTAGTGCTTACTAAAGTTTCAACCCATAGTACAAAACAGGTCTAATTTTACAAGAATATTTCCATACGACGATTTTTAAAAAATATAATAGAAAAATTAAGTTGTATCTTAAAGAAACATAAGTGATAAATTTAAGAAGCCAGAAGTGAACTTATTTCTGTTGTTTTTTGGATTTTTTTTTTTTTAATCTTAAGATCCTTAGTTTCATTTTCAGCTTAATGTTTGCACACATCAAACTGAACCTCAGCTTAATGTTTACGCACATCAACCTGACCCAAACTGAAAACCAAAGGGTCGATTAAATAGGTTCAACAGGTTTAATAGAATTTAAGAATTGTTCAACAAAAATAAGTCGGTTAGCTCCAATTCATTTTCTCCATGAATGCAGGTACACGGAAACCACTTCAATATTTCAGCACCGTCATGTGCCGGAAATTCTCGCTAAAGAATAGGTGACGAGATCATCAAGTAAAAATAAGGTAATCAGAAAATTTCCCGAGTTCAGGAGCCAGCACCGCTTAAAAAATCGTGAAGAGCATAATCGTGGTGAGAAAAGCGAGGAAAAATGAACGACAAGATGAATAAATAACAAAGAGCGAGAAGTTTGCCTTGGCGTTGATCAGAAGAGAAGGATGACGAGGAGGTTCAAGAGAATAATCTGAGGGCGCAGTCAATCCTGGCATTCTCGGAGCTACTTTCTTCTACTCGTAACGCTAGCAGCAAACACTGGGCTGCGCCGTGGCTTGGGCAATACAGGGGCAGTTTGGGGAAGTGACGAGAGAATGTATTCAACGCCATGAATGCTCTCAGGTATGGTTTTATGTGTCGGTGGGGGCCATCCACCTTTTGATGGTGATTAAATGCTTTGATGGGAATCAGATCCTGAAAAAGCGACACGTTGAGAGTTTTGATCCGATGATGCGTTAGGCCTGCTCACGTGTACATTCAACCGGACAACATCCTCGCCAGGCACCCCAAAAAAAAAAAAAGCTCTTTTTTGGTCAGAAAGAAAAAGGCAGTTTTTTTAATCCTGCATGGATTTCATCGTCGCCGGAAAAAAAATTCCGCCAGGCAACGTCTTTTCGCCGGGAAAATGATTTTTATTTTTGGCCAGATTATGGATTTTCAAAATATTTCATTGAAATCAAAAAACCCTGTATATTATTATTATTATTAATTTTCTTAAATTTTCATCATTTATAATTTTATGCATATTTAATCTATGTTTTTTAAATAACTATTTACAGAAAAATAAATCGTGCATAAAATTAAATGATACTTAAATCAAATTTTCTATATTAATTATGTTAAGTTTTCTAATCACTTATAGTTATGTGTCTTATTATTAAAATATTGTTGTTCAATTGTAGACTCATATGAAAAAAATAAGACACATGGTCATTTGTGATTAGAGAACTCGATATAATAAATATAAGAAATTTCACCTAAATATTTTTTTAATAAAATTGTACGCTTAATGGATTTAATTTAATGATATGATTTGTGTTAGGAATAGAAAAATTACTCTCTCCCCTTGCTTTATAAATATGATTAGAAAGTTGGTATAATCATACCATTGCTGTCATTTATAAAATTCCCAGCACAATAATCACCATTCAATGACTTCTCTGGCCAAATATTAACAGATCACTGTTTGCTCTTTTTTTTTGGAAAAAAATTACTCTTCTGATCTTAAATATAAGACTCTTTTTATAACATAAATTATACTATACAATGAGTCTTATATTTGGTATTAGAGTACTGTTTTCTCTTTTGCTGGATACCCACCAATCACATGATTTAATTTAATAGTGCCAGAGTAAAGATATTTGAGGTGTTTTTGAAAATTTATGCCCAACTTAAAACAAGATAAATTAAGAAATACAAAAAATCCAAAGAGTTCAACTGTTATAAATTAAACAAAAAGACAAAAATAAATAAAAAATTCACTTATAACTGTACTAATTTAAGAAGTAAAATAATATTCAGGAATAAATTAATAAAAGAGTTATCAATTCAAGATATCAAAAAAGGCAACATAATGCATCGATCCTGATAAAAAAAAAATTATAGCTTCGTTGCTACGTTTTTTAAGTTTTATTAAATTGTTTGTAAATCGTGACTGCTCCAAAAAAAAAAAGATAAAATACATTTTAACCATTTAAAACAACAATTTGTTTCCCCTCGTTAATTTATTTTGTGTTTTTTGTCTCAAACTTAGTGACTGGGTGCGTTTATCGGCTAAACCATAGGCTTCGCCCGCAGAACAAAAGATGAACATGGTTGGCAAGTGGCAACAGGCGGGGAAAAAACAAGAAGAATAATGCATTAAAAAAAAACAAGTGTGCTTATTTAAATTAAGAGAATATTTAGATAAAATCAAAACTATAATTCTAAAAGTAATTTTACGGTATATAAAGTAAATATATGACGAAATTTATCTCGATTTGTAAAAAAATGCTTTTAAAAAGAATTTTTTATGGTACCCAAATACTCCCAACTTATTTTAAATAATTTTATGCTATACAAAATAAATAGGAGAAATTACAAAAAAAGACCTTAAAATTACAAAAATGCAGATAGGGATCATTGACAACTTTATTTTGGGTTTTGACTAATTTGAATAGATTAACAAAATTTATTGAGTTAGTTATTTATAATAATTCGGTGTTGTCTTTCCTACATTACTCTTACTAATCACGTATTAACTAAAACTCCTATTTAATTGAAACTTTAACATGTACATCTACTATAAAAGATACTTTAAGAAAAATAAATAAATAAAATAGATTGGGATCTTATATTTAAAATTAAATTAAAAAGTCAAACTAATTATTATATTAAAGAGTAAAGGTAATATATTTTATGTCATCTTTTTTTTTGTGATTTTTTAAATGTGTTCTAATATACTTCTACCCGCTTTGTATTATAACACTATAAACCGCGTTTTACATTTAGAATTGGAAGAGTAAGCCATTTGTAAAAAAATTATTTCTAAATATAAATTACTTATAGGATAATTAATGAGCTTTTTTTGAAATCTTTTCCCTATTGACTTAGGCCCCGGTTGGCAGAACGGTGGAAGTTTCCTATAAGCCCGTTTCATATAAATCGAAACAAAACTCCACTCACATACTTATCTCATATTCTGTAAATCACTACTAAAAAGCTATTTATAAGCTACTCATAAGCTGTTTCAAACGGACACTTAATAAATACATAAAGAGATAAAATAAATGGTGAAAGAATATAAAACATAGTGTCAATACCATTTCTTCAATAAGGTACATGTCAAAAAAATAACTTCCTCCTATCCTATATATAAACTTTAAATAACCGAATCATGTTTAATGAACTAGCAATTTAAATTAGTTAAAAACAATAAGTAGGTACCCCTCGTCCGTGGGTTCAGCTGGCGAAGGGGTCGGGCTCTCTCACCAAAGGGAGGGGGTTCGATCCTGGGGAATGCCACTTTGTTGTGGCTCCAGTCGCAGCGCTGGGGGAGGTATCTCCACAAGCGTAGTAAAGCTGAGTGATTCCTACCTTTGGGCCAGAAAAAAAGGGCTTGCTTGTCATGCTCCCGTGCCCATAGGGACAGGCCCCAGTGGATCAAGCGTTAGGAGCCCTGCCCTTGGATCGTGGGTGAGCCCGACCCCTTTCCTAAAATTTTTCAATAAAAAAAAACAATAAGTAGGTCAAAAATACATTTTTTCCTAAATCTCTTTTTATTTATTAAGAGAGTAAATAAGAGAGACAATAAATAAAAAAATAATGAAAGAATATATGGGTAATATTAACGGAGAGATAGAGTACTAAATATAGTACACTAAAAACAAAATAGAAAAAAAAAAGTAATAATTCTCAAACGAACTAAAAACGTAAAGCTACCCTCCTCTCAAAATATAAAACTTGTGTATAAAGTCAGAAAAAAGATCAATTTAATTCAGTTTTTAGCTTGCGAGTTTAAAATACAAGTAACTCATAAAAAAAAAACGTAAAGCGATAGAACGAAGAGGGTAAGTACCCGCCTGGCCACCATGGGAGGAAAACTAACAACTAACGCAGCCAGACATTAGGCGGCGCCGTCAAAAGCGGCAAATTCCGATTTGCACTTTCAATATATTTTACTATAATTAACTATATTAACTCTTTTTAAAAATATAATAATTTTTAACCCTTACTTTTATTTAATATACACGCTTTTAAAAAATAATTATATTTGATATAATAAATTAAGAATAAAATAGTACTTTCATATTAAAAATTTAATAAAATAAATTATAAATAAGACAAAAAAAAATTTTATAAATAGAATCAGAAGAGGTACCAAATTATCTCTCCCCAATCTGTAACGATAATAAACGGAAATGTTCATCTCAAGAACATAATTTTGAAGACTTCCAAACACATGCTAATCAAGTTATTAAACTTTAAAATAAAATTACTAAGATATAAGATTTTTATTAGATTCTTTGAAATATATTAAAAGTGTTTTATAAATAAAATTGGATGAAGTAACCTTGAACATATTATATTAAAATTAAGAAAAAATTTAATTTTTTAGACTGCATAGTGCATACAGGTTTACTAAATTTTCCATTTTGCCCTATTAGATACCCATACTTTGAAACCCGGAGAGTGTGGTTGAGTGGTGGGGGCTCATTTGAGGGTTCGATCCTCACCTTGAGCATGGAAAAGCTTTAAAATCCTAGGCCAGTTGTCCCACCCATCAAGATGCCTACAAACTAATGAAAGGATTAGTCACTGGATCTGCTGTGAATACCCTGATATTTCATAAAAAAAAAAAAGATGTCCATACTTTGAAATTAAAGGACACACCAACATTTATTGAGAGCTAAAAGAGAAAAATAATAATAATAAATTAATAATGTGACTTATAATTACAATAAGACAATTTTTCTTTATCAGGACAATACTTACATAAAACTTCTTATATTTATTATATCAAATTATCCAATCACACCTACTATTATATCTTTTGTATATTAACATTTAATTATAAACCCATATAAAAAAAATATATGGTTGATAGGAGAACTCAACATATCTTGACTTAAATATTTTTCATAAAATTATCGGGATATGTCTTTGTTGTAGGCAAAAGAAAAAAGATGAAATATTTTTCCAAACACCGAATCGTTTCTTAATATGCATGTGCCTAGTGCTTACTATTAATAACACAGGAAAACTAGTTTTATCGTCATTAAATAAAACTTTTAAACTTTAATTTTTATGAACGATGGCAATGGGCATGTTATCTTCCCAAATATCACCACAATTTTATGAAGAAGGACTTGTGCACTTAAAGTTACTTGTTTTCAATTAAATCAAGACATGGGTTAACTACCTTTAGTTTGTATATTTTTTTATTTCATTATCATCCTTGTTATTTATCGTATAATTGTAAAAAAATAATTTATTGTGATGGAATCGATATATCGAAAGAAGATTCTCATTAAAGTCGACCTCACATGCTAAAAGGCATTGCTTAGATATTTCATTAACACACGCTAATAAACATCTTGGATTTTAAAATCTTCTACACTGAGTGCTTAATCTTTCGAGAACTGAGAAATGATGGAGCTTGGTTCGGATCAACTAATTGTGCATCAACAAACGGGTCATGCGAAGGTTTTGGCTCCTCGCCAAATGGAAACAAGGTTGGAGGCTTTGGCTCTTCACCCAACGGTAACGAGACTTCATTGTTCATGCGGATGGACTCTGAAACATCTGAAGATTTTGGTTCCTCGCCAAGCGGGAACAACACACCTGAAGGTTTTGGCTGCTCGCCAAGTGGAAACAATGTTGGAGGCTTTGGCTCTTCACCAAGCAGGAACGAGGGTTCATTGTTCATGCGGATGGACTCTGAAACATCTGAAGGTTTTGGTTCCTCGCCAAGTGAAAATAACACATCTGAAGGTTTTGGTTCCTCGCCAGGTGAAAACAAGATATCTGAAGGTTTTGGCTCCTCACCGAGTGGAAACAGTGTTGGAGGCTTTGGCTCTTCACCAAGTGGGAATGAGGCCTCATTGTTCGTGTGAATAGAGCTTGAAACATCTGAAGGTTTTGGTTCCTCGCCGAGCGGAAATAACACATCTGAAGGTGTTGGTTCCTTACCAAGCTGGAGCAAAAAGTCTGAAGATCTTGGCTCTTCACCAAATGGAAACAAGGTTGGAGGTTTTGGCTCTTCACCCAACAGGAATGAGGTTTTGCTGTTCATGTGAATGGACTCTAAAACATCTGAGGGTTTTGGTTCCTCACCAAGTGGCAACAGCAGAGTTGGAGGTTTTGGCTCCTCACCTAGTGGAAATGAGGTCTCACTCCTCACAGCTGGAGCACCACTCAGACAAAGGAGAGCTAACAAGACAAGGTGGAAAGCCATGGGGTTGAAGAAGTCAGCGAATATGTGATAGCTTGCTTCTTTGGTGTGCTCTGCAGGAGCCATGAGTTTTGGTATTTATAGCGGTATGCTACAACCATACCTTGATGACCCGTGTGAAAGGGTTCACATGTCCCATGAGCTTAGATTCAAGAATCTGAAATTCTTAAAGAGGTATAAATGCAGGCGAGATATCCTAGGCCATTTAATGATAGTAAATATGTGATAGAGTGCAAGACAAGCCAATTAAAGAACCTATTATAGAACGTTGCCTGTCAATGGCAGGCTGCAAAGCCAATGGATGTGAAGAATTTTAGCTTTTGCAACAGATTTGATGGCATTCACGTTTTCAGTACCTGGGTCACGCATGCACGTAATTAACAGGTTACATTTCATTCAATCAAAATAAAATAGAGTTGAAAAAGCAGAGTAACTTTATTTTTTTTTTAATCTAGAAGGTAGAGTGTCTGATTGATAATTGGCTTTTGAGTTGTAATTTATCATAAACAAGATAAGTATATGAAAAAAATTTTATTTCAATTTATATGAAATGTGTTTATAAGTGATTTTAAATAGAAGTTTTGTCTCAATTTATGTCAAATGTGTTTATAAGTGATTTCAAATAAATACTGAATCATTTTTAGAAGAATGACTTTGTCCCAAATATAAATCATTTAAAAAGTAATTAATGCTTATTTATCAATTTTTATCCATGCAATTAATACTTTAAATATAACTTCTTATATTTCTCTCTCTTCTTTATAGTCTCATTTAATATAGGTAAAGCCAAAAAATATTTTCAATTTAAAATACATTTAATGAATTAACTATCATTTTATTATATTGATAAATTAGTTAAAATATTGTAAAGTGGAGGGAGTATATTTTTGGATTTAAAAACACCTATTGAAATACTCTTTTAGTCCTATTTATAAATAATTCTAACATATTTTATATAGACTAGGAAAAACTTTAAACTCTATTAATTCTCTATTAAAATATAATAACTTTTCAATTTTATCATTATTTAATATATATATACCTTTTAAAAAAAACTATCTACTTTGTAATAAATGAAGAACAAAATAGTACATCTATACTAAAAAAATTAATAAAATGACTTATAAATAGGACTAAAAATTTTTTTTTTCTTTATTCTATAAATAGGACCAGAGGATTATTTACAAATTCCCCATCAACATGTCTTTGCACTAACAGCGAATTTAAATGAATTAAATTATTAACTGAAATAATCTTTGTTTATATAAAACTTTTTTAAGGATTATATTCCGCCATTGTTTTTTTCTGGCAAAAAAAAAATCCTCTATTGTTTTCATTTATACCACCTAGCTAAAAGAGTGTTAAATTAATATGATGGATATTTAATATCAGGAGTGTTGTGATTTAGAAAACGAACAAAATAATTAAATTTTAGTTTTTTTATTAATAATCGAATTGTGTAAATTAGAAAAATTGATTAAAGGCAACAATAATTAAATATAAAAAATATAATTTATTTTTCAAAAAGCAGTTTAATGCATTGAGAGTGAGTGGGGATAATTTATGCATTGAGACAAGTTTTACGCGTAATTCTTCACACACATAAAATGAGAAAATGCATATGAATTGTGTGTAGTTTTGTTTATATTTAATGTTTTGTGTTAATATTGATGTTGATTCTACGAAGTTTTACTTCTCAATTTTTCTTAATAGTACTGCTTTCTGTTCTTAATATAAGATTTAATTGACTAATTTAAAAAGATTAAGAAGGTCAGTTAAGTTAGTTATTTGTAGTAAATAAATATTTTTCTTAAAATATCTTTATTAATATTAACCATTGATAGTAATTTCTTAACATGTGCAATTATTTTAGGGATTACTTGAGGACAAAATAGATAGATATTAGAGACAAAATGAATTATGATCTTATATTTAAGATTCATTTGGTATGAGGAAAAATAAAACGGGAGAGTGGAGGGAAAACTTTAATAAGCTTGATTTAAAAAATTGAAAAAGTGAGGTTAAAAGCTTTTAATTAATTTTTATTACTTTTTTGTATTACTTATTCTCTTTATTAAAATTTCAAAACCCCACTTTTCTAATTTTTTAAACACAGCTCATTAAAATTTTCCTTCTCCTCCCCTCCCATTCACTTCTCTCATGCCAAATAGTACTTTAAGATCAAATTACATGTCAAATTAATTTTTATATTAAGAATTGGAGGTAGTATCTTTTTTGTCATCTTTTCTTGATAGAATCAAAACCATACACACTGTAATATTTGTAAGTTCATCGTGAACTTTTAAGTGTGATGGGAAAAATGTGCATATATTTGCAACATAATATTATTTTCAGTCCTAATTATAAAATTTTATTTGTAGTCTACAAACGCGGTTTTATAATTAGGGCAGTAAGTAGTACTACTCTTTTAGTTTTAAATATAAGACTTTTATACTTACTAGTATAAAGGTTTTATATTTAGAATCGAAAAAATATAATATATTAATATTTTGGATGACACTTCATTACGGGCATTCCTACCATTCTTGTTCTCGGGCCTTATGCAGGAAAATGAATTGCAGGTTTTTTTGGTGAAAAATATCGCAGGGTTTTGCCGTGCAGTAGCTTAAACGATCTGTCGTTTTGCGATGAACGCCTGGGACGTCAGGGAATTTTATACCACTACAGTGGCAAAAGTTTTTAAAAAAAAAAAAAACAGAGAGAGAGAGAGAAAGAAAAAAATGATGAATATAGAATAGACCACAGGCGGTGGGAGGCTTAGCACACCGAACGAATCCCTTTTGCTCGCAGGTCGCAGCTAAATATTGTAGAAATCAATCTCTCATTGCTCGATTTTTCCCAAAGCATGTGAGCCTCCCGCAATCTGATCTATATTTTCTTTGTAATTTCTAGAAAAATGAATCAAAACGTTCCACTCTGGAAAGGGTGTTCTCGCGACTTATGGCGGGTCTCATCCTTGATTGCGACTCCTTTGAGATTTTGGTTCTTGTTCTTCGTATAAATTTAGCGATAGCCGGTAATTAAGATTTTTTTTTTGTGACCAAAAAGGAAGCCAAAAACATCGGTGAATCGACCTCCCACGCCAGATGTGCTGGAAAATCCTCCGGAAAGGGAGCCCACGCTCCAAGAGCTCATAAATATCAAGGTTTGATCTTTATTTTCGTTCCCCAAGTTAGGTTATAAGTCAATCTTTTGCATGCTTTCAGTTAGTCTCTTGAAAAGAAAGTTGGTTGCTGTTCTTTCTCTTGCTACTTCAATATTTGTTGATTGTCCGCTCAGTTGATCGAAACTGGAGAGAAAGAACGGCTGATGGAACTTTTGAGGGAAAGACTTGTAGAATGTGGTTGGAAGGATGACATGAAAGCTCTCTGCAGGTATTCTGTTGCTCTAATTTGTTGGCTCTCGTTAGAGAATCTTTGAATAAATGGAATTGCTGGATAAGGTTGCTTTGCTCAAGTTGCCTGTATTATTCCCTGACGTTATATATGTAATTGTTGAATCCTCAGCATTCCGTTTATTGGTCTCTTCTTCGTGGAACTGAATTTCAGTAAAAGAATACAATTTTAGTGCCAGAAATTTTATTTGATAACAAGCAAACCCACTATTCCTTGCTTTTTGGGTAATTGTTGCCGTAATTGCCATCCCTTTTTGCTCTTTAGGGCAATTTAAGATTCTATAGAAGCAGGGCATTGTATTTCATTCACTGAAAAAAGCCCCTGCTCACAAGGGGCATATGAGCAAACGGAAGGTGCATACTAAAATATTTATCTTCATTTCAGTGTTAGGAAGGATAACCTTTCATTGTTAAGTGAAGACATTTAGTTTGAGCCTTTTAGGGGAACTAAAATATAAAAGTGGCAAGGCATGAAAGGTTCTGGGAATGCCGTTTTTGGGTTGATGTTATGACTAATGCCAACATCTGGTTACCATATGATGTCCGTATTAATATCTTTTGCGCTGCCTTATTTATAATCATAACTAATAAATGCCATTTTGGTTAGCACTGATTATTTGCATTGCCTGAAAAGTCTAGACTCTTGTATGGTATTGGGTCAGTGTAATGTATTAAGTGCCTCTGACTCTCCTTTTTTTGGCCTTGGGGGTGATATTTGGCTCTTGATTTTTGTTTGTCTGGTATAGTTGCAACATTGCTTCTATTGAAGCTTTGTTGTATCACACACGACATAAGTGGATAGCCCATAAAGTGCATTCCCACTCCTAACTTTCTTTACACTTCATTATTCTGTCTTCACATATAAGATTATCAGATGATTGTATGAATTCCTTCTGCCAGTATCCAGCTGTGACTAATAATCCTGCATACTTGAGTGTGTTTCTTGTGTATGTGGCTTCTCAGTGTTGGAATCAATCTTTTCTTGCTTTTTAATGCAGGGCTTTTGTTAAGAAGAAAGGGAGGAATAATGTGACTGTCGATGAACTGGTTCATGTTATCACTCCAAAGGGCAGAGGTATTAAATTAATTGCTTCTCAAATTGATACATTTATTTTATGTTATAGGTTACTTGCATAAAAGCACCTCATGGCAAATATATCCCCCCATTTTGTCAATGTCGTTAGAAATTTGGTTATATCATTGAATGGCATTATAGTCGATTCTACATTTCCCTTTAGGAGGAGTTTGCCAGGAATGGTGATGCCCACTTTTATCATTGTTATGTTATTCTGAGTACTGACTAGGCAAAAAAAACCTCTCAATTTCTCATTTGCAGCGTCAATTCCGGATTCTGTAAAGGCTGAGCTGTTGCAAAGAATTCGCACATTTATGTCTGCAGCACTATAATCTCTAACGCTGCTCGGTTAGTGTCTTGGGAAATGATTACTGAAGGTTACTAATGGAACTCAGAAGGCATGACAACCATTGCATGTTAGGCTTCTCTAGAAAATGTATAAAAACTCATGTGCCCCTTTCGTCATGGATCTAAGAAATCACATTTGATGCAATAGGTCTTGTTTCATCGTTAACGATGAAATGTGAATCTGTCATACTAGGGAAAAAATGGATGTATACATCAGATGAGTATACATCTGCATTATGTCTTACGATGTGTATAATACTACCTCCAATCGTAATTATAAAATCTCATTTATAGACTACAAACGAGGTCTTATAATTAAGACCGGAGGTATCAATCTATTATTTTTCTGCCCCATGATATTACAAATTACACAGAGCCTGAAATCGAAGATATACATAAGTAGAGTGGGGAGAAAAACGAATGCATATCATCATTTGAAAAGCGGCTAATCACTCGGTGAGTTGGAAGGTGAGCACCATATCTTGGGCGACTACCATATAGTTTGGAGAATACGGGGAGAGCTGTGGATGATGGCTGTTGCAAAAAGATTCGAACCGTCTGTTGCAGATGATGCAGTTTCCTTTGTGTAGCCTAGATGAAGAAGGAATTATGCATGCTATTTGAGGCTAGTATTGAATTGCCATAGAAGCATATGGAGAAGAGGAACAGGATGCTGTTGCAAGAGTAAAAGGAATGCGCTCATTTTAGTAAGAAGCCGGTAACAGGATTAGATCCATGCGTGTGGGGGGAGACGGGAGTGATTAGGAATAGGAATTCTCAGAGAATATGTGGGGCTTTGCTTGTGGCTAGGGGTGGAAACAGGCCAGGCCAGGCCTCACCCTTAACAGGCTTGGCCTGTGGTGAGACCTGTTGGCCTGAGCCTGGCCTGTGGCCTGTGAAAGGCCTTTTAATCGGCCTAAGCCTGGCCTGTAATCAGGCCTGGCCTGGCCTGTGGCCTGTTAAGAGGCCTGTTTTTTTATCAAATTTTAAACACACATAAATCACTTCAAAATTACAATAATTCAAACTAATTAATCTAAAATACAAACAAAAAAATATGAAATTATCAAATTAACACAATTTGTAAAACATCTCCCCTTAGGCCCAAAAAACAATTATTAGAAAACATAATTTCACTCTAATATAAAAATATCACTTCATCTCATCTCTAGTATAAAAATTAGTTGATGACTAGATCTAATTTAAAATATGAAACATCTTTAATCCCTTTTATATTTTAAATTTATCATTTATTCAAACTAATTTACTAACAAAATGATATTTGATCATGTTGTTACACATGGTTGTTTTTATAAAAAAATGTTACAATTATTATAATTTATTTATTTATTTAAATTAATTAAGTAACTATTATGATAAGAATTAGATTGAGCACACATATATACGGTCTAAAACATAATAGGTCAATTTTATATATATATATATATATATTTTATATAAGATTAATATGAAAAGCATGGATCAAATAAATGAATGATACTTTTATTTTTTTTAATGCACTTATGTTTTCTTTCTCTGTTTAAATATGTGTCATTATACATACATTAATTATTTTTATTATAGAGAATGGAAATGAAATGAAGCATGCAATGGGCTCTAGATAACACGTTTATGTGGATGGAGTTTTCTCAATTAATTAATCAGAATAGTAGATTCCCTCCTATCAATTTACAATTTTAACCTAAAAAAAAAAATTAACAGGCCCAGGCCGCCTGACAGGCCTAACAGGCTTACTATCAGGCCTGAGCCTGGCCTGATAAAGTAAACAGGCCTTTTTACAGGCCTGAGCCTGGTCTGATATCTAAACAGGCCAGGCCAGACCAGGCCATTTACAGGCCAGGCCACAGGCCCCTGACAGGCCGCCTGGCCTATTTCCACCCTTACTTGTTGTGACATTGGGTATTGTGAGAGTTCGCCTCCTTGGGGTAATGGACTTGGAAAAAAAAGTCGGGAGTGGAGGCTACCGTTTGGGGCCCCAACTTGGGACTAGTGTCCACAAAGAAGCCAATCATGTAAATGACCAAATTTTCGGAGTCTCTAGCCACGCAGCAGCGATTCCCAAAGGAGACAAGAAAGAAGACTAACGGAGGGAGATTTAGGTTCCCTTCAGAGTTCTACCAGCCCAGTGCGAAGCCAAGTTGCTTTTCTTTTGCCATCAAAATAAAAAGGGATATTTAACGAGGCGTCCAAGGGAGAATAATTGTTAATAAATTTTAATTATAAATAAAGAGTTGCTATTTCATACGCTTAAACTCATCATTATAAACTGAAAATTATGCGTATTCATAACTGTCAACGACGTGCTAGGTGGTGGCGGCTCTCGTAGTTTCAATGCTAGGTTTAGGGTTTATGTTTTGGGCTGCTAGGCTTCGGCCCTTTTCTTTTGGGCTTTGTATGTTCCGTCTTTTATCTATAAAATTATATCTATCTTTGGTCAAAAAAAAAAAAAAAAAACGACGTGCCCTGCACCAATCCCAATCACAGCTGTATACACAGGAGGGCCCGTGTTATATTAAATTCTCAGATTATTCATAGCGGAGCGCGTCATGCTGGCCTTTACTTCAACTTTTTATCGGGAAAAGAGTTCATTTTGGCTACAACCAACCAATCAACACCATCGACCTGGAGCATCCACTAAATCTTATTCCACTTTACTGCACCAGGCGCGAGTGACCAATTTGGCGCCATCCTTTTGCACACAATAAAAAGAAATACTGGTAGTCGTACTGAGTAGTTCTAGTACGCTGATATGCGCAAGTCCTGTCCTAGTTTGCAATGACAAAAAGAAGCCATACGAAAAGTTTGCCGCGCAGCCTATAATGAAATAACCATTTCGATTTAGATTACCCGATAGAAATCGAGCAGGAAAGTAGTTCTACAAACTCGATAGGGTAGTCGTACATAAGTTGTTCTTCTCAACTGAACAAGAATACACAAGTTTTCACCCACAAATATGGCTGTCATTCTCTATGACACCATAGCGACTCTGTAATTAATATTACAATGGCGGCATCAAATGTCATACATCAGCTACCAAGCGTCTTCAAAGCGACACCACAGACAGCATTTATTCAGCAGCGTCTCACCACTTCACCAGAAATCCACCAAGATGAGATCTCCAAAACAGACTAATTTCCAAGCTTACGCTTCATGGAAAAACCTGCCAAACGCACACAGCCAGCACAACAAAAACCTACCTACTATATTGTGCATTCCAACGTGTGCTTACGCTGCTGAGCCTGCTTGTTCGCATAGGTCTAGCAGATTCAGGGTCTGCAACATAATGCACAATGGATATCATCACCACAGAAAAGCTCAGACCATTTTCATGCACAACAACTTTTGAAGAACCAGTCATGCATGATACAAAATAATATATCTTTACCTCAGGAACAGACAGCTCAAGACGGAATTTTGGACCATCATAGTGATGTAAGACTGGCCTGAATGCATCTTCTTCCAGCGCACTGCAAAGTTTCCTGACACGGGTCCTCACCTACACACACACACAAAGACGTATAAAGTCGTCCTCAGTTCATGTAAATATCTGAGGGATACGTTAAAATCTGAACCCTCCCAAGATTCTACCTGAGCTGGAAACCTTGACTCGCCTTTGCACTTTTTATCCTCCCATGCAGTTGGATCTATGTTAGAGCCCCCAAAACTTGCAGCCTGCAACAACAGACACTAAATAGTTAAAAACTCAACTACACCTCTTTTTTATATTCTTCTATCACCCAGAAACTTTTAGTTCCCCATTCCTCAAAACATATTAATTTCCTCTTCAAACTGGAGTACAGTGCGAAAAAAGATCTTGTCCAAATAAAAAATTATATACAACCCACCTCAAAGACACCATGCAGCTGATGAGTAGTGTAGTTATACAGGAAAAGAGGTAACCCTGGTGTTATTGCCCGAACAGAATCCCGATATCTTGGTGGCAAACCTATCAAGAGGTTGCAACAGTCAACCCACAGGATAATTGACTAATTGACTAATTATATTAACAACAAAAGCATAAATAAACCACAGACAATCTGCGCATGCTCCAACATGCTATCCATGATAGATTGGGGTGTCCAAGAGTAATGAAATTGAAATCTCAGCACACAGACAACTTAAAACCCAAACTAGGACAAAAATGTCTATGGAATGTGTAACCCCATGAGCATTTGCCAAGGCGTACAACATGCTCAAACTAAAGGCATCACAAAACCATCCAAACAATTTTCAAATAGGTGCCTTTTGAGTTATGAAAATCAAACCAGTAAAGTAAGAATATGAAATTTACCAAAGAGCTGACGCTTTAAGTCTTCTTGCATCGTGTCATTGTTACAGACAAAGATGTATCCACCAAGCACCTCATTTCGTGGGAGCGTCTCTGATGCAGGCAAGGTCTTGAACCTTTTGTCAGCTGCATTTGTGCCGCTGTTTTCATTGTTACCGTTGCTTCCATTATTGTTGGACTCCTTGTTGTTCTGGAGATTGTTGTTATACTTGTTGCCACTGATGTTTGCCACTAAGCCTGCATTGCTTTTTGGGTACACCACATTCATATTATAAACTCCATTCCTGAGGGAACTCTTGCTCACATTTTCAGCAAACTTAGATTCCAGGTTCAGCATGCTGAAGTTCAGAGTGTCAAACTTGTTATCTTCTTGGATCCCAAACTTATCCCTTGACCTTGTTTCTATTGGGCCTTTTGTTAGATCAAGATTATTGACACGCTCTCCCTTTGACCTTGTTTGTTCAGCCAATTTGGAAGCAACCATTAACCATTTATGATCCTCTGATGTTTTCGAGTGTCCTCGAAGCTCATCTCCCAACTGCCAAAAGCTGTGCAAGCTGTCCATCTTTTGAAACCCTAGTACAATAGAAAGGCAACCCGCACTAGTTAGATTAAGCCAGACAAAAATATAGCAACGCGAGACAACACAAATTTTACAGTGGTGCAACGCTTCAGCCAACATAGAACATCAAACTATTACACCTAAAAAAAATCAAGTCTGCCATAATTCAAAAGTCATGCATCAAAAATGTTCATGCACATTAGTCAAAAATATTTTTTCCCAAAAAAAAATGCTCATGTACGCCCTAATTTGAAACTACAAGAGTACGGTTCAAGTTTGAATTGGTAAACTACTGTAGACAGTTAGAAGCAAGAAGAAAATCCAGCTAATGACTTCAATTGCCAATTGTCAGTGTTTATATTGAAAAACAGTAAATTTGATAACAACCTTAAGAATTTAAAGACCCGAACTCAAAATGCAGATTTTTTGTCCTTGGTTCTTTCGGTGTAATTTCAAAACTTAAAGTCTTTCAATAGAAATATTTTTCAACTTAAAGTGACATAGATTAATTATTTTTCCTGGAAAAAAAGGCTTTTATTACACCTTCATGCAAATTGTACAACACTCGGTACAATCAGGTAACCATAATTAGACCAGGACTAAAAGAAGCACTAAACACTATATCGAGACGGTGGTCAGAGGAAATCAGATCTAAGCCACACGAAAATTTAGATAAGAAAGAAGTTCTTTAAGTATCTAACCTCAGATTATAACACATTTTCCTTATCCAATTCCACCATTATCATGTGAGCAATATAACCAAAGTAATTTTTTTAAAGCTCCGTATCAAGCAAAAAAATTATTACTCCAAACATAGACTTCACGTTGCCAATCAACTTAGATGATCGTATATAGCAATAATTGCGCCAACAAAGAAACTACATCAAAGATCGGAGGCAATCATGCCCAAATGTTGCAAGTGAAGATCTATAGGATAGAATATAGAACAAGGCAAAGCACAATCCGCATAGTGAACCGAACAGATATCCGATGAAAGAGGGAAGGAGGTGAAGGGAAGCTAATGGCAACAATAGATTTGACCAAGAGACCCAAGCAACTGATTCGAATAGGTACACACAACAGTATAAACAATGAAAGAACCCTAGTCTTGGAGATCTAGAAGAAAAGAGAGCAGCACCTTTTTGCCGACTTGACTGTGAAACGCAGAAGACGCTAGGGAGACTGTTTTCCAGACCAGGTGGCTGGATTTTTATTGCCAGCGAAAGTTTTCGTAATTCTGAAAAGGCCCATGAAATGTTCAAGAAATTACAAGATTTGCCACTCCGGTCATGTAATATGACTTGTGATTTTGAATTTGTTTCCAGAATTGAGAAGCTCTGGTTGGTGGCGGTGACGTGGCCGCATTTAACATGATCGGTCCAGTGCCCAACGGGTTCCACTTCCACAACGACGCCAAAAATTAATGTAAATTAAATTCGAATGTCGACGATTTTTAAAGCACAGGAGACATCATCGCACGTTTTATGGGACAAAGTTGGCCAAAATTTACTCATTAAAAAATTAAGAATTAATGTAGTTTTTTTTCAAGTCTATTATCATTTTAATTTGTTTTTGTTTAAAATATTAGTCTTATAATTTAATAAAAATTTGGATTATTTTGCTGGTTGAAGAATCAAAATCTGTTGTTTAAAACTCAAGAAAACAAAACTAAAATAAAAATAAATTTGCAAACCAAAAATTATATTAACTTAAAAATTAATTATATATATGCATCTGAAATTTGTCTCGTTGATAAAAGGACAATTTTATTCAACATAAATAAGATGATTTCATAAAAACACTTATTTTAGTGGTGTGATTATTTTTAATCAGCTCAATAACTGTATATAAAATACCATCTCTTATTCTTGATATAAAATTTAACTTGTAATTTAACCTGAACAATGTCATATTTTTTATATTAAAAAACTAATGTAGTATAATATATATGCACATAACTATGGGGTATTTGAATGGAAACTAAATCATAGTTTTAAAAATACTTTTACGGTGTACAAAAACATATGTAGAGAAGTTTATCTCGTTTTATGAAAATGTATTTTTTAAAAACATTTTTATATATTTCCAAACACTCCCTGAAACCATGTTACACGAAACCGAGGAAGATAATGCATTGGAAAAAGAAGAAGATGATCATAAGTGCCATCGCTAACTGCACAAGTGAGTCCGTTTGAGTTATGGACAGGACAAATAGCTTATTTTCAATTTGATTTTTTGAAAACGTAAATAAAATAAAAGTTAAATCAGATAATATGAATTATATTTGGATTGAATTTTATAAAAATTACATTGTATAAAAAGTTGTTTAAATTATGGTTAAATAAAAAGTAAGTTATAAGTAAAATGAACCGATAGGTAACTTTTAATAAGTCAAAAGTAGCTTGTTTTTTAACTTGAGATAATTGCACCTCTGAATCTAACTTTTGGCTTATAAGTCTCAGCCAAACAAGTGCTGGAATTCCAAACGTGTTTATGAGTTGAAATAAGTAAATACTATTTTTATCTTTAATATAAGATCTTGTTTGACTTCTATTTTGATCCTAAATATAAGATCTCAATCCACTTTGTCTCTTATATTTATACTACCTCCGGTCCTTAATATAAGACCTTATTTGACTTTTATTTTGGTCCTAAATATAAGACCCCAATCCACTTTGTCTCTCATATTTATACATTTTTTTCCAAAGTAGCCCTTCTAACAATGATAGTTCTAGTCAATACATTTGATTGGCAAGAATATTTTAGGAAAGACAACATCTATTTAGGACAAATAACTAACTCAACTTACTTCTTTAATATCTTCAAATTAGTCAACTGGCTCTTATAATTAGGACCGGAGGTAGTATATTTTTTTTCCAAAGTAGTCATTCTAACAATAATAGTTCCAGTCAATACACTTAATTAGTAAGGATATTTTAGTTAAATACCACCTATTTATGACAAATAACTAACTCAACTTATTTTCTTAATCTCCTCAAATTAGTTAACTGGCTCTTATAACTAGGACCGGAGGCAGTAAATAACTTTTGGGTCTTGAAACGTTATGCCAGACAGACTAGGTGTGAATTACAGAATAGGGAAAATTTTTATGTGAACACATTATGAGCACTTCACATGGATAACTCCAAACAGCTGCTATGATCTTACTAACTCAAGGGCGAGGAAAAAGGAGCTGGCTAGTCGCCACCTTCGTGGCGGGTCTACAGCGCGGAGCCGATGAGGCCATCATCACCCTCGTCATGAGTATTATTGGACAGTGGAAAACTCAGCGACCAATATTTATTTCATGTCAAAATTACTCCATGAATACATGCACGGTGATCCGGGAAAACGATGATCCTTTGAACCCCGCCCATGTATATACATACGCTCACGCATATCGTGCAATGCCCCGTGATATGCCGACAACGTGTTGGAGCCATGTGATGCCCAGTTTTTCCTCTTGGACCTGAACGTGAAGGGCTATTGAAGGCTGAGCATTCGTTAACTTTAAGAAAATAATTCTGAACTAAGAATTTAGGTCTTAGGTTTCAAGTCCTTATAATAATATTGGCAACAATAATTCCAAAGAAAAATAGCCTCCAACTCAATTGTGGCAGCGTCTTCTTTCTTTTTTTTCCTAGCAAAAAAATGGTTAATGTATTTTGTATGTGGGCAAAATGCAAGAGGGTTGATGGCCCGGTTGGCCCAATTACCCTAGTCCACAATCTAGTTTAATTGGGTTGGTCGAAAATTTTGTTTTAAACCGAAGCAAAAACGCATCTTTTGGTTTTGGTGAGTTTTCGACTCAGGGCCTGTTTAAGTAATATAAGAAACTATAGTTTTGGGTCTCGGATTTGCTAAACAGAGGATAAAATTAACAAACCATAGTTTTGAATTCAAAACTGTTGTTTTAGAAAAAGTAAATTCATTTTACTTTTGACTCAGATTAGAGAGTATGATTATGCTTGTCAGATTAAATCTCAATGATAATATGTCTTTAACACCCCTCAATTATTTTTTATAAACATATTTAATCTTATATTTTATAAATATATATACACATATTAATTATTTATTAATTATATTATCTTATATATTATTAATTATGCTGGTAAAAAATATATTATTGACAATTTTATTTCTTCAAATTAAAATATATTATAGAATCTATTTTTTTTATGTAATTATCATATTAACTTATGTCTTTTTTAGTAATTTATATATATAAAAAGTGCTTCTTATAACAACTATCCAAACACTCTCACTTTATTAGAATCACTTTTTTCACAAAATCTATTCTCCAAACCATGATTTGGTTTTATCCAAACACTCTCTTAATTCACTTAAATTTTTTTATATAAACAGATATAGGTAAATCAATAGGCTCTTTTATAAAAGGTCAAATTATATGAATCTAATATGCCAAAATCAACCCCGTTCCAAACGTACAAGAAGTAACATGTAAGTTACAAGATAACTGTGAGTGAATATCAACGCATGCCGTAAGGGTGTCTGAATTAGTTTTATGTTAAAGGCTAAACTGAACAGGCCCGGGTCGTGGCCCTGGGGAATGAACGTAGGCTTCGAAAAGGGGCCGTAAAACTGAACACCGGATAATACTTCTATACTATCAACTCTACGTCACCCTCTTTTCATCATCCACAAAACCCAAAATCCGAGAAATACACTATCCAGACAATGGATTTTGATCAACTTCTATTCTTTGAGCATGCCCGTAAAATCGCTGAAGATAACTACGCGGCTAACCCTCAAGATGCCGACGTCAGTGCTCTTTGTTTTTGCCTTTTTCAGTATTCCCAATATATTAATTAATTAATTTTGTTCGGCCGATGGAGTAAGATTGGTGGAGTATCAGTCTCTGTTCAATGGCCTTGATGAGTTCGTTTTGGCTCACGGGAACTTTATTTTCTAATCCATGTAGAACTTAACAAGATGGGGCGGCGCCTTACTGGAGTTGTCTCAGTTTCAAAGCAGTAATTCCGATGCCAAGAAGATGGTCAAAGGTGCTAATTTGTTGCCCTTTTGTTCTTTTTTTTTTTTTTTTGAAGCTTTAGTTTAATATAGTGACTGTTGAATCCGACCATTTATAATTACTGAAATTTTATGGGAAAATACAGTAGTTGCTGACGCATCTCCAGTTTATATAATCTAATTTTAGGATGCTGACTCGTTTGATACAGATTCTATTACGAAGCTGGAGGAGGCATTGATGATTAACCCCAAGAAGCCTGATGCTGTTTGGTGCCTGGGAAATGCTTATACTTCACGTGCACTTTTAACTCCGGATCAAGAAATGGCAAGAGTTGATTTTGATCGAGCATCTGAACACTTTCAGCAAGCTGCTGATGAGGTAGGTTTTCACTCTTGCACCAATGTTAAGGGAAGCACTTTATTTATAATTGTAAATTGTAAATGTACTGAAAGAGTTGTGAACTTCTGAGTATACTAGGATCCTGGGAACGAACTCTATCGAAAATCCTTGGAAATGGCTGCGAAGGTATGTTCTTTCTCATAGCTTTTTGGCATTATGTTATTCGGCTGTTTTAGTTGTTGCAATTGCGCATTGCCATTTATCTTGTGATACAGAGATGAGCGTTACCAGTTGCTTCATTTTCATGACAGGGTTTTCACCTGTCCTAGAGGAGAATTTAGCCAGAGATATTTAGATAACTAAAAGTGATGAACAGAGACAAAATTCTGCTTAAATTTTAATTTATCAAGTGCTTTACCACATTTTCTTTCACATCAGAGCGTATTTGACAGCTAATGTTAACCTTTTCAATTACTAATACCTGTTTCTCAAGGCTTCTGAGCTACATAAAGGGATGCATGAGCACGGTTTTGCTCAGCAGGCAGTGGAAACTTCTGGATCTTCTATTTCATCTGGTACAAAGGTGGGACTTCAAATTTTTATCGTCTTTCCATGAGTTTCTTTTTTAAAAGAAAAATTAGCGGTTAAACTTAGGACATGGAATTACATCTCTGTCTCCTGAGTGTTTTTGGCACCGGCTGCATCTGCTAAGAGGCATTAACGAATTTTATTTCAACCGGCATGAATTTGAGCTCTATTGTTCTTTTACCAAAGTGAGGCTTTTAATCTGCCTATGCATCTAAGGGGCGTGTCTCCAGTTGGGAAGTGGTGCCTTGTGATTATAATAAATCATACTTTTCTGTTGAACTTTGATGATATTTAGGCACGCATCTATTTATATGATTATCTGTGTAAAGAATCAGGTACTATAGAATACTTAGAACTTGGTCCTCTCAGGTCATGTGTTCAGAACTATGGGGATGCTCTGTTGCACCTGTAGTGGGAAAAAGGCGACCGTTGAGCATAATTCGTCATGCCAACACTTATTGTTATCTGTGTTCGTGTTGTGTGTAAAGAACTCGGTTTGTTCATGGGCTGTTATTTATTTTGACGCCTTAGCATATCTTGAACTATCCTTCACTACTGTTGTCGTGTCAGCCATCTGATCGCAGACCATGACGGTGAATGAGTTTAACTTTGGTGGTATATAGATGTTGCAAAAACCATCGGTAGAAAACCTGATTATAGGAGAAATGCTGTATAGTCCTGATTTCTTTACGAGTCTTTTCATTTCATTTTTCCGTGATCCATGTCTTTTCTGTTTCAGAACCAAAAGATAAAGCAGAGCAGTGATCTGAAGTATGACATATTTGGATGGATAATTTTGGCAGTTGGCATTGTTGCATGGGTGGGATTTGGAAACCGCACCCACCACCTCCTTCTCAATCAGCCCTTCAATAAGTCAATCATTTGAATTGATGCAGAATTCTTTCAATCATGGTTTTGGTTCTTCTTGTTCACTTGTGGGCCCCTTTTATCGCATAATATATGCTTCGCCAGCTAATCGTTTGCTCATCGACCATAGGAACATTTTTCTATTTGGATTCAATCATGCAGCCTATCCGTCAAGTAGATGTTTCCAAGTATTGAGAGAAAACCAGCAGCACTGGCGTCGAAATGTGTACATATACACCCCCCCCCCCCCAAAATTTTTTTGTCATCCGCTCCTATTACTTTGGGCGGGGAAATAATAAGGCCCAAGTTTTCACTTAAAACCATTGTTTATTGATCTCTTGTGATAGTTAGACACTATAATGGAAGTTGCCCACTGATTCTTGAATCTTGATGTGCTTTTCTCCGGATTATAGATTGGATTATTGGGTTGGATGGTGTTGAAGTTAAACCTTTCTTTCACAGTTCAGACACATTGAACCCCGCAAGTAAATAATGCTTCAAGTTTACTCACCGAGCAGGGACCAAAAAAGATAAAGAAGAAAATGGTTGTGTGCTTCATGCAGCCTTAACTTCGTAAAGCTTGCAATCACAGTGGTTACAGTTTTTCTTGAGACACGAAGGTATTCGGTATGCAAACACTAAATCAACTTTCTATTTCTTTTTTTTTTTTAGAAAAAGAAATCTAAATTTGAGCGTATTTCAAGACTTGTTTGCTGAATTAGTGTAGTTCCCCAAAGGGACGGTGGAGGTTGTGAAACAAAGAATAGGGGATGGGGGAAATTATTTTAACCGACGTAAGTCTAAATTAGTAATCTGCCATAATTCGGTGAATATCATCCTTGGGGCTTCCCACCACTAGTATCTGAAGCGTGAAAGTTTTAAAAGGGGTTTGATTCTTCCTCGTGGCATTTGAAGAGGTATTTTAGAATGGGGACACCTCGGTTAATGCCTAAGGATATAATATAGGTTTGTCCTGCTCAACATCAATATCGCATAGGAAGAGCCATTCAAGCGCCCTATTCTTGACTTGAGTTGAGTTCAAACCCTGTCTAAAATTTTGTAACAAAAAAATAATAATAATATTAAATATAAGATTTAGTTGGGACCCAAAAAAGAGTAATTTAGTTGAAATTCTAAATACAAGACTTCAAGTTTTTTTCATTTTATTTTATTTTTTCAAAAATTACTTTTATTAATTTCACAATTTTCCTCATTTAATGCTCTTTTTTGGTGGTATTTTAAGGAAAGTGAAACGAAGGACTGATTTAATCAATTTTTTCAAACATTCGTAAATCCGTCAAGACCTAATGACTTATCCGTATATCCTCTTGGATGGGCTCTGTAAGAGCCGCTGAACCAACCACAATGGGATGACTTTGACGAAGGTTGCTTCAGAAATAAATATGGCATGGTAGCAAGGCAGGAGTCTGACACGTTACCGGCTATGTTATTTACTAATGCTTCTTAAAGGCGACACGGAGACTTCATTAATGCCTCTGGTCCCGAAATAGTGGAATTCATAATTATTTATTAAGAGATACACGCTTGTGTTTGGACACTGAAAGCTAATAATGCAACGTGGTTGAAAATTGAAATTTTCGGCACCCGGAAACTGTTGTTAATGATTTTTTCCCCCCTGTTTTCTCAAAGACACGAGGGATTCTGTGGGAGATTGAAACTAGAACCAAACAGTTCAAGGGTGTGTTTGAGATAACGGTGACAGAAGTAACTTTTTTTTTCAATCTGACTTTTATTAAAGTCAAATTGAGTAAAAACTAGATAGTGTAATGTGATTTATGTTTGGATTGAGTTTTGTAAAAAAATCAGTTTGAGAAGCTAAAACTTGTTTGAATGATAAATGTAAAAGTAAGTTTAGATAAAAAATGATTGAAAAGAACATAAATTTTACTCCCTCCGTTCCTTATTATAAGAGACAAATAACCGAAGTACGTTGATCAAAAAAATAGTTAAAATTAGTTAAGAACAATTAATGTGTAAAAAGTATAATTTTTTTCCAAAAATGCCCTCATTAATAAGGAGAGAGAACATGAGAGAGAACAATTAAATTATTAAAAGAAAGAGAAGTGGGAGGGAAAGAGAGTGTGAGTTGGAAATAATAAATATGGGTAAAATAATAAATCAACACAAAAAAGTAGAGACAACTTGTAAGTGTCTCTTATATATAGGAACATGCCATAAGCATCAAATGTCTCTTATAATAAGGAACGGAGGGAGTATTAAATAATACATATTTAATTAAAATTAAAATTATAAAAATAAAAATAGTTATTTTTAAGAATAATTAAAACTAAAATAATATATTTAAATTTTAGAAAAAATTGAGAAAAAGTCCTCCTATTAAAAATATAATTAGTGAGAAGGACTTAAATCATAATACAAGCATTCTATATCTATATAAAAATTTATCAATTACTTCTTACTAATTAAATTTTTAATACAACATTTTTCTCAATTTTCCATAGATTTTATAAACATGATAGAAAATAATAAATTTATTTTTAAAAATGGTTTTATTATTCAAAAAATAATTTCTTTAACATTAAAAAATGGCTGGGCTAAAAAATTTTAAAAAAATACACATCATGCATAAAGCATTCTCTCTCCTCCCTCACTCATGAGCCCCACCTATCCAAACTTGCTGTGGAGAAGTCAAAAGCAATGAATTGGAGCTTTTGGAAAACAGCTCTCTTTAAACATAAGCCTATTTACCTTTGTTGCCACTCGAAACATGATATTTAAACAAAAAGTTGCTTTTTTCATCATTTTCCGGTAGAGAAGTCCGTTTGAGAGGTATGGCCGTGATGCCAAACACGCTCTAAGTCATTTCTAATTCATATTGAAATTGAGGGCAATGCAAATGGCGTTGTTGAGTTCATGTCTCAGACATGAAGGTTCATGAATGATAGAATAGTGGTCCTGAACTCGTTAGAATGCTTTTGAGTTATTCAAATGAAAAATCTTTCATCTTTTATGGTTGGGACCATATTTGCTTGTCAGAGTTTTGATTTAAAATTATTTCCCTTTGGATTACGAAGCTGTGATCTATTGCGGGTACGATAAGTTTGCTTACCCACATTCACACAGGATCTGATGGGTCCACTTCTTCATCTATTTCCTCTATGTTTACATTCTTAATTCCTTATATTTGAAATGGTCATTTAAAAAAAAAAACTTAATTGCTCGTAGAAAAGCAAAAAAGAAAAGATGCTACTCTTATTGAAAAAAAACTTAATTGCTCGTAGAAAAGCAAAAAAGAAAAGATGCTAACTTAACCGTGATTGTGAAGAATCTAATCTAATAACTATACTAACGTCTATCTGATTAGAAAATGGCGGCCATAAATGTCTCAGTTGGAAACAAAAAGTAAAACCAATTGGAAGCCATGAATGTCTGTTCTCTAGATTGGGACAATCTCATGGTACATGATAAAACGAAACCAGTTGGATATAGAAGCGAGAATTCTTTCCTTTCTTTTCTTATTTGCTTTAAGCAAGATAAAAGGCCTGCTTTCATCTTTTCCGGGGAATTTAAAGCTCTGTTGCTTATCACAATTTCTACCGTTGAAGTTGAAGAGACCTTCGGCTCCATTTATTCTCAAGTCTGAGCACTGTCAGTATCAATTTTATCTTCCAAAAACGCAGAAAATCTGCGCTGGAAAAGTAATTGCTTTTAATAGCAATCCCCGTGTTATAATAATTGATAAAATAAGAATCAGGCCAGGCAGCCAGTACTTTTGTATCAGCTCAGTAGCGTAATATGCCGTATTTTTCTTCAAAATTTTTTTAAAAAATGAATAATTTTTAAAAAATATTTGCGAATCAGTGGAATTGAAAAAAAGAAGAAGAAGATTTTCGAATTGGCGAACAAAAAGTAACATGGGATTTTTGAACTTATTGAAAGCAGTTAAGATGCTGACAGTAATGGTTGTGGTTGTTGCATTGAGGTTTTATTGGTGGCTTGTGCATTTAAGGCTTGTGATGAACGTTGCACATTTAATGCCCAGTGCCAATAACTGCTTTGTGCTTTCTTCCCAGCAACCTCAACTCCAATTCTTCATCTTCCTTCACTTTTGGCTTCCATGCGGAGTACATGGTAGCTGCTAATATGGCTATATTCAACTTTCTCCAACTTCTTTCTCTCGTTTTGATAATGGTGGGTGCACAGTTATGCCTAGCAGAATCATCGCTTGTAGTTCATTTTAGTCGTACTCCACCAACTCTGACCAGGTCCTCCAACGCCGTTTTCCAGTACTTGGTTAAGAGGTTGGATGGTACCAATGCTTGTAAGAGAAATACTTGTTTATTTTCCTGTGAGGTGTGTGGTTTCTCTTTATCATTCTTCTAATAATATGGTTATTTGGGAATCCCTCCATTATTGTTGAAAGTGTTCTATCAAATCTTGATATGAAAAAAACATACAATATCACATTCAAGTCCAGGTTATTGTGAATATAATATAACGAGTGTTTTTGTAACAGCTTGATGGCAAGGCTTTTCCTTGCGGAGCTAATGGCATTGTGTTGAAGAACTTAACTATAAATGATGAGCATAACTTTCTTCTCAATGTTACTACAAACAAGGGAGAAAGAAGTTCATCAACTTACTCATGGTTTATAGGTGACCACCCACACTCTCCCTTGTTTGGGTGAAAAATTACAGAGAAATGTAATTTTTTTCTCATTTGACTTTGCTTTCTGATGGTTTTACAATAGACAGAATAGCCCCAACAGCAATCATCTCTAGTGAACAGACATATACAAATGCCAAGAGGGTATCAGTTGATATCACATTCAGCGAACCATGCACTGGACTGGGCGGATTTAATTGTCTAAACTCATCAAACTGTGATGTAAGTTGGTTTCTAATGACTAGAACTATGTTTGTACGCACCTGCCATTATTTCTTAAAAAGTTTAAAATATTTAAATGATGGTTCTCCTGCAAGGTCTCCGTAACTGGTCCTGCATATGTGCGTGCTTCTTCTCTGCAAATGATTAGACCAGGCACTCACTATAGTCTTGAAGTGATTCTCTCCTCAAAAAGTGCATATGGGCGTGCAGTAATCCAATTGGCAGATAATATTTGTGCGGATCAAGCTGGAAACAGGTTCAATAGAACCAATAGTTCTTCATTGACCATTCACTTCGGTAAGGTGCTAGTTGCCAATTTATTGTACTGTCACGTAATTAGTATTGGCATGGAACTGAAAGTACAGTTTGATGGCTTAGATAGAAGACCAGTTACAGTAGATATCTGGACTTCAGTTCCATCATATGAGTTGGTAATTAACAAAGTCCCAAGAACAGTGATTGCAACTAGCAAAACAGAAGACCTGATAATTTTCTTGGACTTCAGCACTCCCTTAAGGAATTCAACTAAGCAGATTCTCAACACATTACGAGTCAATTCTGGTACCTTAGTTCCTTTCCACGTCAGACAAAATGAGACCCGTCGTTTTGCTTTTAAAGTGAGCAGATAACTTATCCGAGTCCCTTATGCTGTTTCGTAACATTCATATTCCTCTCTACTGATAGTTTTTGGTTTTCATTTTCAAGCTCAAGAACATCTCAGGAACTGAGATCATCACGGCTGAATTACTAGCTTCTTCAATATTTGGCAGGACAGGCACTCCCGTCTCACCTGTTTCTCCTATTACATTCCTTTATGGTATGCCAAACTCTGCTCAGATTACTCACAGGATTCTCTTAGCAACTTTTACTTTAAGCTAAGCCCTAATTTTTTCTGGCAGATTCAATGAAACCTGGTGTTACACTACGGACCAGCTCACAAAGTGTGACAAAGGAATCTCACATCAACATAATTGTTGAGTTCACAAAGCCAGTCTTTGGCTTTGAGGCCACTATGGTAGAAGTAATGGGAGGAAGACTAATCAGGCAAGTCAATTAGGCAATTCAGTACACACACACACACAACTAACAAACATGTTCATGAAGGGTTTAATTTTTGTTTGATGTAGGTTAAAGGAACTATCAAGAGCTCTATACTCGTTGTCTGTCCAAGCAGTAACTCAAACGGTGGTGTCAGTTACCGTTCCTGCAGGGAAGGCAACTGATATTTCAGGAAACGAAAATATGGCATCTAACCAAATTGAAGTAAAGCATTGTATGAATAATTCTTTGCTTTCTGCATATAGATACTATTCTTTTATCACTGAGCTTTCATTTTCTTAGTATTAAGAGTTGAATGCTCTTCATTTAAATCATTCAACTAATTCCAGGATGAGTGATGAGCACTTCTACAGAAATGCCTGATACATTAACACAACAATGTAGAATCTCACGAGTATACACTGCATACTCACATGCAGAAGAATATATGTTTAAACACGTGCTAATCGTTAAGCAGAGCTTCAGATATTATTTTTGTATTATAACCTGGATATGATCTCCTCAGATTCCATTCCTGCAACGTCCATTGCATCACATTCATTTGTGAGCGCTGGGACAATTGCTACGTCACTTGTGGCTGCTATATTTTCACTGTCCTCTGCAAATCTAGAAGCAATAAGCATGCTTGCTTCAGGAGGTACAAAATGTGCTGCTTCCAGTCCATCAACGAATCTACATGTAAATGTTGAATTGTTTGCTAACAATTATGTATTTCTCAGACCTCAAAAATATACATAATCTCTGAAAAAGCATGGTTTGCTTTACAGGGACTAATAGGACACCTACAGATCTTTGCCCTCTCGGGCTGGTTTTCGGTTAACCAACCTGTTGAATATTATGAAACAACAAGAGGTCTCCGGTGGCTCATACCACATCACAAGCTTCCTTGGAAAGATGTTGGTTCTTCAACCTCAGACAACAAAGGTTTTCCAGAGGAAGAAAAATTTGTTAGTATAACTGATGACTGGTTTGTGGGGGCCAAGTCCCATAACAGGGATGGCCATCAAGATGACCTGAACACCTCTTCATACGCTGAACATGTAGCCGCACTTTCAAGTGAGAACAATTCAAAACTTGGCTGGCTTCCCCGTCAGTACAACTTAAGCATAAAAAGTACATCCTTTGGTCAACCCCTCAGTTCTGCTGAATATTTTAGTTATTTCTTGGTGAGTGTGCAGTACCATTTTTTTAGAACATGTAAGTATAGAGCACTTCACAGTTAAATTATTTGCCTTGTAGAGAGGAGAACCGATGTCAGCGAGCAACGTCATCAAGAAACTGGGGAATTACAACGGGTATTATAGCTTTACGATAACCTTTATGCTTAAACATTAGATTCAAGACAATCACTGTCACAAGACTTCTAGTTTTTTCATATCCACTTGTGACAGAATGAACTATTGATTTTGCATGGGTAAAAATCTAAGCTTCTTCTCTAACAGGTGGCTGGACTTGGAGAAGAACTTGTTCTGGCTCGGAGTGGGAGGAGGCAGTTTAGTTTTAATTCATGTTTCCATCGTATTATTCTTGAGATGGAGGACCGGAATATCACCTCAAGGCAGCCTATCAGTTCCTAGGTTTGAGCTCCTTCTTCTGATTCTCATGCTGCCATGCATTTCTCAGTCTTCAACGTTCGTAATAAAAGGTAAGAGACTACTTTTCACTGTCTTGCTTCAGTCATCGACTTTTGCAGGATTATGGGCACTAACATGTTGAAACCATATCTATGTGCAGGTGGCACAGCCCGGGGAATTATAACGGGGGCTTTATTGTTAGCAATTCCTGTAGCATTCGTCCTGTCAGTATCCCTCTTTCATTTTATTGCAATTTTCTCTGGGAATTTTGTCCAGTATAAAGAAGTCAGACAATTAGTAAACGAAGAAACATGGAGCAGGAGGTTCTGGTTCTTCTTTACTGGCAGGTCAACAAATGGAAAGTGGTTTTACGAGGAAGGACTGCCTTCATCATTCCTCCCAAGATTTGGGATTCTTTTCGACAATTGTAAGGGTTGTCCGGTCCCTGTTTTTGTTGATCAAGTTGATTCAAACACCCACGTGAAGTGGGCTAAAAAAAGGTCAAAGTGGGATTGGAAGAATGAAGGCAGTCAGCTCGGATGGCAGCAATAAAGAAATCAAGACTCCATTGTCCAAGAAGGTTTTGGGCCAGGCAAGGTCATTTTATATCGTTCTTGATCTATTAAGAAGGGTTGCTTTGGGAATCATATCTGTTGCCTACTCATCAGAGAGATCAAGTAAAAGTCTGCTTGCATTGATAATCACAGCAGTACAGTTCATTTATCTTTTTACCTTCAAACCATACATAAGGAGGAGTGTCCAAGTAGCGGAAAGTGTTGCCCTCTTGTGTGAGGGAGGTGTGTTTGCCATATTCATCTTTCAGAATAACTCGAACCTGATTGAAGCCAAGACATGGGGATTGGTTCTGTTGATTCTTCTTCTGGCTTCTTTTATTGCTCAGCTTATCAACCAATGGTATACTATGATAACATCACTGTCCAGATTCTCACAGCCTCACAAGAATTCTTTTAGGCATGGAATAAAGTTTGCTGCCAAAGGAGTTATCTTGCCTTTCCTTCCCAAGCATCATTGGTGTAGATTTATACATTCGTCTTCCCAACCAAATGCAGAGATACTTCCAGTAAATCCTCTTCGTTCAGAAACAGAATTCGAAAGAGGAAATAGAACAGGATATATGGATCCAACCAGTGCCATGACTGCTACTATAGTCCCTGTGCTCAGTTCAGGTACACCAAGCCCCAATCTTATTGAAACAACAGATCAGAGGCCAGAGATAGATATCAATGAACATATAGAAGTGGAAGGTAAATGGCTAAAAGGACACAAGGCTGGGCCAAGAAATGAGCTAAAGATGTTAAGGGAGCTGGCAAAAGCTAGTTTTTCTGGGAATTCCCGAGTTGATGAAGCCAGTACCAGCTACAGCTGGAAGAAATAACTCCCCAGTTAAGCAAAGATGCAGATCCTAACTCAATTTTTTTCTTCCCGGAAAAAATTTCAATTTCCAATTCTTCAATTATCTCTGTATATCTTCTCTTGTTTGTTGATGATCAAATGACAGCTCTGATCTAATTTCGTGAGAAGCCAGTTGAACTAAATTTATCTAGTGCTTCTGTATTACAAGATTGAAATATCCCAATGCCTTTATCCTTGATCCACAGTTTCATACTTTCATTTGCTCTGAGAAAACGTTCAATACATGATTTTCTTTATGCAGGCGACAAAAATGCAACTCTGCAGTCAAAAACTTCAAGACACTTAGAAATGAGGAGGACGCAGTTTCAACAGCACCTTGACATATCAAATAAACTTGAGTCCCATAAAGAACAGGATAGATCATTGGCCAAAAAAACAAAAATAATAAAGAACAGGGTAGACTAAAAACATTTGTTATATCTGGTTCAGCGATGCCACTTAGACTGTGTGTAACACCATAAATTAAGTATTCAGCAAGAAATAGTCATCCTAAAAACCAAAAAATTGAAATAATCTCGTAATACAAATTTTTTTTATCAATTTTTATAGAAGAAACAAAAAAATTAAGTGATCAAAGAGAGGGGAAAAGGTACAAACAAACTTGCCCTAGGACATTAACTATTATTACAGGAAGGCTATAATATATATTAGGGGATTAAGTTTGAGAAAAGTTAAAAATCTTCATCCATTGTGAAGACATGGACGCCACCATTGCCATTCAAACTGGACATAACAGAGGCCTTCTGATATTCTCCGACCCGCTTCTCGAAGAAATTGGTCTTGCCCTGCAACGAAATCAGCTCCATCCAATCAAACGGGTTCTGAACATTATACATCTTCCCGTATCCCAAAGCTCCCAGCAACCTGTCAGCTACAAACTCAATGTATTGGCTCATTAGATCGCCGTTCATCCCCACCAGAGCACACGGCAAAGCATCACACACAAACTCTCTCTCTATATCCACCGCATCACGAACGACACTCTTCACGCGCTCCTCGCTCAGCTTCTTCCTCAGCAGCGAATACAGAAGGCAAGCAAAGTCACAGTGAAGCCCTTCGTCTCGCGAGATCAGCTCGTTCGAAAAGGTGAGACCCGGCATCAAACCGCGCTTCTTCAGCCAAAATATCGCGCAGAAACTGCCCGAGAAGAAAATGCCCTCAACGCAAGCGAAGGCAAGCAAGCGCTCTGCAAACGATTCCGAACCATCGATCCAGCGAAGGGCCCAGTGGGCCTTCTTGGCCACGCAAGGAACGGTCTCTATGGCGTGAAACAAACGGTGCTTCTCATCAGAATCTTTGATATAGGTCTCCAACAACAGACTGTACATCTCGGAGTGGATGTTCTCGATGGCAATCTGGAAGCCATAGAAGGCGCGGGCCTCGGCGACCTGAACCTCCTTCATGAACCGACCAGCTAAATTTTCAAGGACGATACCATCGGAGGCAGCGAAGAAAGCTAAGACGTGGGTAATGAAATGTTTCTCGCCCTGAGTAAGAGATTCCCAATCACGAAGGTCCTGGGAGAGATCGACCTCCTCAGCAGTCCAGAATGAAGCCTCGGCCTTCTTGTACATCTCCCATATCTGAGGGTATTGTATGGGAAACATACAGAACCTGTCTGGGTTAGAAGCGAGCAAAGGCTCTTCTGGGATCGCAGGCATATTGTGAAAACAGCTAAATCAGAATCGTAAGAAGATTGAATTTGAAAGTGAAGTAGGGAAAGATGTGGAGGCACGAAGAATGAAGAAGAGGGAGTGGATATATAAAAGAGAGGGAAGAGCGGGAAGAGATGGATTGAAAGATTGAGAGGGAGCGGGTGATTTGAAAATTGCGGGAGAAGCTTGCGGGAGACTGAAGTGGGAGGGATAATTTGGGGAATTCAGATCCACATTCCGATGACACGAGTTTGTTTTCTTTTGCGGCTTCGTTTGAACGTTTGGAAATTTTGGTGGGAAACGCTTGGTGCGCCCTCCGTTTTCAGTTTTTAAATCAAAATCATACATCACTGATCACTGTAAAAAAAAAAATTTTAAAAATATTCTCTTACTTAATTATATTGATATGTACTTATTTTATATTTTCAAAAATTATACGTTGAGCTTTAACAAAATTTATGAAACTTTTAAATGATCTATTTTTTATATTTAGTGAAGATTTGTATAAATTTGTTTACAAAAAGAAATGAACGTCTCTATGATTTTATAATATTTAAAGAAGTGTGCGTAAGTTATTTTTATTTTTTAGAAAAATTGAGATTTTAAAAAATAAACAGAACTTCTGTAATGCCTTAATGAAATTAGAAAAATATACATATCTAGATTGAAAATAAATATGAAATGATGGTTTTTGCTTTAATTTTGTTTATTTTTAAACATTCTAAGTTGGGTTCTATTTTATGATTCTTGAAATCAAGGCATTCGCGATGGTGCATATCTACATGTGGTGGCATAAAAACCACGTATGCGATTCTGTGGGATGCATGCGCGGCACTCACTCAAAGAGCGTGCGCTTCCCGCGCGGATGCCACGTATGATATGCAATGGAAGCCCAACATAAATTTATGAGACCGCAAAAGGAGCCGGCCCGCTTTTTCCGGGCCTAACTCATATGGACTGAAGCGTACCAATGTTTTTGTTCTAGAAAACATAACACAAAAAGAAGTTAAAAATTATAATATTTTAATTTAGGTATTTAAAAGGTTAAAATCTCAGAAAAAAAAGTAATGTCTGATTTGGTATTTTATAGATATAGTTAAATGACAAAAATATTGTTATATCAAAAAATTTATTAACAATTTGTGAACTAACAATGATCAGTATTAAACAGAAAATGACAAAAAATATACTGATAATGACAAGTTATTTATTAATAAGTTATAAATTAGCAATAATAAATGTTAAACAAGTAATGACAAGTTTGATAGTTTTTTTTTTTTAGAAAATCTGATATAAAGACATTTTAGTCATTTGATTACATTTACAAAATATCAAATCAGGCACGACTTCCTCTTCTGAGATTTTAACCTCTTAGGTACTTGAATTAGAATATTACCATTTTTAACTTTTTTTATGTCATTTTCCCTTTATTCTAAGCTTGGATTTTTCAGTCGAACCAAAAGTTTAAATAATTCTTTTTACATTAAATTTTTTTATGATCATAATACATGTCAAGGACGAAATTCAGTTTAAAGGACCGAAATGAGCTCTAGATTGAACAGAAAAAAGCAAGTCTTGAAGGACAAGATATAAATTATTTTAAAGTCCAGATTTAAAATCGAAATTAAGTATTCTTTTAGTCTTCGTGTTCATCGTAAAAAAATAAAATAAAATACTCAACCCTTTAAAAGTAGGCATACTTGTTAAAGGAGGAAATGCTACGTCAGCCATCTCACGAACCTTATCTTTATCACCTAAAATAAGAATTTATATTAATTTAAAAATTAAAATATATAAAAATCAAGCTACAAAATACAAGTAATACCATTTCACACTACAGGCATCAGGGCTTGCATGTTATGTGGAAGAAGGAGAGCTATACGTGGCATCCATACCATATTAGCAGAGAAGCCGCCTTGATGTGGTCGTGAGGATTGCCATCCATGTTTTTCTGATCACTTCAATTAATTACTGCCATGTGGTGGAATCAAAGCCCAACCCATTGTCCTTCGACGATAATTCCAACAAACAAGTTGCGGAAGCCGGTGGCCAACAACGCCATTTGAAAATATGGATCGCTGCTCACCCTTTCTAACGATCGTGTTTTAAATTGGGAAAATAGTAAAAAAAAAAAAAACGTTGAAATAAAAAAAAGTATACACAGGAATCAGTTTATAAGAATTATTATCAAAACTCATACTAATATTGTCATGTGTCCTTATTTATAATATTTCTATTTCAATGGTTATTTTTTACTATTTTTCCTTTTAAATTCGTGTTTTGATTCCCTCCTTGGACCTTCTTTGTATTTGTGTTTTTTTAAGTATTTATAAACATTTTTATATACATACTTATCTTGTATTTTATGAGTCATCATTAAAAAGATATAGCGTCTCCTCATCTCTTTATTTTTATCCGAAAGTGCTATTTAAATTTTAAATCTATATAAAAACATACTCTTTTTAAATGATTTAGTGAACAGTACGAGAGTAATTTTACCTTGGCAAATAGGAAAGCTTTTTTTAAATTGATTACGAGAGTTGACACCTGCTATAGATGTCATCGCAGATTATTTGTCGGACTTCATTTATAAAGAAGTTAAGCGAAGAGGGACTTCATTTCATCCTCACTTTTAAGGGTTTTTTTAATCAAAATACTATAAACAGTAAAATTATATACCAGAATACTGTACTTTTAAAAGTATTTACAAATATGTTGTAATTAAAATCGTTCTCAGTAAAAACGGTTTTCAATTTACACATAAGTCGTTCTCGACGTGAATAATTTCAAAAATCGTTGTTGGTGTAAACGACTTCAGAACTAGTCATCGACTTTCGTGAAGTAATTGAAAATCGTGCTTCTAGTGAACGACTTCAAAAATCGTTCTTCTAGTGAACAATTTCAAAAATCATTCTTCTGGTAAACAACTTCTCACCTAATAAATGAAAATGAAATTATTAGTATAATGATTTATCAATCATTTGAATGACAAAATGATTACTAAATAATGAGAAGAAAATGTTGATAACTACATTATGATATTAAAACTAATTGTGAAATGAGTATAAGATATATATTACTTAAAAATAAAAAGCAATAAATATTTTATTGTAAAAAATCATAAATAAAAATTAAGTCTATGAGGAAAAAATTATCCACCTTACTGATAGTGACTTCTAGTACCACATCTTGTCCTCCTTCTCATTTGTTGTAGCCGTTGTTGTTGTATGTCAATTTTTTGAGATTTAAATGTCTCATTTGTTTTTGTAGTCAACGTGTTCAAATTAAACCAAGGTAATTCATTTAAATGTATAGATTGTCGAGGAGTGACAAATGTTTCATTTGATGATCCACCATGTTCAGAAGTAGAAGCATTGTGTTCAGTTGAAAATAGTACAAGATTATCTAATAAAGTCATGAACGATTGAAATTGAGAAGGATTGGTTGAGTTGGAAGGAGATGATGACGAGGATGCCATGTAATGAGACTCAAGCTGTATAGGATCAACAGAGGTGAAGGAGATGATGGCGACAGTGATATGTCACAAGCCTAAGTAAAAATTGGATGAAAAATCGAATTCTATATCACAGCTGCAAATTTTTTAAAAGAAAAAGTAGAAGAGAAACATATCCATAGCAGCAGTAAAAAAACTTGTCAAGTGTTTGGAAGCAGTAGTGAAAAAATAACAAAGCAAGAGAATAATAAAAATAGAGCAAGTGAGAAGAAAAAAAAGAAGAAGAAAGAGTTCAGATTTTAGAGATGCAGTAAGAGAAGAAGAAGAAGAGAGCGCAACATGTTATATATAAAACCAGATATGATGCTGTGGCCTGACGAGAAGAGAATGGAATTCTCGCGTGCATAGTGTAAGAGATTCTTGCACGCAAAATTGGCAAAAATTCTCGCAAAGAAAATAATAAAAAAAAGTCAAATTATTCAGGTCAAGAACGATTTTTGAAGTCGTTCACGTCAAGAGTAACTTGTGTGTTTTAAAAATACAACATTTTAGTATATAATTTTGCTGTTTATAACATTTTGGTTAAAAAAACCCACTCCTAGCATCTCCATCCGTCCTATGACAACATATTTTTAAAAAATATTCATTTCACCAACAGTGAAAAATCTACGGGGAAAAAGATGTGAACGAAGGTCCCCAAGCCGCCATCCTAAATATGAGCAGTGTTTACGCACACCAATGACAAATTGGCCATTCTCTAGACGGAGACGAAAGAACAATAATATTACACTTTTCTGATCCTTAATATATAATCTAATTATTAAGTTAGATTAAATATAATACTCATTTTCTATATTTATTAATCTTAACTGTAATACATAATAAAATAAGAGAAAGAGAAATGATATTAAAAAAAATAATAATAATGTTTTAGTAAAAACACGTTATATTTGTTATACTTAACTAACTTATCTGACTTTTTTAATTTAATCAAATTAGTTAAATAGGACTTACATTAAGAACCGGAAGAGTATTAATTACATCAGGGAGATCTGAACTAATGTATGCCCTTATCGGCATTAGAATGATTCTTTTTCAGATATCTGATAACTCAGGTTTGATGCCATCAGCTTCGACATTCGTCACAAAAGAAAAATAACAAAGAAGAGTTAGTATGCAGGCTGATCTGAAGGCTATTTCACTGCTTTCTTCTAGGTGATGCAGCGTTTGATCCGGCTTCACGCTGAACAGCTCTAGGGACAAATGTCAAACCACGAGTATGCCGGCGACCAAAGCTGACAGATGATGGAGTTGAGTCCGAAGTACTCAATTTAGAGACTGCCGTCACAAGGCCATCCATGGTTGCATTATCCACTTCCATTGTTCTTGAATCATTCTCCTTTTGTGGAGCTTGTTTCCGTTGAATCTTCTGCCTTTGTTTCTTTGATGGTCGAGCCTTCTTTAGAAACTCAAAGGAAGTGGGGAACTTATGCTTGTCAATGAGGTGCTGTTGCCTACTCTTGTAGTTTTTAAACTTTAAACCACAGCCTTCCACTAGGCATTCATACTGTTAGGCAAGGATACAAGGATCATATTAATTTCTCAGCCCTCTGAATAAGGAAGAAAGCATGTGGATGCAAAAATGATACGTATGTTGAAGTTTAAACTTTCAAAATAAGAAGAAAAGCTGTCAAATCCAAATTGCATCAAGAATTCAATGTCAATTCTTCAACTAAGAATCAAAATGTACAAATAAAGACAGCTTTAAAAGTAACCATCACATGGTACAAATATGAATGGAAGTTGGAAATACTTGCCACATCATAGCCCCGAGCAGCCTTTGCTTGAAAGAACGAATCATGCACTTCAGAAACATGTATGCTTAGCAAGCGAGATGTCGGGTAGACTCTAGAACACACCGAACAAGAGGCAGTATGCCGTGCATTATAATGATTCTCAAATTCCTCCAAGGAAGTCAAGCATGCTCCACAACCAACAATGGGACAGGGGACTTTCCTGCGCAAAGAACGGCAAAAGAATCAGGCTCACGTGGGGCAAATTCATTACCAGTCGTGAATACCATCAAACCGAACAAGCAAATTCTTTAACAGGCCAAGGTCTGGAGCGTGGTGCGAAATTTCCTTATGCTATGTAGAACAACAGTTGAAGTATCAACAATAACAAACAAAACCCCACCATATAGCAGCAACCTCAAAAAACTCGAAATTCCAATAGCTTCCATCAAATGAGTAAAGACAAAGCAGCGTATTTGGTTAACACACTGCACTCTCGGGCGCCTAACATATCATATAGTATGGGGATTATCAATCTTTCTTTCTTCCTTTTGGGTCTGAGGACGAGCAATTATCAGAGCCAACTTCTTAAAAGCATATTAATACACCAGCCAAGATGCCTTCACCATAATCATAGAGTAGAGTCTAGAGCTTGCGCGTTAGACATATGGAAATGGTGATAAAATAATATCGATCCTTTACAGGCTACAATAAGAACCAGGAAGATAACCAAAATTACCTGTATTCATCTGGTACAAAAAGCTGTTGCTTCTCTTCCGCAGTTAATTCCAAGGCAATCTTGAAATCAAACGAAAAGTTTCCACTTGAATTTTCAGTAAGTGCTAGGGTTAAACTGACAAAAAAAGATCGAAATAACATTGCACTAAACAGAGATAGAGTGTAGGAAATTAAAAACACAGCTACATTTCAAAATGTCCGTCACGAGGAAATGAAGACAGAGTTATGACTTAATGGGGAAGGGGGGCGAGTTGGTGAAGTAACATTTAGGAAATATGCATGGATAGAATGAAAAGGGGAAAAGAGAACCTGTTTAGCAAGAAGTTCCCGTTCGATATTACCGGAAGCAAAGAAAGGAGAGTCCGGGCCGAAACGGCGACGGATAGCCTTCCAGTACGGGAACCCTGATTCAAGTTTCTGCTCTACATCCATCGCCATCGTCGATTCCCCTTCAGCGCTTGCTGAATCAACAGTGAAGCTGGGAAGGGCTACAAATTAGGGTCGAACCGAACCTGTTAAATTTTTCGAATTTAAGTTTGAATCGAATTTGCTCCCAAAAATGTTGATTTTTTTTTTTTTGGGGCGGGGGCAAAGAGCGCGGATCAACTGGTCAGGAGATTCATTTCACGCAAGGAGGTGAAAAAGATCTTAAGCGAAAATTTAAATTCTCATGTGAAAAACATAATTATTATAAAATTTAATATAAAACAGTTCATAATACTCCTTTTAATTTTTAATATAAAAACTAGTTGATTAATTAGAATAAATTAAAAAAATTAATTAAGTTAGTTATTTATAATAAATAGATGTTATCTTTCCTAAAATACCTTACTAATTAAGTGTTACTAGATGAAACATTTAATACATGCGACTACTATAAGAAGTATCTCAAAAAAAATAAATAAATATAATAAAAAAATATTAAAATATTATATTTAGGATTAAATTAAAAATCAAATTAAGATCGGAAGTTGTATAACAATTACTTACTTATTATTATAATTTATTTATAATTATTTTTTTTCTTAAAACCTTATTATAATTCTCCCCAGTTCTCTTGTCTGGCCAAGGGTATGAAAAATAATTTGGAGAATATATATAGGAAATTAGTTACTCGTTATATTTCTATCAAATTAAAGTTCTTAAATAAAACCGTCGAGTTAAAGAAAATAAATAGAAACAATTTATTATAGTAGAAATTGGATGCTTTGGATGCCCTCCCAAATTTGGGGGAATAGTCTTGCACAATGCAATTTGCAACCCGTGAGATGCTTCGACAGGAAACAAAATTAAGTGCTATTCAAAACTGCCCAAAAAAAATCCAACGAACAAACTTTTGTTCCTGCCTGAAAATAAATCTAAATGTGAATAAAATGACTAATTAATTCAATCAATTGCATGATAGCACAATAAAATAATACAACACATTATTATTGACAAAACAATGTTGGTGACTATATATGTGTAGCAGCTAGATGGCAGGAAATCACCGGGCAAAACCGCTGAACGAAACACCTCTGTTTCTTTCCCCGTGTTTAGCATTTTACCCTCAGGAAAATAGCATCCGATGCTGCCTCCTCTGAACCTTAATCCTTCTTCATGTGAATCCACATAAAATACATTTCAAAGAGTACAAACGCCAAGATACATATGATCCAAACACGCTGATTACCCAATATTTCTAGTGGTAGATTTCCCATATAGGCTGGCGTAAACAGTCTTAGTTCGGCGCACCAGAATCATGCTTAAAACTGCTGCCATAATACAGAGTCCTGCCATGAGCACACAAGTCAAGAAAAAGCAAATGGAACCTTCACATTTTGGAGGTTCAGCAGCGTTGACCACACTTGACAATAATGATCCTAGATTCTGATACTGATATCCCTGACGAGCTTGTTGTTCTGCTTCGTAGTCATAGATTCTGCTGGCAATTAAGCTAGAGAAAACAAGAGTTCCTGCAGGGTTTGCCAGGGTAAAAAAATTGTACAAAGCACCGAAATTTCTGAGACCAAATAACTCAGAAACAGCAGCTGGAACAATTGACCAGTGGGCCCCATAACCAAGCCCAACCAGTAGGGTACTAACATACATTGCCCCCGGCCATCCCATTGCTATGAACACATGCCCACAAGCCATTACAAGTTGAAACCCAGCCAATGCAACTGGCCTTGGAAAGGCATAATCCCTGCTCAACACATTACATAAAAGGAATCAGAAAACATGGTTTCAAAATTATGATAAGTGTTATAACTATGAACTAGCTCTTTCACCTCACTACAATCTCAGAGATGTAACCCCCTCCTACACGGCCGAGAAAGTTCCAGATACTGATCATGGACACGAATATGTGCGTGTTCTCATACTGTAGAGACTGGCTTATCTGACCCAAATTGTCTATTATAGTCAGTCCTGATCCTGAACCCAAGAGAAGGGATAGGAAAAGAAGCCAGAAGTCTGCTTTAATCAAAGCCTGTGCCAAGGTGAAGTCCTCCCCTCTGCGAGGTCCTCTTCTCCTCTTGATTCTCACTGCCCCTACCGCAGCAGCTTGGACTAGTTTTGATTGTAATTGTGCTATGCGTTTCTTCCTTTCTGATGAAGGAAGTGAGTCCACATCCTCAGGCTTCTCATCTTCCACCTCGCTCAGTATTACTTCTGAATTACCTCGTTCTAGTGTCTCGGGCTGAGGAAGGAGTGCTTCCTCTTCTGAAGCTTTTTGCTCTGAGAAAAACGTCGTTGAAATCGGAACGAAGATTGGGACAAGGAGGATGACAAACAAGACTACTGTAAAAATCATAACAGTGGTATGATTCAAGGTTACTAGATCTTGAACAAGCATGACCCCCATCAAATAAGCAGCCAATAAGAGGCACACACTGTAAACAAATGTGAAGCTTGCGTCATCTGAAGGCCTAATTTGCTTGTGACCTTTGACAGGTCTGATAATGAACATCAGACCTATTCCTACCAAAGTGGGACCAACTGCAACCATGAAGATCAGTGACGCGTGATCAGGGGAATGGATCATAGCATATATTTGAGTCAAGATTGCACCACTCAGCCCAGCAAAGCCCTTCAGAATTCCAACCACGGGGCCTCTACTTTTTGGGAAATTTTGAATGGAGGACACCAAAGCAACTGTGTTGAAGTAAGTTTCGCCATTTGTTCCCACAAATATAAGAACGCACATCTGCATGCTCATAATCATTAATTACATAATCCAGGCAGTTCGTCACGTAACAGTAGAATGACTCGTTCTCATAATTAAAAAGACGTGCCGATATGGACAAACAAGGCTCAAAGATGTAAACAAATTTAATTTGTAACCAAAGCGTCCTTAATTGCAATTAAGACGTGTAGTAGTCAGGATTGGATTAACAACCCGAAGCGCTTTCCCTTTAAGTTATCTATACGGCAAAAATTAGGTTAAAAAAAGCCATTATTGGACATCTAAATTAGGCTGCTAAGAACCCAGCAAGCTTATGATGCTCGTTAGCAGGAGATAAGGGCTTCACTTTTGTCAAGTTCTGGGTTATGCCAAGTGTAGCTGCGCAGCTCATCTTTCACGCTATTCTTGTACCTCGTCAATTTTTGGCACAGGCAATGGGCAATACGTAAGAGGGGGGCCATATAAACTTTTAACACCCATCGTGGAAGAAAGGAAAGGAAGAAAAACGACGAAACTTTTGCACGTCAAAACTCGGTGAATATTCGTTTCAGAAAGAAGAGCCTGAAAAGATTAAACTTTTTGGGAGCGGCAAATAGCCAATTAATCTTCTGGCTTCGAAGTCCTTCCATTATATGGAAAAGAAAGAATCTTTTTTCCGATATCAAATTCCATGTTTCGTGGAGTTTTGCCCTGGAAAAATTCGACTCTGTATAACAGTTGGCTTGGTCCTTTGCCGCCACCAGTCAAGATTTATGTCATCCTTGGTTCATCCTGAAAACAGGATTTCGCCTCCTCTTATGGAGAACTCGTCTCGAAGAGAAGGACCGGAAACACTCGATTTGAAACCAAATTTAAAGTAAAGTCAAATCCACAAAGCCGAATCCACTGGCTTGATCGGCCTATTTCAACCAGAGGGCAGAACAAAGAAAAAGTGCAAAAAAGGACAATCAAGCAAGCAGACAAGGAATTTGAAGACCTATTAAAATCTTCTGATCAAGTAAAGTATAAGACGAAAGGGATGAAAAAGAGGGAACCATCCAGCGATTGAAAGTAACTGCAATTAATGGCAATCGTAAACACGGAAGAGTCCAAAATCAGAGAGAAGGGAGAGAAAAACTCACAGCCCACAAAGGTAAAGCGGGAGCTCGCCCGGTGACGATGAGCCAAACCCAGCCATATCCAACAAAGTTCAACGAGGAACCAACAAGCAAAGCACCCCAGGAAGGCAAAATCTCGCACAAGACCCCAGTAACGAAGCCGACACAATCGCCAAGGTCTTTGGCCACACCCAACCCAGCAAGCTGCCTCTGATTGTAGTTCAAAGATCTCTTAATCACCGGCGATATGCTACCAAACAAATACCCAATACCAGCCCATGACTGCAACCACATTGTAACCACAAACACAAGCCATCTGTTCTTGTAGAAGGATGTAAGCCTCTCTGCCAATAATCCACCCATCACTGAACACAACAAACCAGTGTTTGACCTTCCAGATAATTAGATCTTAATGTTTTCTTCCCGGCGAATCGAATTGGAAGCTAAGAAGGTGGTGTGGGGAGCGCGAAATTAAAAAACAATCATGCAGGGACAAAAACTACAGAGACAGCGACTAAATAAGAAGGGTGGGCCACCGGGGAAGGTAAGAACGGAGATGGATAACGGAGTTCATGAGGGTCTTGGCAGAATATCAACCGGATAATCATCCTACATGTCTCGGGAGTTTGGATATGATCTTAAAACAAGAACAAATGAGGTATTAATTAATATTATTGCCATAGTTCACAGTGGATCATGTACTGGAGATCTCACAGATAGGGCGGCGCTGATTACCAGCTGGGGATGGCATTGTGCCGTGAGTCCACGACTCGTTGATGGCTGTTTCTTTCTTCTTGTTTTTTTTCAAGCAAAAAAAAAAAAAAAACCTTTGTTTACGTGACACATGCAAATGCCAACATAAGCGGTCAATCCGCCATCAAGTTAGAAATTAGAAAACTCGGCTATTCTTATTTAATTAATTTTTCTGTTCAGACACAATTTTATAAACATCGATAATTTTTTTATAAGGACGAGCATGGATATGCACAGTACTGTGTTGTGCCTTGATTTTTATTTTCCTTTTAGTTTTACTGTTTATTTTGTACGTATGAGTTGCTATTAATACAAAAAATAATTTTTGACAATTATCTCCGTTACTTAAAAATTATAACGAATTCACAGAAAAGGCTACACATTTTCTTTAAAAGGTTGTCCTATTCTAATTTTTTATAATATATATTGATTTTTGTAAATTCATGAATCAATATATTTAATGAAATTACAAAAATACACTGTGTTGCATTATTCATGAGTGCAGAACACAATTTTTATATGAACCGCGCGGCTTGAAAGGGACGACAAAAACCTTTCTATGTGTAGAAATGTACGGCCGGGGAACTTTGTTTGATTGCTGCGTTTGAATGGTAAGAAAAAATGGTTGGTTTGATTTAAACATCTGTTTTTCATTTAAACGTCACGATCCGAGGATATTGTTATAGTAAGCACTTCAGGTCCCAGCTAATTAATAAAAAATGAAGCCGTATCAAACTTTCGATGCATAAAAAAAAATTTTGAATGATTTTTTTGCTAACAAAAAAATCTTAATTGATGACGATTGTATAATTTGATGCAATTAATTAAATGTTTGCTGATGCCTTATGCTGGCCAAAATTAAATGTTTGCCAAGATGCATTATTATGTTTCTTTGGCAAGTTAACTGGCATCAATTCACGTTCATGAGATCGTAACATCCCAATATTAAATTACCAACTGGTCAAAAACAAATTATTGGATTACCAACATAAGCTTTATCAATGTGGGGCCATAAGATTTTTATTTTTTATTTTGGGGGAGGGGAACAATATTAAATCCGCGCCCGTCTCACCACGTGTTTTTTTCCTCTCCAAATTATCATTGCAAAGCAGAAGTGTAAAAAGTATGGCTGTGAAAAAAAAAAAAAAAATACATACATACTCCTCCGGTCCTAATTATAAGACCCAATTGACTTATTTAAGGAGATTAAGAAAGTAAGTTAAGTTGGTTATTTATAATAAATGAGTGTTGTTATTTCTAAAATATCCTTGCTAATTAAGTATATTGGCTAAAACTATCATTATTAGAAGGATTATCTTGGAAAAAAATGTATAAATATAAGAGAGAAAATGGATTGGGTCTTATAATTAGGACCAAATAAAAAATCAAATTGGGTCTTATAATAAGAAACGGAGGAGTATTTGATAGTGGCAGGAGAAAACGACATTATAATTATAATTTATTTTTAAAAAATACAAAGGATAAAGACACAAATCATCATTGCTTGTTGGAAAGTGGGACCAAAGGGAATGGGGCGAGCCGCGTCCAGAGTCGCCCTTCATCCATCGTTCATCAAAAGAACGTGTCATTTCAATTTGAAACACGTCACCGGGTGTGTTTGAACGACTTCTATAATTTCATGTCATATAACATTATTAAACATATAATTTATATTGAGAAAATCACAAATAAAAACCCCTGAATTATCAAAATTACATAGAAGTCACCTAAATAAATAAAATTACCATGAGAAACTCGGTCCCATATTGCAAATATGAAATCTTGGTAAAATGTCTGAAATGCTCATCAGCCAAATGACAAGTTGATCATAGGAAATGACAAGTTCACTTTAGCGAATGACAACTTCAGAAGCTCAAATAACAATTTGGTTGAAGGTATACCAAATGACAAGTTGACTATGGGAAATAACAAATTTACTTTTGCGAATGACAATTTCAGTAGACCAAATCACAACTTGGCTGAGGGGCATTTCAAATATTTCGTCAATATTTCATATTTGCAATATGAGACTGGACCCTTTATGGTAATTTTACTTATTCAGGTGATCTCTGTGTAATTTTGATAATTCAGAAAGTTTTTATTTGTCATTTTCCCATTTATATTTAAATTAATTTTTATAGATGAATTTATATTACATAACATGATAGTTTTAAGAGAAATATTAAAATTCATTGTGAGAATGAATTAAAAAGAGTGAATGTGTTAATTAAAAAGTTAATATTGATAATTTTTATTTTGATTAGTCAAACATAAAATTAAATTGTAAATAAGAATTATATTCCTTGATTAGTGATTTTTTTTTTTTGTAGAGACAATTAGTTATAAAAATAATATCGATTAAAAACAAAATAAAAATAGTAACAGAGACTTCCTCCATTTTTCATGGAAAAGAGGGAGGGACGATGAATGTGACGGAAAAGATGGTTGGATGGGCAAGTGAAATTTTTTAATGTTAGATGTGACGCTAATGCGCAGAAAAGTAATATTACCTCCTAATGGCATTTGATTGATTAATTTTAGTAGATTAAAAAAATTAATTAAATTAATTATTTATAATAAATAAGTATTATTTTTACTAATTAAATGTATTAATTGAAACTAGTATTACTATTACTATAAAGATTAACTTAAAAAATTAAATATATATAAAAGATAAAACAGATTAAAATCTTATATTTAAAATTAAAATAAAAATTAAATTAGTTCTTATATTAGAAATCAGAAATACTTAAAAATAGCGTTAGCTTGGAAGAAATGAGATTTTTCCTCGTTGTTGCAAACAAGCAAAAAATCCCCAATGTGCTTCAAACCTCCATTATACAAATTTCCAGCAGCCACGTTTGAACCTCTAAATGCTGACTGAGAAAGGTCCTTAGTTTTGGGATTTCGTGTGAAAATAACACTCCACCGGTACTTAATATAAAAATTAATTTGATTTTTAATCTAATTCTAAATATAAAACCCTAATCTTTTTATCTCTTTTTTTCTCACGTTTATTCATTTTTTCTAAGATAGTTCTTATATTATTTGCACATGTTAAATATTTTATTAAATGACACTTGATTAGTAAGGATAATTTAGGAAATGTAACACCTATTTATTACTAATAACTAACTTAACTAATTTTTTTAATTTATTCAAATTAGTTAACTAACTCTTATACTAAAAATTAAATATAATATTATATCCTATCTTAATTATAAGATTTTATTTATAATTTACAAACAAAACATTACAGTTAGAATCGGAGTTAGTAGTAAATCTCTTTCCCGCGATAATGTAAAGGGTGCGTTTAAACTCACGTTTGTGTTTGTGACGGAACCATGAAAAGCCAGAATCAAACTCTTTTTTTTTTTATTGTGACAACAAAAATCAAACTTTCGGCGCGAGCACATCGTGATTAAATATAAATATTATTGCATTCAGTGATTTAAAAAAATATTTTTTAATATATTAAAAGGGACAACTTAGGCTCTGTTTGGGTAGCACCCCAAACCATGGTTTGGGGACCCAAACCATGGTTTGGGGAAAATGCTACCCAAACAGCCTCCCAAATATTTAAAACCATGGTTTGGGGGAAACCATGGTTTTGAACCCCCAAACCATGGTTTCATCAGAAGCTATTTTCATCCGCTTCTGGCTCCAATTATTGAAGGCTGATGGTGGGCCCTCCTCACATGACCGAACAGCCCCCGCTTCAATTATCTTCTGGCTTCAATTCCAGTCGGTCGAAACTTCAGAGCTCCTTCCATTCCAGTCGGTCGAATTCCATTCCAGTCGGTCGAAACTCTTCTGGTGCTTCGCTCTTCAGGTCTGAAATTCTTCCCGTCAAAGTATGTGCTTCTAGTTCACTGGTTCGTCGAGCTCGTGCCGTCGCTGGTTCTGTGGTCGGGCTGAGAAGAAGAAGGGATGAAGACGATGGTGATGAAGGGAGGTTCCCCCTCTGCCGTCGCGCAGCGTCTCCGTCTTGTGTTCATGCTTCGGTCCCCTGTTTTTCCTAGCCGCCGTCCCGCGTGTGTGTGTGTTTCGTTACTGCTCGTTCGGCGTGTTCTCCCTCAGCCTGCTCCGCCTCGTGTTCAGCTTCTCCGCCAAGATGAAGATTAGTATATTAGGTTGGGGGTGGTGCGCACTTTGCTCCCTTTTGTTTTAATTAATTAATTAATTACTCTAAAAATATATATATATTTCACGTTTAAAATCTTTAAAGAAAATTAATTAATTATCTATTAGCCAAAAAAAAAATTCAATTTTCTATAAACATAATATTATGTTTGATAAATATATATACACATATTAATTATGTATTAATTATATTATGTTATATATTATTAATTATGTTACTAAAAATTTTTTCATTAAAAATTTTATTTCCTCAAATCAAAATATATCATAAAATCTATTCCTTATATAATTATCATATTAACTTATACCCTTTTTGGTAATTTTGACATGTAAAAAGTGCTTCTGGTAATAACTATCCAAACACTCTCACTTCTCAGAATCACTTTTTTTCAGAATCTATTCTCTACAAAATCTATTCTCCACAGAATCTATTCTCCAGAATCACTTTTCCAAACCACGGTTTGGTTTCATCCAAACACACCCTTAATTCCACTAGCCCACAGCCCCACTTGCTGCAGCGAGTTGCTGCGCTCCAGAACTCTTTTTAAGGTTTCTAGTACCAATTATACTTAGTTCCCCATATCGTGAAATAAAAAAATTTCCTAACTTGTGCGGACCATCCTGTGCTCGACCTAAACATATTTTCTGTGGTTTTTGATACTAATACGAGTTTTCTCCTGTTTTAGTTTCCCAATATATTAAACTTGTTTCCTAAGTATTGTTTGTTTTCACATTCACTAGTTAACTCAATACCATTCAAAGCAAGTTGACAATCACTTATTAAACTTTATTAAGGGTTGGATATGGAATAGTTTAATTGTTTAAATGTTTACGTCAACAGCCTAATATATGTATGAACTGGAAGGAGAACACGCATCTCATTACGGCATTGCGCTTTGGATTCTGTGGGGGGCTGGGGACCATAGGTTAATCACCACAAAAACAAATGGAAACCTTGTGCACCTCTGGTTCTTAATATAGGACCCAATTATTGAGTTGATTTTGGTCCTAAATATAAGACCTATTCTTCATATTTATCAATTTTCTCTAAATTACCCCTGTGGATACTCCCTCAACCATAATCAAGTAGAAGAGAGAGAGGGAGGATTAAGAAAGATGATTATGGTGTTTTAGGAAAAATGTGTCACTTTCCTTATAATTAACTAACTTACCTAACTTTCTTAATCTAATCAAATTAGTTAAATGGGTCTTATATTAAGGACTGGAAGAGTATATATTTATTTTTGAAATACACTCTCTCTGCATCATACTTTCTTTCCATATATAAAAATTTAGATAAGTTAGGTTTTGATAGTCCACTGTAATCAGGATATGTCTTTAAGTTCAAATAGTGCTTATAGATCGTCTATAAACAAAGTACTCATATTAACAGTGAGATTTAAACTTATCATCTTGTAAGTTATGAACCGGCTCTTTACCAATTAGACTAATTTTTATTGGTTTTCACATCAGATTTTGCATTCAAGTTCCATAAGCATCTCTGGATTATTTCAGGATTGAACAACAGTTAATTTTTCCCCTCATTCATATGGGGTGATAATTATTTCATGTCTTTCAGATTATGGTACTTTCACTTCAACGGACATTAGGGAGTGAAGCGAGGTCTAAGAAGCAAAAGTCCGTTTCCGTTCCTCTTAACATGGTCTGGATTAATTTAAAAAGACATTTTTCACAATACGAGATAAGTGTGACGATAATTTTATTTTTTAAAGTATAAAAGTGATTATTTTAAAAGCTCCTAAACGCTCTCTTGATATATACCTATATATATATATATATGTATATATATTTGGGCTACCCGGTGTTCTTGATCCGAAGAGACGAACACACGAAATTAACAGATTACGTGGCCCACGAGCAAATAATTGAAGCGGACAGATCACTGTTCCAATTTATATTTAGCATGAAATTATTGGTGTGATCTTGTCACGATTCCTCGATATTATTTTCTTGTTTTTATAATTTCCTGATCTTGATTATAAAATATCATGTTGACCTTTTAAATTTGCTTTCAGTGATCACCTTTTTTGCCACCTGCAAATTTATTAATCCATGCGGTATTAATTTATTGGACCACACATTTATGAGGTGAGTAAGTTATTTCTTATTATTAATTCTGGATGATTTATTTAATGCTGACATAATCTGTTTTATGCTTTGGATATTCGAAAAGGAAAAAGACTTCGCTGGCCAACATTAAAAAAAAAAAAAGGAAAAGAGCCTTCAGTAAAAGCATGTTGTCCGGGAAAATGCTAAATAAAACTTTAAATAAAAACTTTACAGCACGATGTTGTCGCGTCGATATGTCCGAGCGGTTAAGGAGACAGACTTGAAATCTGTTGGGCTTCGCCCGCGCAGGTTCGAATCCTGCTGTCGACGCATAAATTTTATTACCAATAACTTTTGGGTTTTGGAGGAAGGGGCCTGCATCGTTGGGCTGCTATTTCAAAGTATTGAGCAATGTTTGACGTTTCCCCCCCTTGGGTACAATAGATGGTTGCTTTTGGTTGCAGTTTCATTTCCTCTATATTCTGGTCCTGGCTCCCCAGATGGTACATCCTTCCCCTATCAAAACACGACTTGTTCAAAATATCCCTCGACTCAGATGCTTAAATTAACAGGTCGAAACTAGTTCGTAAATATGAACATGATTTTGCCGGTGGTGGGGAGTCCTTGAACGTGTTTTGGGCTCACATTTACCCGTGCCTGAGGATCTTTTCATCGTCTCATTTCTCTAGAAGTGTAAAGAACATGTTCCATAAACAAACACGCATTCAGTTATGCAGTTAATTACCAATCTTTCCCCTGTTTCGTCCACCTCTGGCAGAACTGAAGAAAGTTTTGGTTCTGCCTTGTGCTAGGCCACCATTCAGAACCGACCGTTTATTCATGTTAGTTGCAACAATTTAGCTGGCTGACCGATTTGGGAACCGATTTGAAGCTATATGTGGCCGAGGAAGTTGACGGAAATGCGAAGTTAAAGATCTTTGGAAAAGATGAACTTTGCCTTGGCTTCAATTATTCGTTAATATTCGGCCCCTTTTTCTTTCCCCCAATTTCATTGCTTATTTAAATGCAATCATCCATGCAGTGATAGGAACTGTAAAGTAATTTTATACGATTAAAATACTTTCGGCTGTTGGTTCCCGAAAAAGGCTTGTTTTTTTTTCCCCCCATTTGAAGTATCTTAAAAAATTCATTAGCACCACCCTGGTTGCTTGATCAGTGGGATTGTGCCTTTTTAGAAATTTCCCTGGACAAATAAATATGGGATGTTTGTTTTGCAAGTAATTATAAAGTGTCTTTGCTCCTTAAAATGCAAAACAAACCCAAATTTCAATCCAATTCCCTCATTAATAAAACGCATGTCGTGATATCATGTCATTGTACTGGCATGGAGACGGATTTAGCCAACGAGGCTTCCACAAATGAGGCTAGAGTTGTACCTCCAGATGAGAAGATGAAGCTTCGCTGAGATTTGGTGCCATGCGTGTGAGTTGTAAAAACACAAAAAAATAAAGTGAATATGAATCAGAATAGCTTGATCCTGTAAGCTTTCCTTGCTTTTTCCTACTCATCAATTGCTTGTCTCTTCTTCAAAAAGGTACCACCTTTCCTTTTCACTCTCTTTATAACTGTCATTTCCCATTCATCAATACTGAAACCAGAATCAAGAGATCAGATCGAAGAAGAAGAAGAAGAAGATGGCGGATTGGGGTCCAGTGTTCGTATCAGTGGTTCTGTTCATTCTGTTGACGCCTGGGCTGCTCATACAAATACCTGGGAGAGGCAGGATGGTAGAATTCGGGAATTTTCAAACCAGTGTCGTATCCATACTGGTCCATGCGATCCTTTACTTTGCTCTCATTTGCATCTTCTTGCTGGCTATTGGGATCCACATGTACATGGGTTCGTGATCCCTCAATCGTCTGTTTTGTACTTGGCTTGAGTCTCTGGGTTCTGATTCTTGTGAACTAGTTATCATCAATCCAGTTTTAGCTCGTCAACTGTCAGCTAATTTGAGTATTAATGAGTGTGTTCGGTTGTACTTGATTGAATTTCACTCAATTTGGCGGGACTAATATAGCTGACTTCCCGTCCCTGTATATTTTTTATATAGAATATCGTTTCTGTAACTCTAGCCAAGTAGCCATTTGAAGCATGTTCGCATCAATGAACTTGGTTGGTTTTGGTAATCGATTCAATCAAGAGAAATTTGATTAATATTATTCCTAAAATGCAAAAGTTTACTCGCCTATGGATATGAATATTGAATAATGTTTGCAGAACTATTACTCTGGGTTTGGAAAATTATACAGGGGGTTAAAAGGATTCGTCGGTAAGTTTACTTTGTACAGGGCGACATGATGTTTGGAAGATTAGTTGTTACTGGTCAGCCCAATTACTCTCTAGGGATATGGTTCATGCCATGATGATGAAATCACTCGTTTGGTACCAATGAAAGAGGTAAAAAAATATACGCTCGGTATCATTTTTTTCGTATCATATCATTGTATAATGAAAACGGAACAGGAACCCTGAGCAATATGAAGGGGATTGAATAGAAAATATTTTAAAAAATTGCATCTACGCAATAAAACTAGTCTTAGGGACAAGACACAATGTGGCCGGTATTCGTGGTGTTTGAGTCAAATGGCATTCATTCGGTGGTTGGCGATCACAAAAGGAAACAACAGACAATCGAATTATGAATGATGCCCTCTCTCGAATGCATTAATCGCACCGGAAAACGCAGGCATTAATGTGAACGCTACACAGGAAGCGGAAAAACGATCAGAATCCGTCATTTCATAGGAGAAATCTCTCTCTGGCAATCGATGACGTTTGCATCTTTTTTGTTGACCATCTCATTGTCATAATAGCGTTTCTTTTTAATCTTAAATCTACTAGTTATTCAACAGGAAGACAATAAATGTTTGTTTATAAGTAGTACTTATTAATGACGATGTAATAAAACTGGATGCTACAAGTCAAACCTGCGAATCCGTACTCATAGATCAGCGCTTACATTACAGCAATTGAAACAAGGGAATGTGGTGGAACAGAGGGAGGGCAGGAAGGACTAGACATAAAGATGGAAATGAAAAACAATTAAGCAGAGAGTGAGAAGGAGAACATAAAGGAAAGCGTGGAACAGAATGGATGAACCGGTGGTGGTCATGTTCATGAACTCAAAGGGGCGGTTCCTGGCCGGCATCTGAAACAGCAGCCCCGGGGAGAGCAACGCGAACAAGACCGCCGCTATCAGAGGCGCCCCCCAATCCTGCATTCTCACAGCATATGCCGCACCACAAGTTGCAGGCTCTTCTTAAACCAAACCCTTGAATATTGGAATCCTATGAAGCTCACTAAACAGATTTCTCCTCGCTCATCCGCTTTATTAAGCTTTTATCTCCCTCTTTTCTCTGGATAAGAAAAGCATGGGTTCCTGCTTTTTCTTTGGTCTGATAAAGAAGTAAATGCCGTAGAAACGGTTTAATTTGTGTTTCCCTGAGGGTGGGAAATGCGAGAGGAAGGTACATTAGCAAAGCATGTTTGGTCCCTTTACCAGTGGCTCTCCCCTCTTCCAAAGTGCAATAAAAAATACAAACACGGTCAAAAAATACAGACACAGGAGAAGAGCAAAAGCAGGGGAATTTGATTGGATGCTGGTGGCATCTCTCTTTTCAACAGAGCCCATTAAATCCAAACGGCACATTAATGATGCTGTATTGCTACAGCGGTGGAAGCGGGTGCAGAGGATCACAGCCCAGGGCACCGACTCGCAATACGTGGGTGCTGTCATCGAGATAGTTCCAATTCCCCAGGTGTCAAAATTTCCACACTTCTACGTCCCCGTCCCTAATAACTGCTCCCTTCGCGAGTTCGTCACAATTCATTACTTCTCCCTTCACCGAAACCCGCCTCTGATTTCTGGCTTCCCATGGCTGATTGGGCTCCCGTGGTGCTCGGCGTCATCCTCTTCGTCTTGCTGCAGCCGGGCTTGCTCTTTGCCTTCCCGGGCAGCGACCGGCAGTTCGAGTGCGGTCGAATGAAGACTAACGGCAAGGCCATCTTCATTCACACCCTCATCTTCTTCGCCCTCTACGCAGTCATGCTCTTCGCTCTTCATTTCCATATCTACACCGGCTGATCAGTTTGCTCCTCTGCCTCCTCTCATGGTTATTACCGAGTTGTATGTCAATGTCTCTAGTTCACTGTGACTTATCAGTTTATAAATGAAAAGGCTAAGTTTCTTTTCCTTTCTCTGTCGTAGTTGATGACATTCTGGTCCATTTGTTTTGCGATATCTTGATTTCTGCTGATAGTGGTGAACTGAATACGGATGTTCTTTCGGGATATTCAAAATCAAATCGACTTTTTGACAATTTTTAATTTTTCGGTTTCAACTTCTCAGCACATACATTTTTTCAACGGAACAGGTGAGTTACGCGGGATGAGAAGCGGAGGAAATCTAGGATCCCCCGCCTTTGCCACCGTTTGATAATTTCCCCCTTTTTTTTGTCCAATTACAAACGGGGCCGAGGCCCAAAACAAAGACTAAAACAGAAGGCCTCTTGAGCTAGTCAAACCCATCCTGTCCCTCCACAGCAGTCCGTGATAATTTCTTACTCCGTACGCCTCTTTGGAAGCGGGAGTGTTGAACTCGTTCGTAAACATGGGAATTTGCAGTAATACTGGCTTTAACTATTATCCCATCAATGGAATCTTCCTTGTGAAAAAAATACAAAATTTAAAAGCAAACTTCTTCAAATTAAAAGAGATTTTAGGCCTTTTTTAAAAAAAGTTTTAGCAGGTTGAAATTGGCCTTATTAGGCCCCATGTAACGAGACAAAAGTTTTTGCGTATTTATTTCACATTTATCTTTTATTTTATAAGTTATTCTAAATACGCTTTATACTTGCCTTAATAGCACATTGCCAACCTATAATATTGATAAGCGACATGGAAATAATTAATAAACGTTGAGATTTGGAAATATGTAACTTGTACGAGTAAGTGTTAGAGAATGGATTCTTTCCTCGGAAATATGCAACTCATTGATATCGGAATTTGTGTGGTTTTTTTTTTTTTTTTTTGGTGTGGGGGGGGTGGGAAGCCTGGTAAAGAGGATGCAGATAAGAGACAACGGGAGAGCAGGGGGGGGGGGGGCCACGCTAAATGGTCTAATTAAAGATATTGGGACAAGAGACCCCGTTACATGCTAAGTTGAAACCCGAGGCGAGTACTGCTTGTTAAGGTGTCCCAGTTCCTGGTTCAATGATTTTCACAACATTTGATTACTCTTTGAACAACACTAACAAATCACTCGAACCAAAGGAGCATAGAAAAGCGTAGATTCGTGGCCATTTCATGTTAAGGATATTAAATTTGACATAATTATCAGATTATTTGTGTCCATAATTCAAAACTACACAAAAATCTGCAAAAGCCGGGTCTATGTTTATCATTTGCCAGATAATATCACAAAACCTGCTCGAATTGTACAACATTTCTTAGGCGCAGGCACTGTTATGTGTAGGAAAGCCCGAAAGAGCCTTAAAATTGCCATCTCAAGACGAACTTAATTGCAGATGGCAATCATGCAGAAAGAGGTTTGAAAATACTGTCAAAAGGACAGCATCACACAGAGAACCCATCAAGATCAGCAAACTCCGGGGGAAAAAGAGAAAAGGACGAACAATAACAAAAGAGAAGAGAAGAGGTTGGTGATTGATCAAGCACGTATGTGAATTCCTATGGCGATAACTAAGATGGTGAGTACAACGAAGTAAACAATGGCATGAACCAGGATGGAAATCCCACTGGTTCCCATGCCTCCAAACTCCACCACCCTATACCTCCCCGGCAACTGGAACAGCAGCCCCGGCGATAAGACGATGAACAAAGCCACCGCCACCACTACTGGTCCCCAGTCAGCTCCCATGCCTGATCTCGCTTTCTTACCTCTGTCTCTGCTTTTCTCTGTGTAGAGTATTGAACAGCCAACTATGAAACACCGCAACTCAGCTTCAAGAGAGAGCCAAGAACGAAGCAACCCAAGTTCAAGTTCCTTAATATGTGGAGGAGTTTCTTGGTGGTTAAGGAGAAGGGGATGCTAGAGTTCGTAAGAAAGAAGGCTTTGGCCTTGGGATGACAAGAGAGGAAAGGTTTGGTCACGCTAGTGGGTTTGCTTTATCAAGTAAAGTATCGTCTTTGCTGGGAAAAAAAAAAAAATCAATTGTTGTGATCTTTTTGTTGTAAGCTTGTTGTAATTCTTCACTGGGGGCGTCTCTTTTCTGCTTGCTTTACGGATTTGATCAAAGCGGGTCTAACATATTCATTAAACTACGCACTTTCAAAAAAAGAGGAATGAAATGTGTGCATCAATAAAGAGACGAGTCATGGCTGATTGGAGACACTCTGGAAGGTGCCAAACTTGCAAGAAGGTGGAAAAAGGAATAGGGCAGATGGGCCCACAAGAGAGGAGGGAGAAATGCGGAAAATGAATGCTACATTCGCTTCTTAATATAAGATTTTGTTTGACTTTTATTTTGGTTCTAAATATAAGACTCCAATTCACTTTGTCTCTCTTATTTATACTTTTTTTTCTCAAAATAGCCCTTCTAACAATGATAGTTCCAATCAATACACTTAATTAGTAAAGATATTTTAGAAAAGACAACACCTATTTAGGACAAGCAACTAACTTAACTTACTTCTTTAATCTCTTCAAATTAGTCAACTGGCTCTTATAATTAGAACAGGAGGTAGTACTACGTTCAGACTTCAGAAAACGAAATGAACCTGAAAGTGAAGTTTGAGTGTGTAATTTAATTGGGTGCTCAATAAGCTTTCTAGGTGCCCGTAAAATCAAAAGCACTATATATGTTATTATACCCATTCTTTTTATATGCTCTTGGGCTCCAGAATGGAACAATCAGAATTTTAATCATTGGAGGTGTCTGGAAATTGATTTGATGGAGGCTTCCTAAAATAATTTAAAGATTAGTTAAGATTTAGTTGCTTTCGTGCTCATTAAAATAATATTCATTTTTTAACACTGGGAAGTGCTTCCGAATCGGCATGTTGCAGTTAATTAATAGGCAGTATCCTTATGAGTTACGGCTTTCATTTAGCCGTGTTTTGAGCTTTCCTAATTACTGTCATTTCTCTTTTTGGCCATGAAAGTACAGTCGTTTCTATACCTGTGAAAAATGAGAAATTCTCAAAGGCAAAGGTAGCTTTTAATACCATCGTTCACGGTTAGTATATTTTCATTCCATTTAATGAGTGTTAGATCTCATAAATAACCGGGTCTGACAATAATTTGGATAACAATTATGAACATCGGACTTGTAATGCATTTTGATGCCTACACAGCAGTTTAAATTTATCGTTATCTTGTTCAGGGTAACAGCTAAAATTAAAAATTGTTGGCCCAGGCATGGCCGTTCGGTTCCGTGGTGAAAAAAACTGTTTATTAGTATTTTGTTTTTTTGGGTTATGCATTTCTAATTCGATCATTGATTTGTCATATTGTAACTCCTTACGCTGGGCCAGTCTATTATCCTTTGAATAAAAAACAACAATATATTAAAATTGTCCTAGTCCAGATCGGGCTTATAAGAGTTTTAGTCCAAATTAATCTTCGGGGTTAAAATTGGGCTTTTCCTCCCACGAGAGTTTTCTCTTTGAGTCTACGTCCATTTATCATATTTGGCCTTAGCAAAAAAATATATCTTTTCTTGCTTGATGAAAATGAAAGAATTAACCAACATGAGTTTGTTCAAGTGGTAAGCGGCTTGATACTGCTTAAACGACATTTCGAGTTTGAGCCTTAGCGTGTCTAGAAATCCCCGTTAGGAGACTCATCCACCACAGCCAGGTGCGCAACGCGGGTCGAATCCAGATGTAGTCGGAATAAAGCTCCGATGAACTGGGTGGGCAAAAAAATTAAAAAAATGAAGGAATTAAAATTCTACCAAATTTCAATTTCATATGTATTTTTATTAAATTGTATAATTCATTTTAGTCTTATAATATGATAAATGCAAAATTTTCTTTTCTTTTCTTTTTTTAAAGACTCAGTTACGTGAGACTAAAAATTTGAAGATTACAAGCTAGTTTTCCAAATGTTTAAAAATTAGTAGTTGTATATCAGTACTATGTTTCGAAGGATAGATCCATCGTCACGAAGTTCCATCCACGCAACGTCATGGAAACGCCAAAGGCTACGAGTTAGGAAGGCATGAGATTCTTACATTTTAATCTGGGACCCACATGGCAGGAGTCATTCCATTTTCATTATTCCTCATGCATGCATCAAGACGGTGAGTTAATTATTGAGCTTGGTTGATTTGAATGGTTAACCAGGACACATCTTAACTGAGGATTTAAATCTGAATTTATAAATAAAAGAATTACACAGTGAGAGTTTTTTTCCCCAATTGATGTGAAGGAACTGCGAAAAAAATATTTAGTTTATTCTTAAATTTTTTTGCCTGATTATTTTTAAATTTTCAAACGTGTTGCAATAATCACATTGTGTTTATACTCTAGCTAGAACAATAAGAAAAAAGTAGCATGCTTTTATCATATTTACTGTATGCCATTCAAATTAATTACTACTTCTGATTCTTCATATAAAACCCAGTTGATAGATTTGAAAAGATTAATAAAATCAAATAAATTATTATAAAGTATTATATTTATTATTATTTTTAAATTAATTTTCCTTGCTTATAAACTAAATCATAATTTAATGACACACATAAACATTTTAGAAAATTCACAAAACATATGTCATGATTAAGTAATTTCTTTTTTTTTTTTAAATTAGTCAATTAAATTTTAGATTAACAATAATCACATTGTCCCATTTTCACAGCTTCAAGCGTTGAGGCAGTTATGTCTCTATCGAATAATTGCCATCGTAGCTGACCCTAGGATACCTTTCCACACGTAAGACTTTCATGTGATGTATTATGCTATGTTCTTGACAACAAACTACTCGTTTTCTCTAATATGCAATCTGCTCCTATCAAGAATCTGACCTTAATAAATTGTAAAGAGTGAGATTTATTGTTAGTTTAGATTCGAAGCGACGAATGAATTGATATGGAATGATAAACTCACATGCATGCGTAGCCACTACTCAAGCAGGCACTTGTGCTCTGAAATTAAAGCTTACCGGTCACAAATTTGGATCACAACTCCATCAACCCTGTTTATCGCTAATCCAAGCTTCATTCTCGACCTAATTTTGCACAGAGCTATTCTATAAACATCCCCAGATGATTAGATGCACATAACACACGCCACGTCAAGATAACTGCACAAAATCACTCAGATTGTGACTTCCTTATTAAACAATATATAGCATAACTAATTAAGCTTGGTTGTCTTGAATCGTGGTTCGTTCTGAGTTTAGATGCTCCGTCTTCAAACGCTCCTGAACCGCAGATATATAGATCGCAGCTTTCGTGTCTACGCTTTCATCACCAGCCATCCCGTACACCTCCTCCCACCGTTGGCTCACAACGTCGCAGCGATTATCTGCTACCAAGATCGAAAGCCTTGGGTTTGGCTGTGCAATCGCGTAGTCTTGGTGGACCAAGATCCCCATAGAAGCGGCAGGGCAAGCCGTGGGCTGACTCGCCCTCATCACCTCGGTGCCACCACCATATTGTGCGGTTGAGGCAGGCCTGGGCGCGCGATGGAATGGTATTATCTTTCCCTTCAAGAACCCCCGGCTTCGCTTTCGGTTTGCCTCCATCCTTGGATCTGTACACCTGCTGTTTGATGTAAGTTTCCAACGAATATGATAAAGTGGCCTGCTGGTGTGTTTCGGACGAGAGGGTGTTTGTGTGTTTATATATTGTTGCGTGGATGCTTTTTTGTGCTTAATTGATACTCGTATTTCAGATAAACACGAGCATAAGTGGACGGACTGTAGTTGTGGTCCCTCAGCTAGAAAAATCTGCTAAGGCATAGTTTCTCTGAATTTTCTTTTGGTGTTGATTGGTTGATAAATACGTAGTCCATTTAGTTATTAAGGTAATCTTATATGATATGAGGTTGGTTTATTTTGTTTAATGCTAACAGAAACAATATAATATCATTTTTCTATCCTAAATCATTTGCTGTGGAAAAGTGTCTGGGATCAGATTCAGTCTCTTTGGAATCAAATTTCTGTGAGTTTAGGCTGAAAAGTGCGTACTGGAGCATCCGATATTTTCCACAGTATCTAATTTGCTGTGATTCGATAATTTTTTGACGCCTAGGGAGGGGGTAACTGTTTTAAATATGAGATAGGCTTAATTTGGAGTTTAGCGTAAAGAGCCACCTAAGTCTACAATATGCTCGCAAGTTCGGAGTAGAGAGGATTGATACCTCATCCACTACGACCTATCTTTTCCTGACACGTACCATCACTTTATTAAGAAACAAGAAAACTAAGAATTTTTGAGTTCACACTCTATTTAGGAAGATTGACCATCGAAGCACTTTATATCGAGACATAAACACAGGGGCAAGTGACTTCAAATCCGGTGGAGCACCGTAAAGAAAAATGCATATCTTGAAAAAGAAAAAGAAATCAGACGATACCTTACGTTCAATGGATAAGGATTGTACTGTGCAAGCCTAAAGGAAGCACTTCCTTAGAAACACATTCTGGATTGCATTTCATGAGATTTCATCCATGTAAGACTGCATGTTCAAGACCTTCACAAGGCATTGTTTGTGATAATATGCCCAACTTGCCTGTTATTTTGGGTCTCACTCAACCCTTTCTAAGGATTCTAAACGAAAAACAAAAATTATAAGTGATCGCAGCAGCAATGTAGGGAGTGCTGATGACTCTGCCTTTTGAGTTGGAGGCATCTAACTCTGCATGAGAACTATACAACTGTTTTTTTAATAAGACCTTAACCTGGAAATCCTGCTCTAATTTTGTACGTGATGGAGCAACCAACGGTTAGGATAGTTAAGTGGGGACGACAACTTGGGTGCACTGCTTTAATCGGACATGTACTAGACTATAGACAGATAAAAAGTTGTTGAGCTTTGAATGATAAGATATTCTGCCTGACTGTGAAGTCCTACATCGCACCAATGCAAGTTGGGATTCTTGTTTGCATTTTTCCTTCTGCAAAATTGTTCACCCTCGATTATTCAAGGGACGATTTTGTTCGATTTCCGGAGTAGAGCAGGTAAGGTTATGCATTACATTTGAGAAGGGATTTTGTCTCTGTTACTTCTGCTCTTTGAAGGACCAGAGAATCTGATCATGCATGGACCAAAAAGCGCATTACCTTCATCTCAATAACTACTTTTCTTCTGTTTTAGCCGTGCAAGTCATAGGATGGAAAATTCGTTGGTGCTGGTGGCGTGATGCTTGGTTAGCGGTGCAGAGGTAGCTAATGACTTTAGAATTTCTGTATAGATGATTTTTTTGTTTTGTGTCATTGACTACTACTGCTTTTTCATGAAATGTGCAGAGATGGGCAAGAAGAAACCAGCGCTTTGTCCTGACAAATGGTGGAAATTTGCTGAACTTGTTGCATGCTGCATAGAATATAAGAATCTCAATAATGGAAGAATATAATTAGCCCTACCCGGGATATCTGGTGTTCTCTTTTGAAATTTGTCGTTTCTTTTCTTTCTTTTGAAGTTTATCTTGTTTACTTCTTGGTCAGGTGAACACGAAAGAGAGAGCGCTTGAGAAACATCCTCACTTGCTCCTCAGCATATTCTCTCTTATATTTCCATGCTCGTTTTAGTTGGGGTTTAATATATTATTATTTGTCTTGAAACAAGAAAATAGAGGCACAGATTACATCTTTTTCCATATTCTGTGAAATGGATTTAAATCTTTATACTGGATAAAACATTTCTTTTACGTTCTTATCTAAATAAGAAGACCTTTATGCCTTGTTATCAAGATCAGATCATCCCAAGTCCCACATAAGTTAGTGTTACCAAATTAGATCCTATCTATGAACTTTTGAGAGTGTGATATGTTGAGCCATGCATGTCTAGACACCATCATACTTACCTGGGGGTTCTTCTGAGAGGATCTTCTGCACAGAGCACCCTTCATGAAATCACATGACGAGATGAGTGGAGTGATTAAGGGGAAACCTGTGCTAACTTAAATATGTTTAATATAAAATCTTAATGAATCTATGAAGGTGCCGTAATGAATCTGAACTTTCAACAAACGAGCGTCCATTTAAAAAAAAAAACTGAACTTTCTAGCAACATCTGTGCCGCAATTAGTTGAAATATCCTTCCCTGCTTCTCATAAACTGAGATGCATATTCAGGGTGGGGGCGTTGATAATATGTAATATAAAAACTTAAACCAAGCCACACCACTCAGAATCATATAGTAGTGGTATGGTATGTTCCCCTTGTTCGATGTGATGCTTAACAAAGTATGCCTAATTTGTGACGAAACATCAGCAAAGTAGAACAATTGGCCCGAAAATGCAAGAAAAGGGATTCTTACTTTAGAGAGATTACGGTTCCTATTAAGCCCAGTGAGAAGGGGCACAAAACAGGGGGTCACAGAGATGATGTGATAAAGCGAGACCCAAAAGTGCAGGACACTGGGCTTCATCAATTGACCCAAAAGGCCTGTCAAAGGAGAAGAGGGAAGGGACATTAATTATTATTATTATTATTATAATGAAATAAATGATGATGATGATGATGGCAGATGAGCGTGAAGATGATGACAGCTGATTAGAGAGAGAGCAGTTAATTATTAGAGGGTAACGCAATTAAAGAACCACCGCCTATCAAACAACCACAGCTAAGCCCGTCTCTTTATGCCACAGTTTAATCCAAATGGACAATCCTCATCCCTTCCCTCTTTCCTATATAAACCAAATATGTTCACACCCCCTCCATTATCCCCCATTAACCCTTCTCCCAGTCTCCCCCCCCCCCCCAAAATCTCATCTATGCTTCTCCGATTCCTTTTGTGTCACAGCCTTGTCTTGCTTCTCACTCTCTGTCTGCTCTCTTCCGTTGCACGGGATTCTTAGTAGATAAGGCAACCACGTACGTTCAAGCATTTTGTGTGTTTGTGTAAGTAAGCATGTGTATTGGCCGTCTTGTTATGTGCTTGGCATATTTCTAATTCAGTTTGATGTTGGCATGGTTCAATCAGGTGAAAGTTCTTTCAAGATTTACCGGCAGAGAGCTTTGATCTGATTGAGCCGCGCCAATATCTGATTGGGTTTGCTATTCTCCACTCTTCTTCCCCTCATGATCCTTTTCGTTGTGCTTGCCTTTCTATATAAAAATACATGAGAGTGGGAACAAACTGAAAGTTAAACTAAAAAATAGCAAGTAGGGTTGATGTCTTGTGATTTTGTTTGCCCTTATATTGTTTATCTTGTGTGCATCTAAAAGTCGAATTAATACTTATACTCACCATTAACACTTGACGCGTTATGAAAAATAAGCTAATAAAGAAAAAATTATCAACTAAGAAATAGAAGTAGGGTTGACGTCTTGTAATTTTGTTTTTTCTTGTACTGTTTATCTTGTGTGGATCCACAAGTCGAATTAATGCTTATACTTACTATCACCACTTGACTCATCATGAAAAATAAGCTAATAAATGAGAAATTATCAAGTTTGTTCACAACAAGTGGCTTTCTGAATTTATATTCATTTCAATGGAGATCAGAAAACACACTTTTATATTTTTATATTGATTGTGTTTTCATTTATCTTCCCTTAGCAATAATACAGAACAGACACATGTATTTTATTTGAGTGAATTTTAGATAGTATTTCATCCAATCTTGAACATAGAAGTTAATTTAATAGTTTGCTCTGTCAAGTTTGTATTAATCCTTCACACTTGTTATTTCCTCACTGAACTTCTTATTTTCAATGTAAATAATCAAATGCAGGTATATTTTGAAAAAATCAATGTACATTTTTCTAGAAAAAATCGATTTAATTATTTTTCTACCATATGTGGGAGAAGTTATTTAACTTCTATGTATAAAATCAGGGAGTGCCTTGAATGTTAATACACCCCATTCAAGAGCATACTGGTAATTTTCCTTACAAAAGAGTAGAAAAATTAGCAAACAAAGCATGCCATATAATGGGGATCTAATTGGTCCTGGATATCTTCATTGCATAATAAACACTTTCCACGCTGTTCAATCACTCTTTTCTTTTCTTTTTGCAAAAAGAAAAGTGTGGATCCTGAAAAATCTCTAGTAATATGATTCAGAGTCAAGGCACTATGGTATATTCCAAATGACTGCTTCATGAATTGTATCTCCGGGGGTGTGATCTATGATTTGTACGACAGACACGATGATGCTAAATGAAGAACGGATCCAGATGATTCAAAGGGGAAAGTTGAACCAAAAGAAAGATATTTGTCAAATCAAACCAAAATGAAGGCAAGATATTGGTCCATATCATATCGTACTATATATTAGACTATTTACCCGTTAACCCAAACAGTTCACGAGCATGCTAATAATGTACAGACCAGCATTTGCTTTTTGCTCCAATGTGACTGGGTAACCACCAATCACGTGGGCAGGCAATCAGGAATAGTTCATTTTTCATGCCAACATTCCATTAATATACACATTTCTAATTCAATAAATTTCACTTTGGTTTGCTTTTTACGAGATGAAACACCAGATTTATAGCATCATGCTACCTGGTTCTAACTTTAAGTGTTAGTTTGTAGCGTAAGTTGCAATACAAAATAGCTCGTACATTTAGAATTGAAAGTAGTATACTACTGGGTCAAAATCTAAGATTGTCACACTATAATTAAGGCTGCTATTTATGATTACATCCACCACCTCCCTTCATAATAAACCCGACAACATTGTATTTCAGTGAATTATAACCATAACGTCATTTTAGTAAGCTTACTATCATAAGTACTACCTCCAGTCTTTAATATAAGATCCTATTTAACTTTTATTTTGGTCTTAAATATAAGACCAAATCAACTTTGTCTCTCATATTTATACTTTTTTTTTCAAAGTAGCCCTTCTAGTAATGATGGTTCTAGTCAATATATTTGATTAGCGAGGATATTTTAGAAAAGACAACACCTATTTAGGACAAATAACTAACTTAACTTACTTCCTTAATCTCCTCTAATTAGTCAACTAGCTCTTATAATTAGGACCGGAGGTAGTATACAATTTCATTAGCTAGAAGAGAGTGGAGGCTACTGATTATTAAATGTGCTTATATCTCAAGCCATTCACATATTAAATATTACTCTCTATTCAGTATAGCTATTAACTGATGTACCATGATACACATTATTTTTGAGGTTTTTGTTTTTTGGGGGCCAGATTTTAGGTTTCGTTTTTGAATGACGTTTTCTTCTTTTGGTTGTTTTTGTCGGACAATGAAAGTCGGTCCAAACATTTCTGTATGGGGCTTCCCTTTTAAATAGTTCCTGCGAATCTGATTTAACAACCTGTACGTGGGCCGTCTGTGAGCCCAAATATGGGCCTTCGACCTGTAGAATGGGCTTAAAAGTGTTATTTTTTTCTGCCAAGGGTTTGAAAGCTTCGTCTTCTTCAAGAAAGGGGAAAAAAGCCGTTCCGCGTTGTTTATTCATATTCCGGAGCTTCTGTCGGGGAATTGTGGTCTGCGGTCTGAACGGAGGATGGGGTTGACGAATTTCGTGCTTACAGTGGCTGGTGTTAGCGCCGTAATTCTTCTGCTGAGGAGTGATGTGAAGCAGTCTGCTTCTATTTTCCGGCGAAACGTCAAGCACATCCGCCAGTGGCTTGAGGAAGAATCGGCCGACGCGTCCAAGTTAGCCCTTTTTTCTTCTACTTTATTAGTCATTAGTTATCGATTGACATAATAATTTAATTTCTGTTTACCGGAATCAACCTTGTTAGTAAGGGTTACGAACGCATGGGGGAGCTGAACTCGAGAGTATTTATTTGATGTTTAAGGAGAGACTGATCTGAATAATTCAAATTGAAGCATTGTATTGCTTTGTGTTAGTTTTAGAATCGATGTCTTAGTCTCACCTGCTTGATCTGCTTTCACCATCTTTATTTTTTGGCTACTTTTATTGGATTGCATTCACCATATAACCAAGATTCTTCAAGCTCTCTGAATTCTTCAAGATTCTTCAAGAGAATGTTGTAAATGACAAGGACTTTCTTCGTCATTATTTCTTTCATTAAGATTCTTTACCAAAATTTTACTCAGGCAAAATTGGTGATGGTTGTCTTACAGTAGGTTTCAGGCATGGTTTCCTGTTTGTTTTCTGTAACAAAGAATTTAAATTTAAATAATGCGAAACTTATTAACTGACACCGTGGAGGCGATTCACTGGAGCATGCGAGTTTTTACACTCAACGGGGAAGGGAAATGAAATATCATTACTGCTTGTTGAAACAGCACCTCACCTGGACTTATATTATTTGTCGTCAGATCATGATGTTGTTATCAGATATGTTTAATTTTTTGATATGATCTGCTAGTTCATGATGTTGAGTCCTACAGAAAAATGCCACGTTAAGTGTCTGTTTGGACAATAACATGATGACTTTGGCTTGGATCCCTCTGGTTTGTTGGAGAATATGCATGCAATATAGGATTTTAAATGTTTTACACCTTATGTTAACTTCCGTTTGTCATTTCTTCCTACCTTCCTAATCCTCATTATACAATCGCCATTTTCTTACAACATGCAAGTGGAGAGTTGAATTTACATTAACATGGTATTAGAGAGATTCTTTATCTTGTTGATTGTCTCTTTATGGCTGCAATTTTATGATGTTTTGTTCTGATCTTTGAGTTACTATGTCAGGGAAATATATCATGATATCTAAAGTAATGGGAAGGAATCACTAAAGAGGTTCATAAGGCTCCCTCTTTGGAGTTTGTTTACGTTTTCTTTTCCTCCCGACAGAGGGTTTTGCCTTTTTTTTTTTTTGGGGGGGGGGGGGGATGTTGAGGTGTTCATGAGGCTAATCCCCATGGAGTTTCAACGAATCCATAGGTGCAGTAGGGCAGGTAATTAGACCTTGATCAATCCCTTGAGTTCTAGACTGTTTTTCCTGAAAGAAAGCAGTTCAATTCATCGGTTAGGTTTCATTACTCATCTTTTTGTGTTTAAGATAAGACTATTTGGCTTATTTGGAACTGACAAGTGTTGTTTTGGTGATGATATTCTGAACTACGGACTGGAAATAATAATACCACGTTATAGCTTGCACCTTGAATGCATGTTGAACTGTGAGGCTTCTTTTTTTATCCTTTTTTCTCCCCTCAAATTCCCGTTCTTCGTAGTATTAATTATAAAGATTGTTATTGATCTTGTGGGTCGTTGATAGATTGTAGTGTTTGATTATTGCTATGCTTTCCAGGGCCATAAAGAAGTCCGCCAAGGAACTGGAATCGAAGGTTTCGCCGAAGGACGTTCCCAAGAAGGACAGAGAGTAATATTTGAGGATCATAGGATAAGAATGTCTGGCTCACTCCCCTCGCTTCTTTCTGCTTCTCTCTCTTCTCTCTACATTTGCCATAATGCGTGGTCTGCTACTATGAAGTGTTCGCAATGTCTGTTCATAGAAATCCTTCATAGTCCCTATTTTTTCTTGCAATAGTATATTTACCGAGATCACGAGTTGAAAGTCGTTTCTGCGGTATAAAGAATTTCAGAAAATCTTTATGATCAGGGTTCTGAAAATCATTGGATGGTGACCTTTGGTAGCACCCACAACTTGGTCAATAGGGAAGTTGAATTTGTGTTCAGGCCTGCATATGAGTTGAATTTCTGTAAGAAAGAAATTTTAGAAAATAAGCGAACGTGTATTATGAGGTACAAAACAACAACGAGATGAACATGTATTATTCAGGATTTAAAATTGTCTCCAATAAAAGATACTTGTACCCGGTGGAAAAATTTACTTCAATGGTATTGATACTTATTTCTTTACCTCATAATATTATTTTCAAAAATCAAACATTTACCTGATCAAATCATGAATCCTTATCTTAAGCATTCCGTGTATGTAACGAATTTTAAACAATAACCAATTTTATCACTGTTTTTCTTTGTCAATATCATTAATATTGCAAAAAGAAAAAAAGGATTCTTAAACTTTATTCATAAGCTGGGGAGTGCATGGGGTTTCACTGGTTGTATTGCCTAAATTTTGTAAGCTGTTGACCATGGTTTAATGAGGTAATGGTTAAATAACGTAAATCAAAACATTGGTTAATACTAAGATAATAAATATCTAAAAAAATATGCTTTATTTTTGAACTGGGGAGTAATGGCTCGTCAATTGTTATAAAATTCCTTTCGTGGATCATAAAATATGGAGATTGTGTAAGTCTATAATGCCCTTCTCCTTCCGTCAATGGGGTAAGGATTGAAGAAGCTGAATATGCCATTAGTCGCTGGTGGGTTTCCTAGTGCTTCTAATCATCCCTGCCTTGAACTCAATCGTGGCATGTGGATTTGGATTACGACCTTCCCAATCCCTTTGCTCTAATCCCCTCAACGCTTAATCCTGTATTTCCTGTTTTAGTCCATGTAAGGGCATTGCTCGCCCTCTGCAGAAGTATCTGTCTCCCGTTTAAATTAAAGATTTAATTCGTAAAATACTATTATTACTTTCCTTAAATGTTGTTTTTAATATAATTCATTTATTATACTATTCTTTTTTTTGGCTTTTAGAGATGATTTCTAAGCTGATTGAGTAATTGGTAATTTTACTATTTTGGACTTGTTTACTCTTTATCCCAAAAACAATGAGACCTCGCTATCTTGAGTGAGGAATTTTTCCGATATTTTACATAAAAAATTTTATTCAATTAAACTACTCTCAAATAATTTCTATTATTATATTTTTATAACAATTAATTAATAAGTAGGATTAAAGGCTGACTAAAGATATTCGTTTTTGTTTTTTTCGTTTTTTCATTTCACTTCACTTTCACTTTTTTAATCTTTACCTCGTTTCATTGGTACGAGTGAGTCACGTGATCTCAAATCTCAATTAACCAAACGAATATTACGTTAACAAAGGAAATCGTTTGAATGGATCGTCGACCCCACAAATTCCCCCCCCCCCCCCCCCCCCGCTTCCCATTATTTGGAAGCGACAAATTACTTTATCCTCTCTAATTTTTTGGCTCTTCACCATTTGCGTCTCATTGCACAACTTGGAGGCGCTTAGTAAACGGAAGCGAAGGAGGACAGTTCGTCTTTTTCACATTATGCTTCCAAGACAGAGAACAAGCAAAACTACTCACTCAGAATAATCCAGTAAATAAAACAAAGAAACTCAATTACTTCACGGTTTATGATGGCAGTCTTATTACTATCTTTTGGCCTGGTCAATTCTGAACTGCTTAACCATAATCTAACCCACAGAAAGCTACATTAACGAATAAAACCCACTTAATAAAACCTATTGCCTGCTAGATTTTAGCCAAAATCAAAACGAAGCCCAAAGATTCGAGGCAACAATCAAAGATGCCAAACAGACTCTTAATTGATCATCCTTGTAGAGCAATGTCTGGCATATGAGAATCCATCAGTTCAATTCAGGACAAGTTATTTGTAGTTCGTTGTTATCCTTCGGAAATGCAGGGCCAACCAAGAAACATTGCTTAGGCATTCAGATAAACTATTCAAAATTCGAACAAGCATTACTAGGGGTACAGCATTTCACCGCCAAGTTTTTTAAGACTTCCCGTCTAATCAAAGGAATAAAAAGGCTATTGCTATGGTCCAGCGTTGTCCTGTTTGCTTTCTAAAAGTCGAGATCATCATAACCCGTTCAAGATTCCCACACTAGCTATTTCCAGAAAAAAGCAATAACAGGTGTTCATCCTATTCTTGGTCTTGGCTTGGAGGTTACAAAATTAGTCCGAAATCTTTGGGTGTGGCCAGCCAGAGATGCCTCATACCATGGCCCACCATCTCTCACTCTCATTTTGATTGATTACTCTTTACTCAAATTCAGCCTAGTAAAGTATCGGACGAAATTACATTTTTGCCCTAAAATTAAAGTACAACGTAAGTTGCAGCCAAGCCCTCTGTAACACAACTCCCTCAGGCTTAACAATCCCATAAAATTTGTACCATACAAATGAAATGATATCGCAAGGACATAAAGAACAAATTCCGAAGGCTCCATGTTTAGTTTTTCTCAGTCAGAATACAGAGATAATTGGTTCAAGATCTACAGTACCAGAAATTTCCAACCAAGGAATAATAAGTTAGCAACCTACTCCCAGAAAAATGGAAAGGTCGGCAAGTCCCCATTTTCCACAATTTCATCAGGCCTCATGTGCATCGTATGGTCGTAATCAAGGTTGGCTGTGTCGGCATCCACAACCAATAATGGATTAGTAGACTTTTCTTGTGGACTTTCTGAGCATGATGAGTATTTATCCCCAGCATCAAAATGCAAATCTTCTAATGGAGATGATTGCACTGGACAGTTTACGGTGGACTGCACCAAGCTCAACTCTTGACTTTGAGTCTGAAGTGTTGACAGAAGATAGAGAGCACAATTTGAATCAATAGATCCAGGTTCGCAATCAGAAGCAAGCTTCCGACCACCATTTGCACTTGCTGATGGGGCAAAGGCACCAGAAGTTGTTTGGCTCATGGGAATTCCAGACACTGCCTCATTACCATGACCTACTTTAGAGCTGTTTAACCCAAAGAAAGGAAGTTGCTTATCCTGCTGATGCTCTACATTAGCAAAGGAATTTAGCAGACTGTTTTGGTCATAACTGATCATCACTGGTCCAGCTCCAGCTTTGGCAGTGGCAGGCCACATACTTCTCACGAACGGGTAGTTGTACGTCTGAGGACTACCAAAATGAAGGATTCTGGGCCCTTGATTTTAGAAAGGCAAAGCAAATCCAAAATTAAAAGAACATAGACAGCAGGGGATAAGACAAGAAATAACTACACAGAGAAACATAGATGTCACCAATTATCATTATCAAAGACAGAACCAGCAATTGAATCCAACACCATCAGAACTATGTGCGACCAAATTTTCATGTTCCGCCATGAAACAATAACCTGCCTTGTCCCGAACTTCTAAGGTATCGAAATTTTGAACCAAAATTTGAAATGAGTTTTCTAATGTCAGTCTTATCTTCCTAATCAGCCGGAAACTAAAGGGGCCATAGCTGGGTGACTATGTTTCACTTTCTAATGGCAGACAACCTCTTCTTAACTCTTAAACCAGGCTACTCTTTCATCTTAGCTCTTCTTCTTAGTCGCTGCTTTAATCTAAATTTCTACAACCATAATCTATCATGAATTGGACCACCGAAGTTCTAGTTAAAACATCTAGAAAAGGGAATACTGTAATCTTGCTTTCAATCAGGTAATAAGTGGACAGCAGTTAAAATCAACCAAGGTCATATTTAGTATCTTAGTCCGACGAACCTTTATAGCCGCTCAGGAATTTCTCAGCAGCCATGAAAAGAGAAGGTGGCTGAGGCTTCCTTCTGCGCCTGTTATGTCCATCAAGACGTTTCCTGCAACTCCTCTTAACTTCATCAAACTCTCCGAGGGAATGAAATCTACAACAATTAGCGACCACCACTTGTCACAAATCAACCTCAATATATTTGAAACAACGTAATCGGAGAAACCCCCGTCTTACCTGCTGCATTGCTGGCAGAATCGCTGCTGCTTTCCCCCTACCAACACAATGGGCGTCTTGGAGTGCTTCTCACACACTCTGTGTCGCCGATGATACTCTCTGCAATCACTCAGGTCGGAGTCGCATCCATCCACCAAGCACGACACGCTCTGCGTCGATCCACTCAGCGTACGGCTCCTCTTTGACGAGCCGCATGGCGATGATGCCGATTTCGAGTCTCTCGGCAAGTCCTTTGGTGTATATGAGGGTGATTTCTGTATGAAATCGGGAGTCTCTCCAAGACTCAAATCCACGGAAGCCGCTCCATTTGATAGCTCCGACCCAGACGGATCCCAGGCCAACTCTTTCCAGTCCCAGTCCATGTGTGCCTAGTACCTAAGTCGGCGCTCTTGTTATTCTGTGCTTTCCAATTTACGAAGCCTACAAAGAAGGGGGCAAAAAAAAAACAAACAAACAAACTTGAGCAGGAATCAGAATTTGTTCTCCCTTAGGTTATCACCAAAAGTTGAAGAATTTGACTTGAGAACCTGAATAGGAAAAAGTAGGTTATCAAAGAATACAGGAGCGTGATTTTCCGAATTGGGTTCTCAGAGGGAGCCAAGAGAATATAAACCCAGTTCTCAAAAATTTTAAATTGAAACCACGACAGAAAAATCGTCATGATAGAAATAGAAACACGAATGTCACTTCAAGCAACTTGGCCATTTGGGGCCACAAATTAAATGTTAACGGGAGGGCCTTTGTTTCTTCTGTGACAGAAAATATCGGAAAATTTTAGCAGAAAGGGGCCACCAAAGACTTACAGACATGATTTTACCAATTCCCTGAAATTTACAGCTGCAGAAGAACCTCCGAGAAAACAGGTGGAGAAGCAGATGAATCCATGTATGCTCCTCTCGGGGAGTGGTTAAGGACAAGAGACCTGATGGGGATTAAACCGAGTAGCTCAAAAAAAAAAATTGAAAGAGCTGTTGAAGTGGAGAAAAAGGCAAAAACTGCATCAATAGGCAATTAACAAGCGTGGCGATTTACCGATATACTGAAGAACTAATGCACAGTGAGATCTCTCTGTTTTTATGTCCCGCCTGGGTCTATCAACTTTGATTTGGTTTTAAAAAACATGTTAGTGGGGGCAGAAAATATTATAAAGAAAATGTTGAGGAAAATGGTGGGGAAAGGGACTGGAGCTTCGACTTTATCTGTTAACTACTTATATCTCCCAGTCAAGAAGACGACCGCAAGGCCACCGACGATGCCTCCAGGACTCTCTGCACAGAAATGGATGACAGCCTCACGCCAGTCTACCATCAACAGTCTACACCCATGACCATGGTGATCATGAGATCATACTGCATACGGGGTTGTTTTTTGGCCTGCGTTTTTTTTGGGGGGGGGGGGGATCAACCCGGGTGATATATCCAGGAGAACGGGGCAAACGGCTTTGACAGGACAGGACAACTTACACCTGACAAAGGTTCTTACTTTAGGGATGTGATTGTGCATTATTTTTAGTTTTTGGTGGGTTAAGCAGAATGTAGATTCTCCACTTTCGTCTTGATATGTGACTTCTTTAAATGTTCTGCTGCAAGCATGTGTTTAAAATAATCGTAGTGGGTGTGATTACACGGGATTTTTAATGAGTTATGTGATTCATAAACCTGAACGCAGTATGATCTTTAGAAAAAAAAAGGGGGGAGAAAAAAAGCTTTTCATATGTCACATGGATGTGTTGATGCATTCTTCTTTTCTTTTCATTTGAAAAGCCAGCAAGTAAAAATTTGTTTGGATTAACTTATAAATAGTTTTTTAAATATAATTTACAGAATTGAGAAAAGACTTGTTTCAATTTACGTAAATTTGGTTAAAAACCCATTATAAGCAGAATTCCAAACAAGCCCCACAAATGCAGCAGGGTTGTTTATGGTTCTGCCTGCAAAATTGGGTTTGCCTTGAAAAGGTCGCTGAGTAAAACAGTGGAGTACCGTTCAACGGTGTTCATGGATTCGGGTATACTCTCATACGTGACAAAATATGCGCAGAGAGACATTGAAAGCAACGCGTGATTCTTCGTTCTCAAATCCTATGCAAGTATAACGAACATGATCAGGTCACCCGGGGGGGGGGGAACGAACATGTTGGATCTTTAATTGCTTTACGAAAGTTGCCAGTACTTTTGTCAAGAAGGCGCGTGGGTTAAGGTGAGAATGATTAGAAAATAGGATCTATTCGTAAATAAACAATACTCTTTCAATATGAAACGTAAATATTAGTTAAAAGGTTTAATCTTTTAACAAATAGTTCAAAACTTGATCTGTTCACTAGGTCTCTTAAATATATACATTTTTTTAAAATTATTTCTATTCGTTGTTTTCCATAGGGAGTAATCTATTGTGCAAATTATTTTAAATAAAGCAACACACATTTTTTTATAACATATTATATGTAGCTATTTGAATTTAATGTAAATAAAAAATTATACAGTGAAAGTATACACACGAACAACTTTTTTCTATTTCTCAATAAAAAACAAACTGTTTTCTATAAGAGACTAAACTCTTGAATTTTCTTTTTAACTCTTGATACAATACTGATATAACTTGCTTTTAAAGGGGGAAAAAAAGTGAAAGGGTTCTCTTCTCCGTGCGTGGCCATTGACAGCTCAATTAAACTCGCACCTTTTTTTTTTTTTTTTGGGGCTCTGCCAATAGAATAGGATAGCGATGGCATGAGGCCATGAACAGTTTCAATAGAAGGAAGAAAAGGCACGAGAGATTAAAAACTTACTGTAGCTGGGTTGGCCTGCCTCGTGCTGTATCCACCACGTGAAGAGGAAGTCACCTTCCTCTTTCCTCTGGGAAGCAAGCCGCCGGAAACTAATTTTGTCCGTATTAGCATCGTTTCAAATTAATCTCATCCCTTTATTTAATCGATCGATAATTACCTTAAACTGTGATCTCGTCCGCTTCTGTAACTGCCACAACTTCCGATCATCGTCGTAATCGACGGGGACTGGCTTGGGGCTCTACGCAATAACTTCCAGTATGCAAAGCAAGCGCACTTCTTCTAATGTTGATTCAACTAATTTCTTTCTGTTCATGAAGGACGCCGAATTTGGCGTCAGTTTGTGCGGCAAGCGGATGAGTCGCCTCCGAATATGTGGGAGGAGGAGACTGCGCCGGCGAGGTTCCTCCTCGATAAAAATAAAAACGACAGTGTTAAAAACTCTTAATGTGATAAGAGGCACTGAGCAAGCAAAAACTAATTACAGAACGTTCGATATGGCCTTTATGAATTTAAATACATAATTTTTTCTTTATAAGTTTAATTTAGAGGTCATTGTGTTGATAAATTTTTAATAGAATATGAGATACGATAACAGTAAGGTCGAGTTGTTTCGCTTGTTATGTTCTTTTTAGAAAAAAAGTAATCACGATATCAATGAACAATGACATCAATATAAACAGTTGAGGGGCTTGCTTGAAATTGCTATTCTAACTTCAAAAACAGCTTTTCAACCACAATTTATCAAATACCAGAGAAGTTTTATTTTAATTTACGTAAATATACTTATTATAAATGCATATATTAAACAACGTTAAATAATTACTGAGTTTATATAGAAATTTTTGCTGTCAATAGGTGTGAGATATGATTCAAATTTCATGCAATACACGTATGATGTTATGTTTATTTCATATGCTATAAAATTACTTCTAAAAAATTAATCCAAACAGAAATCAATGTGGTTTCTTTGTATTTTTTAACAGAAGCAGGGGATATGCCATTTGCTGGAATACAAACAATTCCATTCCCTTTCAGTGGAACCATTCAGGCGTCATTCGGAAAAGTTACCCGCCTTATCATGAGCCAAATTGGCCGCAAGATAAAACCGATAGCAACAATGAGTAACCAGTCGATGCACGAAAAGGAAGGGGGGGAAAAAAAAAAACAGAAATGAAAGGCGATGACGTGCCATGGATTCCCATATCCATGATCGATGCGGGTTTGACCTTATCTCATAACAAAAATTAAAGTAACAAGAGAGGAATGAAGTGAATTTATATATGTCATTGTTATTCGTTGACATACAGAAACAATAAATTATGTTATTTGATACCATAATCGTATCGAGTCTTGGTGGGGAAAAGGGAAATCCGACAGCAAAATTTTTCTTTCTAATCTAATCTCCTCAGGTTCTTTATCATACCTCTTTATAAACAGGGCATATTTATTAATGAATGGCCGGTTTTTTATCAGATTTATAACTGAAGCGTCTGAAGACAGGGGAAGATGGAGAAGGCACTAGCAGGGGAATCAACGAAGGATCAACATTGGATGGCAGCAGCCAGCAGGGAATTGGGCAAGTTGGGCATAAATAAGTAAAAGGAACGTATAATTAAATGCCGAATATATATATATATATATATGCATCCTTTTTTCCATAATTGGAGTTGCCCCTATCAGTTTGGCGACGCCACCTGTGCAGGGTGTACAGTTGAATGGAAAATGATAAGGTTCGCACTGGCTCTTTCTTTTATTATCTATTTTTCCCTTGGCCACTGATAACTGGATAAGGGTGGTGATGGCGGAGAATTATAATTTATACATTCCCTCAAGTCTTACACGTGTTTGTGTGTGTGATTTTTTTTTTTTTTAGAATAATATGTTTCTATTCACTCATTTTCTCTCTTGTTTGCTTGTTATCCCCACAGATAAGGTTTTTTTAAATATATATATGTTTATTATATTTCATCAATTTTAACTAACTCTTAAATTTACGTGATTTAATTATTGTCTGGCCAAATGACAAAGCTGGCACTTTCTCTTTTATTTCTTTTTCGTGGCCATTAACAAGGGTGCCCCTTTAGTCGGATTCTGCGGATAAGATTTTTTTTTAAAAAAAATAATGACGCATTTTCATTTATTTACAGGAGAAAATCATAACCTATTTGACACGTTTTAATATTATTTTTTTATTTTTGTCTTTATTAATTATCAGTAAGCCCGATTCAATTTAACTGCTACGCATTTCTATGTGCCCACTCTCTTCCTCTCGCAAGCGCTTTAAACGGGGGTGTTCCCAAAAAATAAGTTGAATTTTTTTAATATTTATTAATTAATTTTCATCAATTTTTTCACTTATATAATTTGATTATTAATATTTCACAAAAAAAAAGCAGCATAATGGGGAAGTATGAATTACCAAATACTTAATTAATACTTCCTCATCTCTTTAACACAATAATTAGTTGACTAATTTGAGTAGATTAATAAAATTTATTGAGTTAGTTTAGTATAATAAATATGTGCTGTATTTTTTAAAATATCCTTGCTGATCATTTGCATAAGCTAGAACAATTATTTGATTGCACATTTAACATGTCCAGCTACTACAGCACTATTTTAAAAAAATAAGATAAGTATGAAAACAAAATGGATTAAAATATTATATTTAAGACTAAATTAAAAGTCAAATTAGTTTTTATGTACAAATAAGATTTTATAATTAGAACAGTACAAACGAGACTATTAATGACCAGATGCAGTATATTATTATATGCACACATAATTTAACTGATGATTACCGAAGGTGTGAGGGGTAACAATTGTAGGGGAGGAAGACTAACGAGGGGCATGGTCAACCACAATTATTGGACATCAAATCCAACTTCTGGGAGTGCGCCACTGCGCCCACCAGACGTATGTGCATCCCCTTGTTTTCCACGCGGTCCCCCCCTTCCTCACACTCATCTTGATTCATTCCTCTCTGTTAGATTCTTCATAAATCCTAATCTCACATTTTTAATTAAAAACCAATACATCATAACTTGGGTTTTCAGGCTGTTCCTCGTAATTTATATATTTTTCCCAATCATTTGTTAAATCTGACAAGCCTGTTGAGGTTGATCTGTGGATTAGATATGCCTGTTTAATGATTAGAGTGGTCCATGTATTATGTGGTACCCCTATTTTGAATGGCAAATTACAGGTATGATTTTGATAATTAGGAGGAAGAAGGAGGCCTATATTAGCCCCCACGTCACACACCGCCCCATCACAAACAAATAAATACACGCCTCAACCAAACCTCAACACTGCGTGCGTGGTCCTCTGTATATATACATATATATATATAATATTTAAACGGGCAGGCAGATATTAATGAATTGAGATTATTTTTTTGCTAAAGTACAGGTATCCTTCTATTGGAAGTAATCCTATATCAGACACTAAATGTAAGTATCTTTTCTATCAGGAATTTAAACCTTGATTCGTCATGTTATGAAGAATTAGCCCATTCTATTAGATCTAATTCTGATCGGTGTAAATTGAGATTACTGAGCATACGTATATGTGTGTGTAGATGTGGACTTTGCGGTAGAGAATTTTATAAGGGGGTGGTGTGGTTGGGGTGGGGAGGTCCACTAGTCCAGTCCCAAAATAGACGTACAGTGGGGCGGTGATCCCACGCGCCTCCTATTTTCCCCATATTCGGCGCTTCTTTTTGGTTGTTGCGGCCTCGTTGGTTCACTCTTCACTTTGTATCTCGCAGATGCTTTATGAACGTAATCATCATTAAATGGGTCCTGTGGATTTGAATTTGGGCCACGAGGATAATAAGCCCAGCAAAATTGAAAATCTACTCAGACTGGCTTCGGTCCTGAATTCCAATAACATAATCCGCCACCCTAACAGGTTTAGGCCGAAATTCGAATTCTCGAATTACATCGCTGCCTTTTCTTTTTTTTTTGGCCAGCGAAGCAATCAGTAGTTGAATATTTTTGCCAACTGCATTACCTCTCTTTCCTTTAATATTTTTTCACACTATCCTCATTAATTTCGTAGTTTTTCTTTTCACTCTCTTTGTTTCTCACACTTGACATATGCTCCTCAAAAATCAAAATAGATGTACATTATAGGAAAGTAACACATAATTTTTACATAATAATAATAAAATAATTAGTTTGGTTAATATTTTAATATATATATATATATATATCAGCTGATCATATTTTATAAATTTAGCATGCACGGAAGAAGGGGGAGCATAACACATTAACGCGAATCAAGGCAACTTTTGTTCACACGTGGCTTTTCCTGCGTAAGTGGAGCTAGCAAGATATTAAGTGAAGCCAATCGTGTCACATCACACCCTTAGGTGGCCACTTCCAGCAGCCATTTCAGATGTGGCCACCACTTGTTTCATGTGTAGAGTTATATTACTACTAATTAATTTCACACACATCGGCAACAACTACCAATTATTATCAACCGGCTCCCGAGCGAGCACATTCAAGACAGCTAAAGCGTGTGTTTGTGTGGTATTATAAATTGCCATTGGACACAACAATATTCTTAGCCCAGCATCGCACAATTAGCTACTCCTCCGGTCTTTAATGTAAGACCCATTTAACTAATTTGATTAGATTAAGGAAGTTCGGTAAGTTAGTTAATTACTCCTCCGGTCCTTATTATAAGACCCAATTTGACTTTTTATTCGGTCCTAATTATAATACCCAATCCATTTTGTCTCTTATATTTATAATTTTTTTCCAAGATAGTTTTAGCCAATATACTTAATTAGCAAGGATATTTTAGGAATGACAATACTTATTTATTATAAATAACCAACTTAACTTACTTCCTTAATCTCCTCAAATAAGTCAATTGGGTCTTATAATTAGGACCGGAGGAGTATAAAAAAAGTGACACATTTTTCCTAAAACACCATAATTATCTTTTTAATACTTCATCTCCTTCTTCTATTTGATTATAGTTAAGGGAGCATCTATAGGGTAATTTAGAGAAAATTGATAAATATGATAAATGGGTCTTATATTTAGGATTAAAACCAGCTCAAAAATTGGGTCTTATATTAAGGACCGGAGGAGTATATAAAATGAAGTATTGATCGGTATCCATACAACTTAATTAAAAAGCCTAACTACCACATGAAACAATTCATATTCGACTGGAGAGAATCCGACATGTTTAAAAAATAATGATATATAATCATTCAGAAGTGATATCATTTATTTAAGTTTATTTGCCCCACTTCAATTCTTGTGTCTGGGATATCTGAAAGCAGTGGAGCAGCCACCTTCATAAACTTGTTGGGGGTAAGTAGATCTAATTAATGACACAAAGATTAACTATTCACGGGACAATCACTCCCAAAAACACTGTACTACTAATGAACGAATTTGGTTGCAGCCGTCATTATTCAATGGCAAGCAAATCGGTTTTTCCAACCGCACGTCCAAATTATAGCAGCGCCTACCTAGTTTTGGTCATCAGCCAACACACTTGCCCAGCCGCAAACATATACACAACCACGAAGAAAGTAACAGCGACTCTTTTGAAGAGGAAGAAAGACTGATATTTTCTTAAGTTTCGCTGTTTGTTGATGGCTGAGCAGAGGCAATACTTATAGTCTGGTCCCTCTCCACCGCACATAATATACCGAATCAATATCTGGTAGTTATTTAATTTGGTATTTCAGCATAAAAGCAGGCGATAATAGGTAAAGAAACAAAGGGTATTAATTGATCTGTATATATAAGTCAAACGGTAAGAAACTTGAGTGGGGCTCAATTTACACATGGCCTAATAATACAAGGAGGATTACAAAGAAAGAAGAGATTATATATCTAAAGGGCTTGCCCACATTCGTACATATAGCAGCAAGCAGATTCTGGTATATACCTAGCTACTGAGCATATATGAGTATGAATCTTCTGATGAAATCGAGGACCCAAACATCTCCCTCAAGTTTCCTTATTCTAATAACATGAAAGTCTTCGCTTTCTTTCGGGAAAAAAATAGAAAACTTAATGAACTCGAGAGGATCCAAATGCATGCATGCGTCATGGCTGTGTGGATGATGGATATATATATATATATATTCTTCATGCATGCATATGTGAGGTAAGAAAGAAAGGATCGAGCTGGAGGAAATAATAAGTTGAAGGATCTAAAAGGGAGTGTATATTTGCATCTGACTCAAAATGTGTTCGAAGTTGTCGGTGGTCTTCTCAATGGGATGGTTGTGCGCTCCCTCGTATGTGGTCACCACTACGCCTTCGTCTTTCGTCAGCCGTTGCACTTGCTTCTTCACATTACACCCTTGATGCGTACACCTGTAGTAGCTCCTGCATTTTTCATCAAACAACAAAACCCCACCTTCGTTAATTACCAAACATCCCCTTCAACTTTCAAGCAATTAATATTAACATGTTTGCGCAGAAAACTATTCAAAGCAACGAATTAAAAGCAGTATTCGTCTTGTGTGCATAGATGATTGCTTCTTTAATTTCTGTTTTGGTCTTTCCTTTGTTAAGGTCTTGCGTAGAGCGCATCAAACTGAGGAAGAAATAAAACCACGGACCAAAATATATTTACCGCAGATTCAACTTTATTCAGTCTCATTATTGAAGCTAGTGCTTCATCATAAGGTCGCATTATGCACTGGTCAATTCATCAGGGAATTGGAAAATTATGGTGGGGTAAGTGTATATTCCTAGGTGAAATTCATGCATATATATGAAGTCAAAGTTTTTTGGCGTCACCTGTGAATGTGAAGAGAACGGATAGAGACGAAGAAGATAGTACACATACATAAGTCGGAAAAGATCGATGAAGAGAAAAAACCTGGGGAACTTGTTGTTTTTGACAGCTTTCTGGCCATATTTTCTCCACCGATAGCCATCATCCAGTATATCTACCTGACTCCTCGTTTGAAAAGCATGCCTAGGCTTCCGCGCCTTCTTCTCGCCCTTCTTCTTCCCAGAACCACCTTGCTCCTTGCTCCTCGATAAGCTCTCATCACTTTCAGCAGGCCTCAAACCCAGGAACCCGCCAGACTTAATCTGGCCCTCCATGTTATTGCTCAAACCGTGAGAGCTTCCCATGGCACTGGTGGCAACCGAATAATTCGAAGGATTAGGACAAGGAAATAACACGGGGTAGCTCTCCATGCAGTTATAGTCGCTGTGCTGGTATATAACCAGAGAATTGAAGCGACGCAGGAGAAGAGAGGATCGGAGGAGGAGGAAGAAACTAAATGGTAAAAAGTTGAAGAGACGTGTATAAGTAATGGGTGGGGGCGGGGAGGCGGCGTTCGCTTGTAGTGGCTTATGAAAATCAGGGATACATCCACCGAATAATATGAGTATAAAGAGGAAAAGGGAGGAAAGAAGAGTCCAAAGGGGAATATGTATATATAGAAATCAACAAACAAAAACATGAGAACAGTAGCAGTAATTGATAGTGTCGTAAACGGCACGCAAACAATGAAAAGAAATAGAGAGTTGAGAAAATTGAGGATCACTAATTAACGGCAGCTTGGAATAGCAAAGGGCCGTGGAAACGTGAGGCGGCTATGCATATGCATGATTAAGATAAAGACATCTAAGTGTGTCCTGTGGGGAGATTGATTTGAAGTGTGAGTTTTGAATTTGAATAATAAGAATAACAGAGGAATGAGACTGACACATATCTAAATGCACAGTGTTGATTATTGCGTAAAGAGATGATTGAATGAAATCAAATCATAATTTTAAAAATATTTTTACGATATATAAAATAGATATATAAAAAAATTTGTCTTATTTTATAAAAAATACACTTTTATCTTACCAAAAATCTCTCAAATTTAAAAATGGCAGCCGTACATAGTGGTAGTTGGTGGGTCAGTGGTCATGGTTTGTGAAAATCGTGGGTGGGGTTGGGATATTGCGAGCATGGATCGAAGACCAGAAGCCCAAACCTGAACCCGCAGTTTCCTCGAACGTTGTCACGCTTTACACGTGGACACTTCATGCATCTCCCTTGCCCAGAACTTCGTCTGCGAAAGTTTACCCCACAACCCTTGAATTCAATTCGGCCTTTTCTAGAATACCAACTAACAGTCTTATGAGCTTGAACATTTAGTGTCGTCATTTCATTTTCTGGTAATATTACCTCTGTTTCTTAATATAAGACTTTATTTGATTTTTATTTTGATTCTAAATATAAGATCCCAATTCACTTTATCTCTCTATATTTATACATTTTTTCCCTAGATATTCTTTCTAACAATAGTAGTGTTAACCAATACACTTGATTAGCAAGGATATATTAAGAAAGACAATACATATTTATTACAAATAACTAACTCAATCTATTTTTCTTAATCTCTTCAAATTAGTCAACTAGCTTCTATAATTATGATCGGAGGTAGTGCTATCTTTGTTATTTGATATAAGAGTTAGTTTAACTTTTAATTTGATTTAAATATAAGATTCTAATCAATTGTCTTTTTTACATTTATCTATTTTTTGATATAGTTCTTATAGTAGTTGCATATCTTAAAGATTTAATCAAATGATAATTCTAACTAATAACATAGTTAGCAAGGATATCTTAGCGAAGACAACATCTATTTATTACGAATAACTAATTAATTAGTTTTTTTTAATTTACTTAAACTAACAAACTAACTTTTATATCAAAAACTGAGGTAGTATCATTTATTTCCGTTAGTACGTCTATAATTTGACACTACTTTTTTTTCCATGAGTTAGTTTAATTTGTTCAAGGTTTTGGTGAAATCAAATTTCATCGAAATTATATAATGGTTATTAATGGAAATAACTTTAACATGGAATTTGTCTTAATTTGAATGAGGGGTGGTGGGGAGGGTTGGTGCAATGTGTTCATCCTTAATGGGCGCGTGTCTGCGCAGCCTCTGCAGCTTCCACGAAACATACAGCTGATGGTGCCGCCAAAACGATTGTGCCCCAGACAAAATGTATTTTTGTGACACTTGAACAAAAATAATTTTTTTAAATAGTATATTTTATAAATAAGAAATAATATGACTAATTCTATAAATTTCATATGAAGATGGGAAAATTACAATGAGACCTAAAAAAAATTACAAAACAAGTTCTAAAATTTGTCATTTTTTTATTTAAAACTTATCATTGTAAGTTGTTTAGGTTGTTATGTGGGACTTTTTAGTAATTATTTTTTTTTACCTGGGACTTCATTGTCATTCTTCTTATAATTTTAGTTCAACTCTTTCCCTCTGTCCCTTCCTCTTATTGTAGATGTAATTATAGGCCAGTTTGCTCTCCACTCAATTTTGCACCTTATTATTGACTAATTAATTAGATGGAAATGTTCTCTCTGTTTTCCGGGTCCGAGTTACAATCGTGATGACTCCATCGCGAGGCCCATCTTTGATTCTTAATTCTTACATCGGAAATTAAATAAATCGTCAGCAAAACAAAGTCATATGTTTATTTCTCTACTTTACACGTCTATGTATACAAATTATCAAATACATGCAACACGTGCATGTGGAAATACACAAACAACGTGTAAAGAAAGAGTTCGAGTCCCTTTTCAATACTTTGTCTTATAAGCCCTCTTATGTTGTTCCTTTTTTTATTTTTATTTTGGTGAAAAAAAAAGTTTATGTGAGTTGGATCCCAGGAGCTCACCAGGTCCAGAGTATGTCTCTAGGTTCAGAGAACAATTACATATGTACTTACAGATCACCCATTAACAAGATCTTCGATTATATCAGCAGCTGAATTCAAACTTATGACTCTGAGTTATGAGTTACGTTGTTCTTTTTTATTAATACGCCGGGCGATCTTGAACATGATAAAACTGCTCATGATCTTATGGACTAACTCTTCATAAACGACGATGATCAGACTCCAGCACATACATATCCAATATCTTTGTCGCATGAAAATTGAAATATTTAGCTTAGTTTCCTCCTTAGAGCCTAAAGAAATAAGTTATACGCTGTACATGGCTCCGTGGTATTTATATAAATTTGCTAAATAAGGTAGGCATGTATATAGTTTCTTGGTCTTCTTGATGCATCCCGCCAAACTCAAAGAAAAAGTCAATGTAGGGAGTTTGAAGTTCAGACGCAAACAACCTGAGAGAATAATTAAGGAGGGCTTTGAAAGGAGAGATTATATATAAATATGACAAGTACAAGAGAGTTTGGTCGCAGCCTACTTTTTCTTGTCCATCATTTTGCTTTCATAATTTCGAAGAGCAATTTATGAATTAAGTGTTCAAAGGGGAAGATTATTCAAACTCGGTTTGAAACTTCAGATGACCACGTGCCACATACCTCTTTTAATAGTCACCCCCACAAATGCATAATATATTCTTGGTTGGAAGATTCATAAACATGTATTCTCTTGTTGGTTATTCAATATATATATGTATGTATGTATCTATAAGTCCTTTGATTCCTAACTTGCCATCTTCCTCGTTTTCAAACATCACAGTCAGTTTTGGCCAATTATTTCTGACCAAACTTGCTTCCGGATACACAGAATTCCTATACTTTACGCCTTGGTCCACCTTCTAATTAGGTTCTAGCCCCTCTCCTGTGCCACCATTATGGGCGGAAATATATATATATATATATCTACGCTCTTCAATTTCAATCCTTTTCATTTTCCGACGACGACACTTAGCCGTGGTTTTCCAAATTTCATTATTTTCTCCCCTGTCAAATTGCCGCTGATTTGCATGTTGATGTATCGGAATTTTCAGCCGAGTTTCTAGCATAAGATTTAGATATAACTGGTTGAATCTGTAAATATTAAAAAATTAATTAAATTAGTTATTTGTAATAAATATTTTATTTTTTAAAAAATATTGCTTTTTTAATCACATGTATTAAAACTACCCATCAATTATGAGCCTGTTATATATATAATCAGTAAAGATATTTAAAAAAAATTATAAATTTGAAATACAAAATGAATTGGCATCTTAAATAAGACGCGGCATGTGTGTATGTGAAATAAAATAAATAAAATATATGCAGTTGGGTGCATGTATTGAACACGTCTTTATCTCATTGCACTCGCGCGGTATGTTTGACTAATGCTAATTCATACATCACTGTCCATGCATATGTCCAAGAAACTTTCAAATCCATTTGATTTTAATTCATCAACCAGATATTGTTTATAAATATATTTCTCATCTCCTTTAACATGCAATTTACTCATAATCCCAACAGTAGTGCACTATATTATATATATTGTCGTACAAAAATTTTGAAAATTGATGCGTCCATAACTATTTTATTACTTGTGTGAAGGGAAATGGATAGAAAAGTTGAATTATTTCTGTCTATTATATTTTATATTATTAATAATTACGTATAAGAATAATGCTTGTGTATATATAATATTATAATATTTTGCATCGATATCAACTAAAACATAATTCATAAAAATATATTAAAAAAGTAAAAAAAATAAAAACTAAAAACTAAAAACGCCGGAAGTAGTAATTAATCAATTTTCTAGTTCTTAATTAACCAGTTTGCTTCACCAAATTTGTAGAGAAACAGGCCAGTATAAATGGTGTAATATAAGGTTACCGGCGTTGATGGGTTTTTAACTGGCTCGTCGCCATGTTTGTCGAGGGATTTGTGATATGACAGAGAAATAAAAGGAACTGGTTTCGGTACTCACCACTTGAATGGTCTAGATTTAAAATATTTAATTAATTATTTTTAAATGAAAAAAACTATTTTTTAAAAGAATGATAGATAAATAATTATTTTTTATTTTAAATTCTATACATATTAAAATAATTATTTTAAATAAATAAAAAAAATCAAATCTCGACCATCAAAATGAGACATAGACGGTTCAGATCTGATGAGTTTGTGGTGCTTATCACCCTGGTTCCGAAATAAAGAGGTGAAAATTTCTAGTCGCGCAGGAAGGAGAGTTGTGCACTCAAAGGATATGGAAAAAGAAAAGCAGATCTTCAGGACAAGACTCAGTAATCAAACAAGTCAGGTTAATTAAGCGATGAAATGTTTGACAGACTCTCAATATTTATTTAGACGAGATTAGGCGAGGACGCAGAAAGTCAATAATATTAATGATGAATTATTCTGACGTAAGATCTGCCTAATTAATTAGCTTAACAGCGCAGGATTAGTATTAAGGTCAATAATTCTGACTTGTGCTGCCAGGATTTCAAACATCGGAAAACGGGGCCCCAATATCCCTTAATCCTCAGTGGATGGTCGGTCATCACAAAACTCATCTCCGCTAGGCATTGAAGCTGAATGATCAGCCAATTCATCATTACTAATGTCTAATTTATCAGCATCAAATACTTAATAACCATCGAGCAACCATTCCAAATTACAACAAAATCCCTCAGTTACGTTGAATAATATATCGGCCATACGTCGAGGTCAAATATATATCTATGGCGCACAGAATGAACCAGCGGCAACAAGATTTTAATTCTTAAAAAGCCTTCTAATTTCAAAATTTGGAGTATTTTCCCCCAGACAAACACATCTCAGTTCCTTATGAGTGAAGCGACGGACTTAATCTGATGGACAATGTGACGTGATTTTGTTGACTTGGGAAAACAAACAGACACGCAATTCTCAATAACCTTGACCGTGAGTTTGGCTTTAATACGAAATAATACAATGACAGGTGCATAAATTGTACGAGTGCCGCGTGCTACTGGGTGCTGAGTTTATTATTATTTATATCTCTAATGAATATGCGTCTGGCATATACTCCTCTCGGTCCTAATTATAAAACCTCGTTTATAATTTATAAATAACATTTTTTAAGTTTCACGTCCATGTTCATAGTGGTCTGGGAAAGGAATTTTTATTTTAAAAGAGGGGGTTCAAGCTTCAAAGTTTTGAATGTGGCGGGAGTTGAAGTTCAATACACATGGCGGGTGAGGCGTATGAAATGTAACGGCTGGTCGTCATGGCTGTCGTCACCCTCCTCTATCTGAATCTGATCGCACCCTAGTCTTCCCGACCTGCGATCTGCGGCTCCCACACCATTTTAACTTGCGCCCCTCATTTCTCGGTTCATCCTGCCCACCCATGTCTGTTATGTCATTTACATCGTGATCGATCGGGGGAGTAATCATTTGAATTTTGAATAATCACGCACAAATTAAACTGGCCACTAAACACGTGGCGCCCAATATCCTAACGCCCTAGTCATACTAACTGCTTTGTGTTTTATAATATGCGCAGAAAGATCCTTCGGTCGTAAAAGTAAAACTCCATTGATTCCTTTGAATTTGACTTCATGTGGGTACGGTGACATATATCTTCGTATCACCCACCAGAATGATGAAATTAAATCACATGAAGGAACGTAGTCTGGGCCTGGTTAAGGATTGTGCTCCGTCCACGTAAATGGTGGTTCCCGTCATGTAGCGAGAATCACGAGAGATGAGATAGATGACGGTGGAAGTAAGGTCTTTCTTAACATCCAGCCACCTCTCCATCGGCGCCGCCATCCTCACTAACTTCTCCGTCCTCTCCCTTCCCACTGATTTTGGGTACTCATCATCCGCGTGCAGCCCGCGCGCGACGGCGTTCACCCTCACCTGGTACTTCCCTATCTCCATCGCCGACGCCTGAAGACAACAACAGTATTAGCATCCCCCGCGCAAAAAGTCACACCTCTTATGATGGAGTTAGATAAAGGCACACATCACACAGCGCCCTTGCAAGTACAACCCCCTGATGTGACTCCATGATTTCTTCAAATCCCCAACAACACTGCATATTATAATCGGCAAAAGAACTAAAAGTGATTGGGCCTTTATGGGCCTGAGATGAGGCCTAGCATTAATCAGAGTAAGCCCAACTGGGAAAGCCCGTTACCTGGGGACTAGCATTAATGAAACCATGCGAAGGCCTTTTGATGGGCCGAACTTGAAAATGAAAAACGTAAGAGTTGGGTGACCCACCCTGACTAGCTGTTGGACAGCGGCCATGGCGGAAGCAAATGCTGCGGCTCCCGGATGAAGGCCCCTCTCCGCGCCAATGATGGAAGTCATGAATACAATGGAACCTCCTCTGTTGAAGTCTCTCATCTTCTGCCCCACAGCTTTCAACAAATACCATGCAGCCATATAATTGATCCTCATTATTTTCTTCATCTCTTCTTCTTCTACCTCGAGATGTTCCTGCGTCTTTCCTGTTTCAAATCATATATCCCAACGCTCAGTTCCCGTATGACTGGAAGGGGAACAAACCGTGCAGACGAATATGCGCATACCTTCGTAAGTATAACAGTTTACAAAAGCGTCCAAATTTCCCAGAATCTTGCATGCTTTGTCAACGGCCTCGTGGAACACGCCTTCTCTTTCTTCTTCCATGTCGAGTCCGACCACCTCCACCGGCGCAGCGCCCTTCAGGCAACCCATTATGTGGCTGCTAATACTCCTCAAGCAACTCTCGTCTCCCATCAAAACCAGCCTGAACAGAGACTGTAGTGAGTTTCCGGCATTTTCCCGTCTACGAAACAGCAAAATGAAACAATAAGGAGGTGTTACGTTATGTATACCTGCATCCCTGTTTGGCTAGTTGGAAAGTGATACTCTTAGAAATCTCGTCGCCATTGGAAGTGAGCAACACCGTCTTCCCTGAGTTAATCCCCATATACGCCTGACGAGTTCCTCTGCGCTTCAACGAATGTCCGCCCTCGCCCTCTCCCGTAATTTTTATACACATGCGACCTGATGCGAAAGATCCCAGGAAGCACGCACCCAGAAATAAATAAATAAAAGGATTGAAGGTTTTAAGGAGCACATAACACAATGAATGAATGGAACGAGGAAAAAAACGTGTGATATTTTTAACTGGTGAATCATGAAAACGAAGACTGACCCCACTTCCATGAAGCCTGCAAGCCGGCACCAATAAAGTATTTTGCCCTTCTATGCCCCCTCTTGGTCTTCCGCTCTTGAATGTTTTGAGAAATTTTCCAACACAATTAGAGATCAGAGTAACCAATTACCTGGTCCTCTCTGCTTGCGGGTTGACGTTGACGCATTTGGATTTCCACATCATCTTTTTATTAATTTGTCTGTGAAACTAATTAATTCAACCGTCAAAGTGTCTTTGAAGAGATCGAACGTGAAACTTCGTCTGAGCAACGTGAACAAATACGCAGAAATTCTCCGAAGGTGGAGTTGGTTCAGATAACAACCCCTCTATCGGGCATTTAATAGTTTTCATTCCAGCTTGTGTTCTTGACTTCTTGTACCACCGTGTGATGCTTATTATTTGTGAAGAAATTTTAGTCATTTTTAATTTGTCACTTATAATTTTTTAATGTTTCCTTTTCAGTTCTGTCTTTATTAATTATGGTAAAAATAAAAAAAATATACTAGTATTGAATGCTATTCTTAAAAAAAAAAATCCATCTATTTAATATTTGTAATTTACTAATTTCTTGGTTGTTGTTGTGGACCCAACACCACACAAGTGATTGGCCCGCTCCTGGTCGCGCTGTTGGTGGTTGTGATATATGTGAATACTCACATCTTCACGTGCGACTCGACCACCGCGACTAGAGACTGCCGGGGCAAAAAGCCCAAGTTTGACCAAGTTCTGATATCAGCATATTTTCGTTGGGCATAATTATTATTTTTAAAGATATATATACTGAATAAAGATAAAATGTAAAAATTATTATATTTTAAAGAAGAGTCAGTATAGTTTAAAATTTTCTTTAGTTTATATAAAATATATTGAAAGTATCATGTAACTAAAATTAGACGAGTATACTGACTGCTTCCCCCCCCCCCCGGAATATATACTGGCTGCTACAAAGTAGAAATCATCATCATTTTTTAATTGAATCACGTGTAGTGATAAAAATAATTTAAAATAATAATTCTATAATACTCTGTCTCTTTTTTAATATAAGAACTTTTATTTTGGTCCTAAATATAAAATCCCAATCAACTTAGTCTCTTATATTTATCCATTTTTTTTAAGATACTCCTTGTAATAACAGTAGTTTTAGCCAGTATACTTGATTAGCAAGGATATTTTAAAAAAGATAGTACCTGTTTATTATAAATAACTAATTTAACTAGTTTCCTTAATCTACTCAAATTAGTCAACTAGTTCTTATATTAAAGATCGGAGGTAGTAAAATTTAAATAACTTTTGATATTATTCTTTTTAAATATTCTAAATATGAATGTCACGTTGATTTTTATCTTTGCGCTAATTTTATTAAATATGGGCATTACTATAATTTTTTATCCTTAAGTTTATCCTCATTTTGGTTTTAATTTTTTAAGATTTAAATCATATGTTTTAGTTTCTCTAAGGGCAAAATAATCTAAATTTTTATTGGATTATAGAGAACAGTGTTTTAAATGAAAAAAAACTTAATGGATTAAAATTTATAGTTTGAAACTTGAGGAACCAAAACTAAAATAAGAATAAACTTAAAGGACCAATATTTATATTAACTATGAAGATATATGGAAGAAAATTTTTGAAATTATCAAAGGTCTTATAAAATAATTTAAAATATTACTTATATATCAATTTGGAGGACGCTTTTTGACTAATATACTGTAAACAATAAAAAAATATTGCCAAAATCTTACAAAGTGAAAATTATTTACCAGAATACTGTATTTAAAATCGTTCATGCAGAAAACAGGTTTGAGACTATGAGAAAGCCGTTCATCCAAGATGAATTTTATTTTTGTCCTTTGTCATGTTATCTTATCAACTCTGACACGTACATTTCTTTTGGATAAAAAAGTAAACCTCATATAGAACAATTTTGCCTTCCTCTCTCCTCTCTTCTCTTTCGGTCTTTCCTACCACTAGAATCAAATCGAATGCTTGAAAAATTGATGAGTATGAATAGTTTGAAAAAAAAATACGGTGATGGCTATTTAGGAGAGAAAAAATGATTGATGGAGTTAATATACAAAACATGGGATAGAGCAAAATAGGCAAACCAAATATAAATTCTTTTAATTTTTAATATAAGATCTATTTATTTAATTTAAATATATTAAATAAAATAAATAAATTACTTGACTATAAATATGAAAAATAAAGTAGATAAATATTTTATATTTAATATCAAAATTTACCCTTAGACTAAATCCTACATTTAGAACGGGAAGAGTATATTATATCAAAAAATGCAAATTAGATAAATAGATTTCACATTAAGAATTAATTGAGTGTATATTTGATTTGTGTATTTTGCTCTATCCCATGTTTTGTACATTAACTCCGTCAATTATTTTTTCTCTCCTAAATAGCCATTGCCGTATTTTTTTTTTCAAACTACTCCATACTCGCCAATTTTTCAAACATTCGATTTGATTCCAGCGGTAAGAGAGAGGAGAGGGGAAGGCAAAATCGTTCTATGTGAGGTTTACTTTTTTATTCAAAAGAAATGTATGTGTTAGAGTTTATAGGATAATATGACAGAGAGTAAAGAAAAAATTCATCTTGAGATGAATGGCTTTCTCACAATCTTAAACTCATTTTTTACATGACTAATTTTTAGTAGAGTATTCTGGTAAATAATTTTTACTTTACAGGATTTTTGTAATATTTTTTACTGTTTACAGTATATTGTTAAAAAAGCCATCTGGAGGAAGTACGTGATATAAAAAATAAAAAAATGCAGTTACTAACTTGTGACTTCAAACAACTGACAATGTTCATTACTTTTTCAACTGTATTTATGAGTCATTTTTAATATGTTTTATTAAAGTTAAAAAAACATTCAACTTCATTTACTTTACATTAAAATCTAATAACTTTTTAATTTTATTCTTGTTATCATATATATACGATATGATTTTGATTTTTCCTTTCATCCCACTACGATTTATGAGTGATTAGGCTTAACGAGTAGCATTTTATCCGTTTTTTCAAGTTCAACTTGCAGTTCTCGCTCTCTAGCATTTGAATTTTGAACTATTGAGACATCAAACTAAATTAATTTGACTCGTCCAAATTGTTTCATAGCCGTATCAATTAGATCAAATATAATACTCATCCAATCCTTAATATAGAACATAATTATTAAGTTAATTCTGATTCTAAATATAAGACATATTTTTTATATTTATTTATTTTTTCTAAATTATCCCTATAGATACTCTCTCAATCATAATTATATAAGTGAGGGAGGGAGGATATTAAGAAAGATGATTATGACGTTTTAGAAAAAACATGTCATGTTTTTTTTATAATTAACTAATTTATCTAATTTTTTAATCTAATTAAATTAGTTAAATAAGTTTTATATTAAAAATTAGAAGAGTATTTCGGTTTACTTGTTTATGTTTATTTTTAATTTAACATAACTATCAAGCCATTATACCAAAACACTCGCCGATGTTGAGAGGAAATAAGGGAGGATCGGCAGAAAAACAGAGGAGAAAAAGGTTTTTGCCCCCGCCCTCTGGTCTCTGGATAGGAGTAAAAATATGAAAGGGTGGGCCGGGGGCCGGTGGGGATCCCAAATTTCTTCCGCGGGCGCCCCTCTCGCGCGCAGCCGCGCGTCTTCAGCTTAGTGCAGTGTTCGCGCGCTAAGTCCTCTCGCCGTCGCCGTCGGTCCACCTCAGAATCGTGCTTCCAGTCCATCTTCACTCCACCTCAGAATCACGCTTCCAGTCCACCTTCACTCCACCTCAGAATCGCGCTTCCAGTCCCACCGGACCTGACAGTCGTCTCGCCGTCCCGCCGTCTGCAGGGAGAAGTGCCGGATATGGAGAGCTCACCCACAGGACTGCGGATGCTGAAACCACCACTTCCAGCTGCTCCAGTATCGCGCTTCAATTCCAGGCAAGTATTGTTACTCGACCTCTTGACCTACCGGCAGCAATTCTGTCTGTTCTGGTTTATCGAATTATTATTGTTAATGTGAAACTCGATTTCTTACAGGTTAAACCTTCCAAAAACTAGATTTCTCAGAGTCACATGTGATTACTCGTGCTTAGAAGTATGCTCCATTTTCAGTCTCTATATTCGCACATTTTGTTAATGTTGAATTTGTTCTTAGTAATGATTATTCTTTGATTATAAAGTAAAACCAAACTTCCTGTTTTCAAGCAATAGTCTCTGGTGATGATATTTCCTGTCTGGACTACGTGTCTGGCGCTAAATTTACTAAAGAATGTTTTGGTTTAGTTCATGCTTATAACAATGTGATATTTTGCTCAAGGTTAGAGACGTCAGCTATCAGCCCCCGGGGACTCAGCTGAGCCTTTTGAAGTCAATTAATTTTTCACTTCGTGAGAAAAGGTATTTATTTGTTGCCTTGTGATTTCGCTGCAAAACATTCAGTATGAGTTTTGGAATGTTTAGGTGTTCTATTTATTGACCTGAACTGGATTCCCCAATAATATAAGATTCCTCAGGCATTTTCCTCTTTTAACACAGACAAATTGGTGATTTCCCCAAAAACAGTTTTATGGATTTTAAATGAGGCTGATATTCATGATAGGGAAGGTTGGGTGAGTTTTAGATGACCAATTGGAGCTAACATAGTATGAACTACTAGCTGCTACATCTCCTCTAAAAATAACTTCCCGGGGAACTATTCTTACTATAGAATCTGACAGCTGGCATCTACATGCTGAACATATTACATCTTCTGGAATTGGAATAAAGATTTTGTATATTGGCTTAAGAGGTTCTAACTGTTTCTGTCAATTGCCACAGTTTTGGCCTAATTTTTGGACAGAGTGGAAGTGGTAAAACAACTCTCCTGCAGGTTGGACTGTCCCTTGGTTTTAATGCATCTGGTTTCTCAGCTGTTCACATCAATTACCTTTTTGTTTATCTGTTAACACTCCTGCAATGCCCCCTTTTTTCTTCCATTTAGCTTCTGGCAGGAATAACCAAACCAACCTCTGGTTCCATTTACATCCAAAAATATGATATTGACGGCAAGCCAAGCCAATCTCCCCAGCCATTGGTACCGGAAAGGGTTGGTATGGTCTTCCAGTTTCCTGAGAGGTATAAATATAAACTAGTTGAATATGGCATAAGATTTTGTTACTCTGTACTTTATAATGTGTTTATTCTTGAGTTGTGAATCTTGAACAGAATCATTTGACTTTACAAGCATGACATACATGTAGTTGTTCTTCTTTCTGTCTCCAGCGTATTGGAGGATTTCATATTCTCTATATTTATTCTCTTCCTTTATGTTTGTTAGAGACTATTTTAAAAGCTGTTGATGGACCTTTGTTTATCAGCTTAAGCTTTTGATAATGTGCTTGATGAAGTCACTGTTGCCTGATAATGTTCTTAAGTTTAACCTTCGCTTACACTTGAGTTCCATCCTAGGTACTTTGTGGCTGAGAACGTGCTTGACGAAGTCACTTTTGGGTGGCCAAGACAAAAAGGTGACTATCAGTTAAAGGAGCATCTTGCTTTAAGACTTCAGAGGGCAATTAACTGGGTATTCATGCCTCTGTAATCTAGTGTCTTCTATATTCAATACAATTTTGTTTCATTTTCACAAGCATTTATGTCATTATTTAGGCCCATTGTTTACCTATGACTTTATATTGCTTTTTAATGCATTTGCACTTTTCATAAATTAGGATATTGTATTCATAACTGTAGGTTGGATTAAGTGGGATTTCCTTGGATAAAGATCCTCACTCCCTTAGTGGTGGTTACAAACGTCGCCTAGCCTTGGCAATACAATTGGTAAGATTCTACTTTTAATTTTAGAAGTCCAGACAAAGAAATGGAACTAGTAAATTCAGCTCAAAAAAAGAAACGGAACTAGTAAAGAAATAATTCACATTGATGGCATCTACATTATGCAGCCACATTCAGGGAGTTGTTACAGGTAAGGTCTGCCAAGTGCTTATTGATCTTGTATTTTATTTCCCTCATGTAATTTTCAGGTTCATATCCCTGACCTGTTGATATTAGATGAGCCTCTTGCTGGTCTTGGTATGAAAATTAATTTGCGCCTTCTTGTTTATACTTTGTTGTTGGTTGTCTTTGAATTTGCATGGATTTTCTAATATTTTCTATTAGTTACCCAATAAAAGTCCATGCATATCTTATATTTTATGAATACACATTTCAGCTCTTTAATCACTCTTATCCTTTCTTTTAAGCTCTGTCTAATATTGCTTTACTGGTCAGATTGGAAAGCACGTGCAGATGTTGTGAAGCTTCTGAAGCATCTTAAAAAGGAATTGACTGTGCTAGTCGTGAGCCACGATTTAAGGTTTCTTTTGAGATATTATCTATTTATTTTCTTATTATGTATTTTGTTTATCTATAGTTGTTGTTCTGTGTCACTTTAACATCTAGAAATTCAAACTTAGTTGCACTCTTCACTATTACTCAAAGGAATCAATTACTCCTGATGTTTCCACCTCTTGATGACCGCAACATTGGGAAGATTTTATTTGAATTTGCTTAAAGTGAGACGGGTTGTAACTCATTTTTAACAGAAGCATTCTCTCTTTAATCTCTTGATATGTTATGTAGAGCTAATTTTTCTCATGTGGCTTCTTGTGCGCATTTCAGAGAGTTAGCAAGTCTTGTTGATCGTTCATGGAGGATGGAAATAGGCGGCAGTCTTAGGGAGGAGTCACCACCATTATGAAAACGGGAACATTCACTGCCTTTCTGATTAGCGATGGCCGAGGATGCTACAATCCCTCATTAGTTGCCATTTTTTTCCCATTTTTTGCGGCAACTTGAATAAGGAGGTTTCGTTAAACTTTCGAAGACGAAATTCAAGTATAGAAGGATCGTTATCTTAATAGAATATGAAGCTATCTAGTTTTCTTATTATAAACGTAATTCAATTTTTTCATTTATTTTTGTTGAAAATAAAAATGTATCCTTTAAAATTTCATTTAATATGCCTTTATTGAAAACTATAAATTTGATTTGTTGAGAAGAACCTACGAAAATTGGAGAATTAGTAGTAGTATATTGGTCGAATATTTAGTACTTGTTTTATAAATTATGGAGATTAGGGAAGTTTAGTTGTGACATCATTTTTCTGTTATTTTTAAAATTTTAAAAAATTGGTGTCCTTTAAATGTTACCAAGATTGAAGGAATATTTAACCACCACAACCGGCCCCCAAAGCTCCCCATAGCCACCGCCAGTGGCCCATTAAATCCTCCGAGAAGGATTTGAATTTATGATTCGTTCACTCATCGAAACAAAATTAATCATCAGGTTATCAATGTCTATTAGCTATATTGTGCCAAAAAAAAAAACAATAAATTTAATAAAATGAAGTGAAAATTAACTCATCATTTTATCAAATTTCTTCTTGTTCACCTATCGGATTAGTAGTGAATTGATAGCTTGGAAATCCATAAATTTGTTTTTTTTTTGGTAAATTGATAAATGAATGCTATTAAAAATGAGAAATTCACTTGAGTTCTTATAAATGTTCAAATCTCTCGATTTGCAACTGCTATATGTCCCACACAAATATATCATTTGTGCGATATTAATCATATGACATGATAGAATAAGAAACTTATTATACTATTTCACATTATTTTATGAAAATTAATTTCTAAGAAATTTTTCATTAATACGCTTATTTTTATTGAAGTATTAATTATATAAAGAAACAGATTGAGGATGATTAGTATGTGGTTTGATTTAATTGATTAAAAATAATTTGCAGTCCCAAAATCTTTAGCAAATCCCATGTGGGCCGGGGCCAGCAGAACACTCCTGGGCCACTTATATTGCAAGTTATTAACATAAATGTGAAAAATTTTAAAAATTAAGAAAATAATTTATGAATGATATAAATCTTAGGGATTTTATATAATTTAATATTGTTATCATTATATCGGCTGGGATCTGCGTGGACGAATCTGAAGCCTGAAGTCCGAACGGCTCCTTGATCCGTAATTTGATAAGATTCCAAGTTGGTATCTGAGGGCGAGGCCCACAAAATATGCACATCTACTTTTCGGCTCTTGGTTACTTCCGCACTCCATAGGTTCACGAATCTTAACCAATAATCATATTTTATCATCACCCAAGCGTGCATTAATGCTTCAAAACTTTTAAACAATAATCATTGTCATTCATTTTTTTTAATTTAAAAATGGAAAACTTTAAAGAAGCAAATACTAGTAGTTATTCCTGGCATGAAATTGTTAAATTATCATTACCTATGCATTTATCTACGACCAATAGCTTTTAGTTTCTTTCTTTCTTTCCTTTTTGTTTAATAAAGGAAGCTTTACTTTATTATACGGACAAAAAATACATTATGTCTACTATGTACTCCTTCCGTCTTTTATTATAATATTTATTTTTTTTTGAATAAATTTGTTTCTTTTTAATTTCTATAAGATTTTTTTTGAGTTTGTCTAAACATTTAATATATTATTACTTATTTTATTCCTAATTAAATATATTAAATATATTTTTTATTTATCTCACTATTACTCTCTCACATTCACTCATTTATATATAGAGATATGTTTAAAAAAATTATATTTATTACATATTAATTATTTTTAACTAATTTTAACTGCTTTCTCAAATCGTGTAATTTAGTTAAAATTTTTCATAATAACAGACAGAGGGATATCATCTAATAAAGACATGTCATGTGTAGTTTTTTGGTACCCATCTTTTTTAGCTTTTTTTATTTAATGATGTTTGGATAAATTTTTAAAAATATAATAGTTTTGGCCTTTAAATATCCAAACAGGCTTCCTATGATTCATATACTACTAAGAATTTTGATTACGAAGGCTAATTTTTCGCAAAACAAAAATCAATCCCATGGCCACTTGAAGAAGCTACCGCCCTTTGTGCTAAGGCGGAATCGTTGCCAACCCCCCCCCCCCCCCACGTTTTTTCGTAGTCTCCCCGGTCAAAATCAATGCCAGCCAAGGCCCATCCCCTTACGCAATCATTCCCATAATAGATTGTCGATCTGCACGGCTCCCATTCCATTTTAATTGAATCCAGGATCCCGAATCCAACCAAAAAGTGACCATCTTTTGTGGAATTCATGGGGACCGAGGGCTCTTCTTTGGATATTTCGGAGCATTTGCTTCGGGATGATCGGAAGGCTCCGTCCTCGGATTTCGAGCACGTTCCGGAATGGAAGGACCAGATCACCGTCAGAGGGCTGTTGGTGAGTGCAGTTCTGGGGAGTCTTTTCTGCATCATCACTCACAAGCTCAATCTGACTGTTGGGATCATTCCTTCGCTGAACGTTGCTGCCGGGTTGCTTGGATTCTTCTTTGTCAAGACCTGGACTAGCTTCATGTCCAGGTTGGGATTCTTCACCAAACCCTTTACCAGACAGGAGAACACCGTCATCCAGACTTGTGTTGTCGCTTGCTATGGCCTCGCTTTCAGCGGTAACTCACCCCTCCTTCGTTTAGCTTAAACTCGTGAGCTTTTGTGCTTTCTGGATTTTCCTGTTGCCCCGCGATCCGCTCATCTTTTCGCTCAATTGAACTCGTCTATTCCCAGCTTAGCTACTAGAGCAAAGAGTAGGCCCCTCACCCCTCTATCTTCCTGAGAATGTGACGCGACAGAAGAAACTAAGTCCTCAAGTCTTTGAGAGTGGGGAGTGGAGGGAGAAGTAGGATAAGATTGGATGCTTGACATCAGTACTATAATGTTTTGATGACAAGTGAACTATAAAATATTAAAATATAGGTGGAATAAGGATCAAGGGAATCTTCCTCCTTGGGTCAACAGACAGTGGAAAATATGACGCCTGCTACGTTTAGTCAAAAGACTGTAGGAAGATGAATTTCACATTCATGATAAGTGCTCCTGTCCATTTCCATATTAATTTTTGCTAGCTAAATCAATTTCACATTATTGCCATCATATACAACCTGATCTGACCAGGTCACTAAGGTCTCATTGTAGAATTTGGATTCGAGGTAAATTTACCAAACCCAAAAAAGCTCCAAAAACTCCCCCCAAAACCTGTCTCATTCAACATTAATTAAAAAAAAAAAAAAACAAGATGTGAATTAACAATGGAGAATCAAATTAACGTAGCATCCATTTTACTTCCTCTCATCTCTTGATCTTTCACCTGCACATTTATAGCTACGTGTTTGTCAACGTGGAGATAAGTTTTCTGCCCAGTAGTTCATTTTTGATCATTGCCTCTTGTCATCTTTCATTGAAAACTTTTTAATACGGGCAGTCAATCAGTCGTAGTGTAACCAAATTTAATAAATGCATTAGAAATCATAACTGCGGGAAGTTTCTATCTATGTTGATGTTCTATTCCATTTTTCTTAGAAGGTAAACTCTTTTAGTTTGAAATTTCTTGATTATAAGATATGCTTTATAAATGGTGCCATGCTAATTTTATTTATCCATATATTTCTCTAATGTGATGATTATAACGTGTTTGGCAGGGGGGTTTGGTTCATCATTGATTGCCATGGATGAGAGAACATACCAGCTTATTGGCCCAGATTATCCTGGTAATAGGGCTGAAGATGTTATAAATCCAGGCTTGCTTTGGATGATAGGTTTCACTTTTGTTGTCAGTTTCCTTGGGCTTTTCAGTCTTGTCCCACTTCGCAAGGTAAACCTATGGTGACTAGTCATTAGTATTTGTATCGCAAATAAAAAGGGAAAGAAAGGAAGATGGAAAGTCAATGAGATTTGGTGTTCTAATGTTCTTATTTCAATAGAAAAATTGTATTAACGGTGTGAGAATGATAAATAAAAGCGTGAGAATGATTTTACTCTGTATATAGGCATGTGATTTGCTAATCTTGGGAGTCTATTGTAGACATAATTTCCTTTTAGCATTGCTATTGACGACGCTGATTGGCAATTTAGAGCCTGATCTCCATGCATTAAATCTCAGGTTATGGTCATGGACTATAAGCTTACATATCCCAGTGGGACAGCTACAGCAATGTTAATTAACAGCTTCCACACAAAGACTGGAGCCGAACTTGCAGGGTATGCATTAGAAATCATGTTAATTTCTGTCCACTGAGAAGCGTTGCTTATGTTACAATTATGATTTTAATACTGAATTGAAGATTATACGTCAAAGATGCACTTGTCACTTAGTCTATCTGGTCATCATTTCTTGGTTTAATCATGGAATTGTAGAAACACCTTTTATGATGACTTAGTGTCATGAACATGTTATGTTTGCTGCTATTTTCTTTTGCTTTTGTAGTTCTAAGTGACATTATCATCTTTGACTGTAGGAACCAAGTCCAGCGACTGGGCAAGTACCTGAGCATAAGTTTCTGCTGGAGCTGCTTTAAGTGGTTCTTCAGTGGTATAGGAAATTCATGTGGATTTGACAACTTTCCAAGTTTTGGATTGACTCTATTTAAAAACACGTAAGGCTCTTACAACTTTGGCTTTCATTGGATTCCTATCGTAGTTTATTCACCTTATTCCCTACCTAGTATAAAATGGGCTTTTCGATGCCTTTGATATACACTGTTCAATGAGTTGATGACTAGTGTTAGAACTACTGCCTTGGATGCGGGCCTAATGAATTGTGTTGCTACTTGCTACTGATGGAAGAGAGTGAGAGAAAATACAATTTGAGTGAAAGGCGCATATGTGACATGACGCCTGCATCAGTATTTACATTCACATTTTGATTGTATAGCACTGGTTATCCCATTTGCTTGGATGAACTTCATGCAAAAAGCTTGCTATAAATCATATGCTCTGGGATTGCTATAATTAAGGGGAATTCGACAAGCAATAAATTGTAACTTAATAAGATGAACACAATCTTAAATTGCAACTCGAAAAATATTTCCTGAAGTTGTCTAAGGAAAATGGGTAGGAGGAGTAACTTGCTTTGACTTGAAATGCTTCCTACACTCACAAATGCAAAAACAATTTAGTGTATGAATAAGAATAGCTTTTGATGAAACTAAGGGGAGAGATTCACTAAGTTATATATGACTTTGTGACAGAGCTTACCCTTTGATCAACATGTGTTTAATGCATGAAATCACTTTAATGCCTGAAAATTATCGCAAGATGTTCTGGCAGACTGGGGAAGCCACAAGTTTGATCTCAAATCTTGAGAAATGGCAATACTTATTTAATTATTTAATAATCACAACGCTTGTTCTCATGCAGGTTCTACTTTGACTTTAGTCCAACTTATGTTGGATGTGGTCTTATCTGTCCTCACATAGTTAATTGTTCAGTTCTTCTTGGAGCTATCATATCATGGGGTTTTCTCTGGCCCTTCGTCTCCAAACATGCTGGGGATTGGTATCCAGCTAACCTTGGTAGCAATGATTTTAAAGGTCTTTATGGATACAAGGTATGTGTATGGCAAAGCAGACAGGGTTGGTATGCAATTTAGAATGTCTTATGGTGAATCTGTGATTTATGTTCAATGACTAGTCGATTAGTTGTTGTATTTCTCCTGAATCCACAATAAAACATTTTCTTTATGCTCATGTTTTGCGCAGGTGTTCATATCCATTTCTCTTATTTTAGGGGATGGTGTTTACAATTTGGTCAAAATCATATTGATAACTGTAAGGGAGATGTGTAGGGCAAATTCCAAGCAGAACAACCTTCCTGTTGTATCAGAGGTTACGGGTGAGTTCCATGAATTCCCCTTAAGCATTACTTTCTTTAACCAGTGAGGTCCTTTCTTCATTGTAGTCCCATCCTAATTTTTACCGGCCTCGTCATTTAATCTTCAAGTCAATAAATACTGTCGTGCAATTTTTTCATGTATTTTTCCATTATATAAATGTCAATAATAATAACCTCAACTCTTCGTCCTTCATATGGCGGCCTGGCTGAGTGGACAAGTTGCCCTGTACCTTTTTCTATCTGCTTCAAGAGTTGAGTTTGCAAATTGTTGTCATAGATTGACATTGACCTTTAATAACTCTAGTATATTTTGACATTGACCTTTAATAACTCTAGTATATTTTAATCTCTGTTGATTAAAAAAAAAAAAGGGGTGCACACTATGATCTTTTATGTGAAATAATTTGACATGTGAGTATTCTGGTATGATGTCCTCGTTGGATATTGAATTCATCAATGGATAACGGCTGTGAATTATATTTTCATTGCTTGTCTTGGTGCCCCTTGCCAGCAATTTTGTGTGTGATATTTGTAGGAGTTAATTTTCTTCTTCTGCGTGTTATCAGATGATGGATGTTCTGAACTGCAAGCGGAACAACGAAGAAGGGATGAGATATTTTTGAAGGATAGGATACCCTTCTGGTTTGCAGCATCCGGATATGTGTGTCTTGCTGCTATATCTGTTGCAACAATACCAATGATCTTTCCTCCTCTTAAATGGTACCTGGTTCTGTGCTCTTACATCCTGGCCCCTGCCCTAGCCTTTTGCAACTCTTACGGCACCGGGCTCACAGACTGGAGCTTGGCATCCACTTATGGGAAGATTGGTCTTTTCGTCATGGCCTCGTTGGTGGGCCCTAAGGGTGGGGTAATAGCCGGGGTAGCATCTTGTGCTGTGATGATGTCCATTGTCTCAACGGCAGCTGATCTCATGCAAGATTTTAAGACGGGTTATCTTACCCTCTCATCTGCAAAGTCTATGTTTGTGAGCCAGATAGTTGGAACAGCCTTGGGTTGCATTATTGCCCCTCTCACATTCTGGTTGTTCTGGAGCGCTTTTGATATTGGGTCACCTGATGGTCCCTACAAAGCACCTTATGCTGTTATATATAGGGAAATGGCCATACTAGGTGTCGAGGGATTTTCTGAGCTTCCAAAGCACTGTCTGGCCTTGTGTTGTGGCTTCTTCGTGGCAGCTCTAGTTATTAACCTGGCAAGGGATCTGATTCCCAAAAAGATCTCACAATATATACCTATCCCTATGGCCATGGCAGTTCCCTTCTACATTGGTGCCTACTTTGCAGTTGACATGTTCGTGGGGACGGTGATATTGTTTATATGGGAGCGTTTCAATAGAAAGGATGCAGAGGACTATGCAGGAGCGGTTGCTTCAGGTCTAATATGTGGTGATGGGATTTGGACAATTCCATCGGCTATACTCTCCATTTTGAGGATAAATCCACCCATCTGCATGTACTTTGGGCCCTCTACTAGCAGCTGATTTAAGCAAGGCGACTGCCCTTGTGTTAGTTTCTTGCGCTTACAACTCCCATATTTATTTATTTGGACTGAGTTCTGTACATATATCTATTGTATGCGAAGAACGAGGCAATTATCTAGATGCATCTCGTTGCTGGGTTGAGATTGACTTTGTTTTGGCCAGAAAAACAAGAGGAAAAAGAAAAAAAAGGTTGAACTCTATTTGCATATGGGAGTGCACGCCGTTAGTAACATCAATGTGAATATTTAATGCTGTCTTATCCTTTCCCATTTTGTTCTTCATGGTCATTGTTGTGCGTATGAAATAGAATCAAATCCACTGTAACATGGCTGTGGCATTTTGAATTGTGGTTATTTTTCGAATTGGTACATTTTGATTTTCATGATTTTCTTTCATAAAAATATCAATTTAAATGCCTGTCCGTTGAGAAATTTTAGCTGTCAAAGATTTAAAAAAAAAAATCATATTTTAAGAACTATCAGTTAAATAAAGTTAATTATTTAAGCAAGTTTTAATATTTTTGTTGTACTTATTTTTTGGGTGTGGAAACATAATCACTAGAGTTACAAAAAGCATTGTTTTTCACTGATTCATCTATGTCAAACTTGATCAAATAGTTTTGCCCTATTGGGTTGGGCGTTGAGACTAAAGTCTTCCTAATAAGTATGTTTTCAGAATTTGAACTTTGTTCCTTCTTTTAGGGGTGCAACCACTCACCAAATGCTTGTTGATGATGTCCCTGTTTTGTTATTCAATTATTGCCGGGACTATGCAGTTTTCTTTTGTAGCTTAAACACTTATCATTAATACGGAGAATTCTGGCACCTCATCCAAAAGTCGTGACTGTACTTCGGATGCCCTTATCCAAACCAAAGTATTACCTCCGGTCTTTAATATAAGACCCTGTTTGACTTTTATTTTGATCCTAAATATAAGATCCCAATTCACTTTATCTCTCATATTTACGTATTTTTTTCTAGATAGTCCTTCTAATAATTGTAATTTTAGCCAATATAGTTGATTAGTAAGGATATTTTAGCAAAAATAATACCTATTTATTATAAATAACTAACTAAACTTCTTTCCTTAATATCCTCAAATTAGTCAACTGGGTCTTATAATTAGGACCGGAGGCAGTATCAAAAAGGCCACGTTGTTCACATTCCCCAAACACCCCTATCTTGCATCGATGATATTTTGAATTGAGGGGTGAATTTTTTCCCAATACAAAGCCACGGTAAATTAGCGACCAAAAGATTCTTAAGAAAATGGTGAATTTTGAATGAAAGGTAAAAGCGGCAAGGCGTGGTCGGAGAGAGTGTTGAAAGGCTATGGTCCTCTGTGGCATATAAGCCTGTGCGACTGCAAGGGCCACGCCATGATTACCAAAAATGCTTCTTTGAAAAGACTTCATCACGACTCTCTATTTCGACGTCCTTAAGCGCAATCATAAATCACACAAGTGGCCTTCTTTGTCGGTCACCCGCAATTATTCAATTAATTTACGTCTAAGGGGATGTTTGGATAGAAGTCAAACCATGATTTCAGAAGTGCTTTTACGAATTACGAAATAAATATGTGGAGGAGGTTACCTCGTTTTGCGAAAAATTGATTCTGAAACCGTGGTTTTGGTTTTGCCAAACACCCCTTAAATCATCATAGTCAAAATGGCTTTTCATTTGGAAGTAGAACTAATCCCCAGTTGATTCTTTCTTCAACCATACTTCTCATAACTTCATTTCCAGCTTATACTGAAACCACTCGTACACATAGTAGCCAGAATGTGGAGTACTGTTATGATGTCCATCTTCTTTCTTTCCTCCATGAATCCACAATATTGTCTGTTCATGCCAGAGATTTGTCATTACTATCAGCTATCTTCGTTTTGAAGAAATAGTGGGGATTTTGCCCGTGGGCAAAAGTGGCTTTTGGGTTTTTGCCAGAAATAAAAACAGAGACTGCAAGAACAAGAGAACCAGAGAGCAAGTGGGCTGCAGCCAACGGCCGATTGAAAACTATAAATTTGAATTTTTTTTTTAAAACCTAGGAAAATTGGATAATTGGTATTAGTATATTGAAGTGTAATTACTCCTCCGGTCCTAATTATAAGACCCAATTGACTTATTTGAGGAGATTAAGGAAGTAAGTTAAGTTGGTTATTTATAATAAATAAGTGTTGTTATTTCTAAAATATCCTTGCTAATTAAGTATATTGGCTAAAACTATCATTATTAGAAGGATTATCTTGGAAAAAAATGCATAAATATAAGAGAGAAAATGGATTGGGTCTTATAATTAGGACCAAATAAAAAGTCAAATTGGGTCTTATAATAAGGACCGGAAGAGTAATCCGCAAAAGTAGCTGGAGTTGAGCCCAATGGTGATGGGCCGTCGAATATGCAGATGTTAAACACAATGCCTTTTATTTGTCAGAAAGAATATTTAACCGTATGCCGAAAACCAACAAACAATATCTAACCACCATAACCGGCCACCAAAGCCCCTTCATTGCCACCGCCAGTGGCCCATTAAATCCTCCAAAAAGGATTTGAATTTATGACTCGTTCACTCATCGAACCAAAATTAATCATCAGGCTATCAAAGCCTATTATTAGCCATATTATGCAAAAAAAAAAAAACAGAAGAAGAAATTATGCAATAAATTTAATTTCCAAATAGCTTGCCTGTTATTATGTTATAAAGTGAAGTGAAAATTAACTCATCGTTTTATCACATTTTTTCTTGTTCACCTATCGGATTAGTTGTGAATTGATAGCTTGAAAATCCATAAATTTGATTTTTTTTTTTTTGGTAAATTGATAATTGAATGCTATTAAAATAAGAAATTCACTTAAGTTCTTATGAATGTTCTAATCTCCTGATCTGCAACTGCTATCTCTCCCACACAAAAATATCATTTGTGCGATATTAATAACATATGACATGACAGAATAAGAAAATTATTGTGTTATTTAACATTATTTTATGAAAAGTAATTCCTAATAAAATTTTCATTAATACGCTTATTTTCATTGAAGTATTAATTATATAAAGAAACAGATTGAGGATGATTAGCATGTGGTTTGATTTAATTGGGAAAATTACACACAAGTTCTAAGAAGTATGATTTATTCATTTAAGGTTCTAAAAAATATCAAAATTAATAGCAGGTCCCAAGAGACCTTGGAGTATTATATTGTAATTGTAAAATGACATCACTATCTTTTCTAATCTAAGGTTCCCAATTTACAATTTTATCTGTCAATGTGATTGACAATCTCGACGGCGAGTATTAACAACCAAATAGGAAGTTATTGACAACTTGGACAGTATCTGTTGACAACTTACTTTATGGGATAACATAAACTCCACATAAGAGCAAATTATAACCAAATAATATAATATAACAACATTAAAGGTAAAATGGGAAGTTTTTTTGAAGGCATTAACAACTCTTACTAAACCTAATATGATGATAATAGAATTTCATTGCAGAGATGCATTGACAACTTCAATGATAAGTATTAACTATCTAAAGGGAGCTGTTGACAATCTAGGCAGTGTCTATTGATAACTGACTTTATAGGATAATATAACCTCTATAGAAAATCAAATTATAACTAAATAGTATAACATAACAACTTTAACATGGAAATCATTTGTATAAAAACTTCAAAACAATATTGTACTTATATGATGTTTGCTGAAGGGCCACCACATTGGAAAAAATTTGTCCTTCACCAGTAACCAAATCTCTCTATTTTGTTGAATTCATTTAGAAAATTAGTGTTGGTATCATTTGTAAACCACATGACAATGATGGTGGGTCTTCACCCAATACATTGAGTGGAGATATAGACAATGAATTTAAACCTTTGAATAAGTCTTTCATCCTGCATAATAAGACGAGTCATAAAGTTGTTAATAACAACTTTTGACCACTGAAATGAAATGACAATTTAAACAGAACAATTGATAACAAATAATATTACTTCAAAATTAAAATAAATAAATTTCGCTTACAAATGTTGTTCTTCTATTAGATCATCTCTTATTGGTTGTGAATTTTCATCTACAATGTCTAAAAATATACATTGATCAAGGGTTATTGTAATTTAAAACTTTTTCCCCCTCAAGAAGAAGTTTGCCCCACCTCATAGGCTAATGTATATATCAAATGATCGAAAATAATATTATTATTCATTCACATCTAATTCTAATCGTGTGATACCTGCCCAATAAAAAAATAAAAAAAGTTTAGTTAAATACTGTTATGAAAGTCAAACATGGCTAGGTTGTATTGTTCTATAAAGTCGGTTATCAGTAAACATTGCTTATGTTGTCAACAGCTTTCCCTTGAGTTGTTAATACCTGCCGTTAAGGTTGTCAATGGATATCTGCATTACAATTCTCCTATTGGGTTTAGTTAAAGTTATTAATGCTTTCAAAAAATTCCAATTCTAATATTAAAATTGTTGTATTATATTATTTAGTTATGTGGTGTTATGTGGAGGTTGTGTTATCTTATAAAGTTAGTTGTTAACGTATATTGCCTAAGTTGTCAACAGCTTCCCCTTAGGTTGTTAATAATCGCTGTTAAAGTTGTCAGTAAAGGTATCGCTAAAGACTCAACGCTTTCTACTTAATGACTCAGTTAGGACGGGGGAGAGATTTTAGGCCAACTCAGTGACAATTCCATAGCATGATTAGGGTGAGGGAGACAGCAAGATGGCAACACATAGTTTGGGACAATGAGAGGTTCCCAGAGGTGTACTGGGGGAGACGGCGGATGGCGAACCGATTGTAAGAGGGAGAGATGACGCAATAGGGGAGTAATTGTATCACAAGAAGTGACTACGAAGGGAGAAATGACGCCAGGGAGTAATTGCGAACAGAGAGATGACGAATATGAGAGACGCTGTCAGGGGAGAGGGAGCAATTCGAACATAGGCCGGGGGGAAGAGAGAGAGTGTGTGTTTGAACTTTGAATTAGATACTGCCTCTGTTGTCAACAACTTCCTATTGAGTTGTTAATACTTGCCGTTGAGGCTGTATATCACATTGGCAGAGAAAACTGTGAATTGAAACCTTAAATTAGAAGGGATAGTGATGTTATTTTATAATTATAATATAATACTCTAAAGTCTCTTGAGACCTGCTATTAATTTTGACATTTCTTAAGACTTTAGATGAATAAATTATACTCTTTAGGACTTATGTGTAATTTTCCAATTTAATTAATTAAAAATAATTTGCAGTCCCAAAACCTTTAGCAAGTCCGCCGCAGCCAGCGGAACACTCCTGGGCCACGTTTATTGCAAGTTATTAGCATAAATGTGAAACATTCAGTAAGGTTTGTGAAATTTTAAAAATTAAGAAAATAATTTATATATGATATAAATTTTAGGGATTTTATATAATTTAATCTTTTTTTTTTTACCAAAACATAGGTATCTTTTTATTGGAAGTAACCTTATTCGAAGTACTGTCAGGTACTAATGTGAATATCAGCGGAAATTTGAATCTTAGTTTACTATATTGTGAAGAATTAACTTCTTTTACCAGACTCAAAAAATATTATTGTCATTATATCGGCTGGGAGCTGCACAGACGAATTTGAAGCCTAAGTCCGAACGGCCCCTTGATCCATAATTTGGTGAGATTCCAAGTTTGTTTCCGAGGGCGACGCCCACAAAATATGCATGTCTACTTTCTGGCTCTGTTACTTCCGCACTCCAGAGGTTCACGAATCCTAACCATAAATCGTAGATATCTTTTAAAGCAGTATTTCTCATCAACGAAGCGTTCATTAATGCCTCAAAACTTCTAACCAATAATCACTGTCATTCAATTTTTTTTTTTTAAAAAACAATGCTGCTCTTGAAAACGGAAAACTTTAAAGAAACAAATACTAATAGTTATTCCTGGCATGAAATTGTTAAATTATCATTACTTCTGCATTTATCTACGACCAACGGCTTTTAATTTCTTTCTTTCCTTTGTTTTTTCAAATAAAGGAAGCCTTACTTTGTTATACCAACAAAAATACATAATGTCTACCACCTACTTCTTTCTTATTATAATATCATTTTAGCTAAATTTTTAGATTTAAAAAACAGTTAAAATTAGTTAAAAGTAATTAATATGTAGCAAATATATATTTTTTCAAATATACCCCTATATATAAATGAGTAAATATAAGAGAGTAATAATGAGATAAATGAAAAGAAAGAATGTATTAAATGCATTAAACTAAGGATAAAATAAGTAATAATGTATTAAATACTTAGATAAATTCCAAAAAAATCTTATAAAAAGAGACAGATTTATGTAAAAAATTGGATCTTATGATAAGGGAGGGAGGAAGTATTATCTAATAAAGATATGTCATGTGTAGTTTTTGTTGGGGAACTCATCCTTTTTAGCTTTTTTTTTATTTATTTAATGATGTTTGGATAAATGTTTCAAAAAAAATAGTTTTGGCCTTTAAAAGTAATAATGATTCATATCCAAACAGGCTACCTAGGATTCACAAATTAAAGGGGGGTTCATTTCCGGATCATTTAAAAATATTAAGAATTTTGATTACGAAGGCTAATTTTTCGCAAAACAAAAACCAAGCCCACGGCTGCGAGAAGAAGCTACCGCCTTCTGTGCCAAGACGGAATCGTTGCCAACCCCTCAACGAATTTCCGTATTCTTCCCGGTCAAAATCAATGCCAACCAAGGCCCATCCCCTTAATCATTCCCGTAATAGATTGTCGATAGGCACGGATCCCGTTCCATTTTGATTGAATCCAGAATCCCGAATTCGACCAAAAAGTGATGGGGACTGAGGGCTCTTCTTTAGATATTTCGGAGCATTTGCTTCGGGATGATCGGAAGTTTCCATCCTCGGATTTCGAGCACGTTCCAGAATGGAAGGACCAGATCACCGTCAGAGGGCTGTTGGTGAGTGCAGTTCTGGGGAGTCTTTTCTGCATCATCACTCACAAGCTCAATCTGACTGTTGGGATCATTCCTTCGCTGAACGTTGCTGCCGGGTTGCTTGGATTCTTCTTTGTCAAGACCTTGACTAGCTTCATGTCCAGGTTGGGATTCTTCACCAAACCTTTACCAGACAGGAGAACACCGTCATCCAGACTTGTGTTGTCGCTTGCTATGGCCTCGCTTTCAGCGGTAACTCACCCCTCCTTCGTTTAGCTTAAACTCGTGAGCTTTTGTGCTTTCTGGATTCTCCTGTTGCCCCGCGATCCACTTATTTTTCGCTGAATTGAACTCATCTATTCCCAGCTTAGCTACTGGGGCAAAGAGTAGACGCCTTACCCCTCCATGCTTCCTGAGAATGTGATGTGACAAAAGAAACTAAGTCCTTAAGTCTTTGAGGGTGGGGAGGGGCGAGAGAACTGGGGTGAGATTGGATGCTTGACATCAGTACTATAATGTTTTGATGACAAGTGAACTATAAAATATGGTTGGAAGAAGGATCAAGGGAATCCTCCTCCTTGGTTCAACAGACAGTGGAAAATATGACGCCTGCTACGTTTAGTCAAAAGACTGTAGGAAGATGAATTTCACATTCATGATAAGTGCTGCTCTCCATTTCCATATTAATTTTTGCTAACTAAATCAATTTCACATTGCTGCCATCATGTACAACCCGATCTGACCAGGTGCCTAAGGTCTCATTGTAGAATTTGGATTCGAGGTTAATTTACCAAACCCAAAAAAGCTCCAAAACTACCCCCAAAATCTGTCTCATTCAACATGAGAATTAACAATGGAGAATCAAATTAACGTGGCATCCGTTTTACTTCCTCTCATCTCTTGATCTTTCACCTGCACATTTATAGCTACGTGTTTGTCAACGTGAAGATTGGTTTTCTGCTAGTAGTTCATTTTTTATCATTGCCTCTTGTCATCTTTCACTGAAACCTTTTTAATATGGGCAGCCAATCTGTCGTAGTGTAACCAAATTTAATAAATTCATTATAAATCATAACTGCTGGATGTTTCTATCTATGTTGATGTTCTATTCCATTTTTCTTAGAAGGTAAACTGGTTTCATTTGAAATTTCTTGATTATAAGATATGCTTTATAAATGGTGCCATGCTAATTTTATTTATCCATAGATTTCTCTAATGTGATGATTATAACGTGTTTGGCAGGGGGGTTTGGTTCATCATTGATTGCCATGGATGAGAGAACATACCAGCTTATTGGCCCAGATTATCCTGGTAATAGGGCTGAAGATGTTATAAATCCAGGCTTGCTTTGGATGATAGGTTTCACTTTTGTTGTCAGTTTCCTTGGGCTTTTCAGTCTTGTGCCACTTCGGAAGGTAAACACTAGTCATTAGTATTTGTGTCACAAATAAAAATTGTAAGAAAGGAAGATAGAAAGTCAATAATATTTGGTGTTCTAGCGTTCTTATTTCAATAGAAAAATTGTAGTAAAGGTGTGAGAATGATAAATAAAAGCGTGTGAATGATATTATTCTATATATAGGCATGTAGTTTGCTAATCTTGGGAATTGCTAATCTGAGGAATCTATTGTCGAAATAATTTCCTCTTAGCATTGCTATTGACGACCCTGATTGGCAATTTAGAGCCTGATCTCCATGCATTAAATCTCAGGTTATGGTCATGGACTATAAGCTTACATATCCCAGTGGGACAGCTACAGCAATGTTAATTAACAGCCTCCACACAAAGACTGGAGCCGAACTTGCAGGGTATGCATTAGAAATCATGTTAATTTCTGTCCACTGAGAAGCGTTGCTTATGTTACAATTATGATTTTAATACTGCTTTGAAGATTATACACCAGAGATGCACTTGTCACTGAGTCCATCTGATCATCATTTCTTGGTTTAATCATGGAATTGTAGAAACACCTTTTGTGATGACTTAGTGTCATGAACATGTTGTGTTTGCTGCTATTTTCTTTTGCTTTTGTAGTTCTAAGTGACATTACCATCTTTGACTGTAGGAACCAAGTCCAGCGACTGGGCAAGTACCTGAGCATAAGTTTCTGCTGGAGCTGCTTTAAGTGGTTCTTCAGTGGTATAGGAAATTCATGTGGATTTGACAACTTTCCAAGTTTTGGATTGACTCTATTTAAAAACACGCAAGGCTCTTACGACTTTGGCTTTCAATGGATTCCTATGTCGTAGTTTATTCACCCTACTTCCTACCTAGTGGAAAATGCAGTGGCTTTTCGATGCCTTTGATAAACACTGTTCAATGAGTTGATGACTGATGTTAGAACTACTGCCTTGGATGCGGGCCTAATGAATTGTGTTGCTACTCGCTACTGATGGAAGAGAGTGAGAGAAAATACAAATTGAGTGAAAGGCGCATATGTGACATGACGCCTGCATCAGTATTTGCATTCATATTTTGATTGTATAGCACTGGTTATCCCATTTACTTGGATGCACTTCATGCAAAAAGCTTGCTATAAATCATATGCTCTGGGATTGCTATAATTAAGGGGAATTCGACAAGCAATAAATTGTAACTCAATATTGCAGCTCGAAAAATATTTCCTGAAGTTGTCTAAGGAAGATGGGTAGGAGGACTGACTTGCTTTGACTTGAAATGCTTCCTACACTCACAAATGCAAAAACAATTTGGTGGATGAATAAGAATAGCTTTTGATGAAACTAAGGCGAGAGACTCACTAAGTTATATATGACTTGTGACAGAACTTACCTTTTGACCAACATGTGTTTAATGCATGAAATTTCTGTAATGCTTGAAAATTTTCACAAGGTGTTCTGGCAGACTGGGGAAGCCACAAGTTTGATCTCGAATCTAGAGAAATGGCAATACTTATTTAATTATTTAATAATCCCAAGGCTTGTTCTCATGCAGGTTCTACTTTGACTTTAGTCCAACTTATGTTGGATGTGGTCTTATCTGTCCTCACATAGTTAATTGTTCAGTTCTTCTTGGAGCTATCATATCATGGGGTTTTCTGTGGCCCTTCATCTCCAAACATGCTGGGGACTGGTATCCAGCTAGCCTTGGTAGCAATGATTTTAAAGGTCTTTATGGATACAAGGTATGTGTATGGCAAAGCAGACAGGGTTGGTATGCAATTTAGAATGTCTTATGGTGAATCTGTGATTTATGTTCAATGACTAGTCGTTTAGTTGTTGTATTTCTCCTGAATCCACAATAAAACATTTTCTTTATGATCATGTTTTGCGCAGGTGTTCACATCCATTTCTCTTATTTTAGGGGATGGTGTTTACAATTTGGTCAAAATCATATTGATAACTGTAAGGGAGATGTGTAGGGCAAATTCCAAGCAGAACAACCTTCCTGTTGTATCAGAGGTCACGGGTGAGTTCCATGAATCCCCCTTAAGCATTACTAGGTCCTTTCTTCATTATAGTCCCATCCTAATTTGTACCGGCCTCGTCATTTAATCTTCAAGTCAATAAATATTGCCATGCAAGTTTTTCATGTATTTTTCCATTATATAAATGTCAATAATAATAATCCCAACTCTTCGTCCTTCATATGGCAGCCTGGCTGAGTGGATAAGTTGCCCTGTATCTTTTTCTATCTGCTCCAAGAGTTGTAGTTTGCAAATCGTTGTTATAGATTGACATTGACCTTTAATAACTCTAGTATATTTTAATCTCCGTTGATTATTAAAAAAAAGTGCATACTATGATCTTTTATGTGAAATAATTTGACATGTGAGTATGCTGGTATGATGTCCTCGTTGGATATGAATTCATCAATGAATAACGGCTGTGAATTATATTTTCATTGCTTGTCTTGGTACACCTTGCCAGCATTTTTGTGTGTGATATTTGTAGGATTTAATTTTCTTCTTCTGCATGTTATCAGATGATGGATGTTCTGAACTGCAAGCAGAACAAAGAAGAAGGGATGAGATATTTTTGAAGGATCCGATACCCTTCTGGTTTGCATCATCCGGATATGTGTGTCTTGCTGCTATATCTGTTGCAACAATACCAATGATCTTTCCTCCTCTTAAATGGTACCTGGTTCTGTGCTCTTACATCCTGGCCCCTGCCCTAGCCTTTTGCAACTCTTACGGCACTGGGCTCACAGACTGTAGCTTGGCATCCACTTATGGGAAGATTGGTCTTTTTGTCATGGCCTCGTTGGTGGGCCCTAAGGGTGGGGTAATAGCCGGGGTAGCATCTTGTGCTGTGATGATGTCCATTGTCTCAACGGCAGCTGATCTCATGCAAGATTTTAAGACGGGTTATCTTACCCTCTCATCTGCAAAGTCTATGTTTGTGAGCCAGATAGTTGGAACAGCCTTGGGTTGCATTATTGCCCCTCTCACATTCTGGTTGTTCTGGAGCGCTTTTGATATTGGGTCACCTGATGGTCCCTACAAAGCACCTTATGCTGTTATATATAGGGAAATGGCCATACTAGGTGTCGAGGGATTTTCTGAGCTTCCAAAGCACTGTCTGGCCTTGTGTTGTGGCTTCTTCGTGGCAGCTCTAGTTATTAACCTGGCAAGGGATCTGATTCCCAAAAGATCTCACAATATATACCTATCCCTATGGCCATGGCAGTTCCCTTCTACATTGGTGCCTACTTTGCAGTTGACATGTTCGTGGGGACGGTGATATTGTTTATATGGGAG